TAGATTTTCAAAAAAATGATATCAAATGAAAGGAAAATATCTAAGGTTTTAGTATAAAANAAGTTGCTGTTTTAAATCCCCCCAGTGAGCAGGTTAAGTGTTAGATTTTTAAAAAAATGATTTCAAATGAAAGGAAAATATCTAAGGTTTTAGTATAAAAAAAATAATATTGATTTGTTGATTTTTAAAAAAGTTATGGTAGTTTTAAGAAAAAAAAGTCAAAAATTACTAATTTTTAAAGTTGTAATTTTTTTTGAGATTTCCCTCACTTACAGAGAACAAGGGAAATTTTTTCAACTTTTAGAGGAAACGTCTTCAACTAGATAAGATTTGTGATCTTTTGACGTATCATTGAAAGAAATCGGTCTAGTGAAGGCAGAGATAAAGTTGCAACTGAGACAAAAAAACATATTATGGTAAAATTAATACCTTCTCAGCTTCGCATCGAAGTTAACAAAAATCACGAAAAAATGGTTTTAACATAAATCGAGTGCTTAAAATTTATAGAATCACTCTGTATTAATAATTGTATGTAGCTATTTATAAAGTAAATAATATATACCTCAAAATGTAGCTCAAAATTATCACGTTTATATGTTTCAATAATTTTGTGTTTTTATAAAATATATTTCATTTGATAAAAAGTTTTTGTTACTTTTCAAATTGTCGATCAAAATATAATATTTTTATCATTATTTATCAAAATTTTTCCTTGTATTGTATGCGTAAAAAATTTCTGTTGTATATATTTGAAAATTAGAACAGTTTTTTAAGACTGCATACTAGAAGAATATATTTGATTAGTAAAAACCATTTGTATACCGTCGACCGCCAGTCACATTACTACATAATACATTAAGTATTATGTAGTAAATAATAATGTATTAAACATTGTACTTAATGTTTAAGATTTTATTTTAACATTTTGTATGAGAATTTGCATCTCATTGTTAAAAAATTTGTTTGTGTTACAAATATACAACGTTATTATGGGTATTACACTATCGCTATTATACTACCAAATATAATATCTTCAAAGAAAAAATTATTATTACATGTGTTATTTCATTTTGATTGTTAAGTAGGTGATAACTTTATAAAATCTCAACTTAAACTTAAATTCAATCTGTTTTTTTAGAATGCTAAGTACCATGAAATAATATATAATCGCTTAACTGGTATAATATTTAACTTTGAAACATTCATATAAATTTGTGTGATTAACGCCAGAATAGCATATTATAATAATTTAATATTTTTAAAAACAGGCCTGTGTCTGTTATAATTAGTTTACTTAACTGTCGACTAAGTTATTAAATGTTGCATCACCTCAGGCAATGTTAAACTAAGTATTAACTGGTATCTTTACAGTAATTCTTTAAATGTTTTAAAAAAACGTGATTATAAAATGCTTATAACTATTTAAGTTTATTCTTATTTGAGTGTAGGTAATACCTAAATTTACATATTATGTTATTATAATTTTAAACAAAAATATAAACTTTATTGATATGTAAAAAATAATATTTAAAATTATTACAATTTAAAAAAAAATGTTATGAGTAATGAAAAATTAATAACCCCGTAAATTTTTTCCGTGACCATTAGTTAAATCAATGAAAGATAATGCAAGTATATTTAGATAATTTTTTTTTTTATAAAAAAAAATGTAGAATATGTATATTAAGTATCTATCTTAATATCTACAACTTCCAAAAAAAAATTACATCTTCCCAGTGAAATTTACCTCCACTATAGAGAAGTCATTAAATTAATCGGCCATATTGAAGAAGGCAAATCAGTGTGCCCGAACCACTAAATTTAAACTAAAATTAAGTTTCTCCAAAACTAAATAATAATTAAAAAATGATTTTTTTACAATTTTAAGAACTTATATAATATTTAATGTGTATATTGAAATGCTAAGCATATATACTAAAAATGTATTATTAGGATAATTACATATTATTATAAAATAAATACATTTTTATTTGTTATCACTGCAATAAAAATTATTGTATGACCTACAGTAAAATAGCAATCAATTATTGTGTACATTAATCAAGGCTTCATATTTGCACGGAAGCGTTTTTAATGAAAATGATTAAAATCACTATCATAAAAAACAGTAGCATAGTGGGGTTGCGGCACAGTATGGTAGTGGGATAGTTAAGAGCATAGATAATATCTGACAGTGATTAAAATCACAATCATAAGAAACGCTTCGGTGCAAATCTGTAAATAGTATTTAGAAAAGCAACATCAACTCCGACTTTCTTAACTATATTCTGATTAATAGTTTTTAGATTTAAAAGTATAATTTATGAATAAATATAGAATGAAATTAATATTTAATAATTTAATATTGTAATTTTTACGGAGAAATAATAACAAATAATAAAGTAGTAAATTTTGTCATTCCTATAACAAACATGTATAAAAATTAAAGGGTTTGATGCAATACTTTATAAAAAAAATTTATTTTTACTTATGAATAAACACATTGGTCTATAAGGAATTTTCATCGGAATCAAAAATATACTTATCTAAATCAACTTTTCGCACTGTTTTCAAACCAGAATTTAGACTTTTTCTATCACTTCTAAGTTTTGATATTATCTCTAATTATTAAAAAATAAGTATTTACATATAAAAAAATATAAAACCAAGAATTATAATACAAAAATAACATATTTTTGAATACGGTAGACATTTTCATCATAAAGATAAAATAAAGTTCGAAATTTTTTTTTTCATATCAAAGTATATAAAATAAGCTTTAATTTAAGATATATATAAAAGTGTCAGTATTTTTGAAAAAGTTCTATTTTCTATATGCATTTTTAAGTTTTGAACCCCCTTTGTATAAAGGGAAATGGTCCGATTTAAAAAAAAGTTAGTGGAATAAAATAAGTATATAAATAGTATTTATCTATACATATGTCAAAATGTTATAAAAATATAAAATTAAAAATATACCAAATAATAGGTATAACCTAATATATCTATTAAAAAGAGTTTATTACATAAGCTTTAATTTAAGATATATATATATATATATATATATATATATAAATATAAGAGTATCAGTATTTCTGATGCATCTTTAAAAGTTAATTTTTTGTGGAAAAGTTGCTATTTTGAAACCTCTCTTAAGGCAGATAAAGAGTCAGATTTTTAAAAAACATATACCATATGATAGTTTAATATCTAATGTATTTATAAAAAAAAAAAATTTGTTTTGGTTCATACACTTTTCAAAAAGTTATGGCAGTTTTAGAAAAAAAAAATGAATAAATGTCAAAAATTACTGATTTTTAAAATTGTAATTTTTTGGGGGATTTCCATCATTTACAGGGAACAAGGGAAATTTTTTCAATTTTTGATGGTAATGCTTTTGACTATATACGATTTATGACCTTTTGACATAATCTTGATATATTTTTAAAAATCCTAGAATGAAACTATCACTCATCACATTGTGTTAATAAGAGACCCTTAAGAATTCAATTCAGACACTCGATTTTTTTTTTTTTTTAATTTTAATACGTTTATGAACTATGTGATATATAATATTTTTATATCATATTAAAATAAGATTTAATTATCGTAGCGCATTAATAACAAATTAAATATATTACATTTGCTTAATGTTAAATAACGTAAAACATTAATTGTAATAATTCGTAAATTTATTAGTATCCAAGAAAAATAATATGAGTGTCTTAATTACTTGAGTGGTCTTCGTGGTCCTGTATTTCAACAATTATGATAAGTGATAGTACTGTAAGAACATTAGAGCATAGAGGGAGATGCTGATGGGACAATTCTACTCGTCCGTAGCCCGGAGCTACTGACGTCGAACTAATAAAGGGCAGTTATGTTTGAGTGCCCGTTATATATATATTTTTCGATACCATCACTTTTGTCTTATTTATATTATTTATAACTTAACTTGTTATATTCAACGACCCGTCTATCGCCAATTGTCATCATAGCCAACCAACTCCATCTCACTTGGATATACCTACTGATCAACTGTACTAGGATTCAGGTCAGACGTATTGTACATTACATATAACTTATATTTACTGAACATCTAGAATATAACTTTACTTTGTCGTTGACATAAAACAATAGTCTAATTTTATTTAATAATCTATCCCCTGTAACTAAGGTACACGATTGCCTGTGTCTCCTTCAGGTAATTAAAACTCATTTAAGGAGATAAGGACGATATTTTGGCAGACGTCGGGTAGCTTCCGATTCTTGGTTTTGACCAAGACCCTCAAGTATTAAACAAGCTCCTAACAGTATTCTACTAAGGTTTTTTTTAATTCAAAAATATAACAAGATTTTTCAATAAAACAATACTCTGCAACTAATTATATATTATGTAATTGGTGCATACAATCTCTTACAATTGGTGCATCTGAATTATGAAAATATCGTTGTTTTGAATATTTTAATTAATATAGTATTAATAATAAAAATATAATATGATATATATGTTTTATTTATATTAATAGTAATAGTATTAGTAATTAATAAAAATTAAATAGGGTGAACATTCAAAAAAGGGTTAAAACTACTATTTCAGATTTTATAATAATGTAGTAAATAAAATAAGAATCTAATTTAAAAATTATAATTAGCATCAATAGTCTAAATGAATATAGATAAATTATAAATTCATGTGTGACTAAAAGGAATACAATCTTCTTTATAAATATTTCTCTAAGAATGTTCAAGTCATTAAATTTGGTTAATGTAGATTAAAAAACACTTAAATTTGTTATTAACACATTGTTTGATTCTATGATCTATTCTATTAAAAAGTGTTTCCAATAAAACACGTATGAATAACGGAATGTTCTTGTTTAACAGCGCAATGTTAAATAAATTTAGTTTTCTTCGCACTTATTATCTATTATTTTGTTTTTATGGCAATGATATTATTTCTTCACTATTTCATTATATTACTAATGAAATCACTGTAAAGTAAAGAAAATACTTTCAAGTTTAAAACACACTATTTTCTTAACTATTTAATGTATTAATACGATTTGCTTTGATTGCTAAGTGCAATTTTTTATCTCTAGCAAACAAAAGTCATAAAGTTATTTTCTACATCGTCATTGAAAACACTTGACTTTCTTCGTCTGTATTTATTAACTAGATCCACTGTACTATTGAGGAAAAAAAATATGAATAATAAAATAAAAACACTAGTATCAATCCAAATGTGACTTAGCATGTTCGGACCAGAGTATTTTGGCTTGTAATTATCGTGAAAATCGTACGGGTGAAAACTGCTGGTCAACAGCTATACAATTACTGTCTCGCCGTCATCTGTGCAAGACGGTGTGAACTACTTAAGCAAATGACCATTTAACATGTATAATTTTTGCATCGAATTTTTTGTACTAGCATTTGTTCTAATTTTTTTCTGCTTAAGCCTATTTTTTGCTATAGATTCATACAGTTCATTGTGAAATTCGTTCTAGCAATGTTACCCAGCCTATCTATAGGCTGCCCCTCTAAAGAAAAGTGTTCGTAAAATAACGAATTTTCCGGCCTCTTCACAGATTTCCATTACTTCCTATCGGTGTTTTAGTAACCGCACCTGTATCATTCTTTTTCAAATGTACATCACGCGATCACCCACTGCAGTCTGCGTTTCTTACATTGGCTCCGTCAGGACATTCAAGTGACCATGCTTTACCCGAAGCCTTTGGCTACCGTTGTTCTGAGTATTTTTATTTTAACAATTAATTCAATCGATACGGTAAATATGACTATAGAAACATCCGATGAAAATGATTGCGTGGTTGACCTTGCCGTAATATGTTTGGACGATAAATTAATAACATACGTAGATTGGCTGGAAAAGAGGGATAAACTTAATGTGATCGGTAATTTAGTGACTATAGTCAAAAAAACAAACAATATTGAAGACCGTAACAAGATACCAAATCAGCATAAAGTGAGTAATGCTTTAGGACCAGCCATCGATGAGTACTTTGACACGCATACACTAAGAATATCCTTACCCTGGATATTGGATGATGATATCGATCTCGAATTAGATCAGCAAGGTGAGTATTATATATTTAAAATGAGTAGTATGTAAGTATATTTTTATTCTCCTTCCCTATTTCCCTCAAATACTACATTGAAAATTATTTATTTATATTTATCATAGAATATGTTTAAGGTACACTTTTATAAGTTAATAAAAAAAAAAATACGTATAAAATTATTGTATTTCAAAAATATTCCATTTATGATTTCAACAAAATCAATTATGTTCATGTTCCAAAACATATGAGTAAAAACTTTTAGTGAAGTAACTGTATTTTTATTGTTAAAAGGGTCACATAATTCGTCGAAACTTATTTAGTATATATTTCAGGTCAAAAACCTCAGTACTTAATTAGTATTTTAACGAAATCAACAACATTTTACTTAGTTAAAAGTATTTTTTTAAATTAAATAATTATTGACTATTTGTAATAGTTATTCATATCTTAATTTTTAAATAATTCATATGTTAACAGATACTTAAACAAATGTTATTGATTTAATGACATAAAATTGTTACAAATAAGAACATTTTAAGAAATTTATGTGTAAAAGGCATTTACTAGGCCAATGCTATGCTAATAAAATAACAATTGAACATTATAATGTTCATTTTTAGATTATTCATTTTCACATGGCATGATAAATAATAAAGTAAGGTAAACATAATTTAGATTTAATCTTATTTTTAATGTGTGACTAATAAAAATATTAAATTAAATTTTATATTTTATAGAACATTAACAATTATCTTATAGTGAAGTTTTACTATTGATTGCATCATTAAAAACTATTTAATAATTTTTGTAAACGTTTACAAATTAAATAAAATTAGTTAATTTTGTTTTGGATTTTTTCAGAAAATATTTTTAAAATTCATTTTTAATTTTTACCTTACTTTAACCTTATATCTATTCATATCGACTTCTTTGAAATCCAATAAATCAGTTGCATTATTTTTAATTGTTATATTAATAGTCCATTAAATTTTTTATTCATCAAAAATGTCTAAATAATATTTTATTTATATTTTCTTTTAATTAGAAGAATTTCAAAAATTTTGTAATTAGTAATGAATACAATAACAAATGATTTTTATCACACTAATATTTTTCTTTTACCAGTATTTAATCAATTAGAATAAAAAAAATGTTCAAAAAGACATCTAGTAATGGTCGTATTAGATGTATATTTTAATTAATTTTTAATGTTTAATAATTTTTCAATAAAATTAACTAAAAATAATTTTTTAAACTTATGTAGTTTTAAATATCATGTTATTGGATATCTTCGCTCAGAAGCCAGTTTTCAACTAATTTTTTATTTGCATGTAAAGTTACAGTAATAATATTTTTCGAGAATATTCTTTTTAACATGATTTACATTATTTTAAAATGGATATAAATTGGTCAACAAGTAAAAAATTGGTCACTTCAAAATTTATCTATTTAGCTTCATATAATTTGACCAAACAAAATTGAAGATATATTTTGAATAAAAATTAACCAATTATCCAATTTTATTTTTTTGAGTTTACAATCGTTTTAGATTTAGAGTTAACCAAATTTATAATTGACGGCTATAATGTAGAATTTTCTTTACTGGGAATTTTTCGATTGCATCTGTACTAAAGCATTTTTTAGGCTAGTTATTATTTTTGAATAACAAATAAAATTTTAAGAATCCTTAGAAATGCAAAAATATTAAGAAGTCATAGGAATGCATAACATTAAAAAGCCATAGAAATATAAACGACACTGGCAAGTTATAAAAACATAAAAACATTTAGTAGCCAAGGTATCATTTTTTGACTAAACTGTTTTAAGAGGATTTTTTTAATTTTGATTTCATGCGACTATTATCCAAGTAAAAGTGATTATTTTTCTATCATAAATATTCATTATTTAAAAAAAATTTCAAGTTTGATTAAATATTCTTAAGTATATTATTTAGGTCTATTTATTTATTAATTTTAAGAATATATTCTCCCATAATAATATGCATAAGAATATTATTATAACAATTTTCTTTACCAACCAAATTCTTTCAATACAACAACCACAAATACTCCTCTGCGTTAATTTTTCTACTTAACCAACTTTTTGTTTATATATAAATCAATTTACTAATTAATTATTAAATCAAATATAAGTTTTTCAGAATCCATGAATTTAAATATAATGTTTTTGAATGTAATAATTTTTAAATGTTTATATTTGTTGATACATTATAGTAATCTATAATAGTAGAAATATTTTCATATAAATGTAAATTATATTTAAGATTTTTACGTTTAATGGAAATTTTATTTTGTTAATTTTTTTTTTACAATTCAGTATGTTGAATAAACAATACTGAATGTTCATAATTTATAATTTTTATTATTTTTACAATAATTTAAAATTTATTAGTTATTATTAATGTTTACATTGACTTTAAAAGAGAAAATGAATTTAAAATAAATTTAATTGTGAGAATTATTTGACAATTGTACTATCATAGAAACATTGCTGCAATAAGCATTGGTTGCCTTACTATGAAAACAGCAGTAAATATCAGCAATGATAAAATTATCTAATTTTTCAATACTTACTATTGTATACTTCATACTTTCCAAAATAATTGTATTTGGTTACACGTTGTAAGAAAAGGTTGTCACTTTTGATTGCGATAATAATTTTAAATAATTACCGAAACAAAACTGATCAAGGTGCTTGTTAAAATTAATTGAAAATACGCTTTATATTATTTTGTACTACTAAAGTTTTCAACAAACTTGAAACAATGAAAAGTGAAATTTGTTAGAAGTAGATTATAAACGTACAATATCTAACAGTAGAATCGATTAAATAGAATAAAAACCATGCCAAACTATTGAATGAAATTTGATAAAACATCATTCCTAATCGATAAGTGCGAACAGAAAATCGATGATTAGTCAGTATCAATTTGCAGCTTATTTGTTTTTAATAATTTGTGTACTAAAAATACAACTAATAATTCACAAACAACTAGCATGAGTAGTTCTTAATTAATGATTTTTACATATACTCTGCATAAAAATATTTAGCGTCTTTTTGAATACCTTATACAAAATAAGGCTGACCTAAGTAAAAGAATTAATTATACAAATCATTTTATATAATTTTAATATTTATATAGTATATTAATTATATATATATATATATATAATTAATGTTTAATATTAGTGTAAAATTTAAGCTAAAAATAAATAGTTTTAAAGTCAATTTTATAATGCATATAATGTATTTCACATAATGATTTAATACTATATTAAATTAGATAATTTCCCCTGCAAATACTCATAACAACCTCGGGATTTTTTCTTCATATCTTATAATAAGTCAATTATAGTAAAATTTTGCAATTTTATGATAATAGTAGACATATTTTTAAAAAACTCAAATATCGATTGCCGATAAATGGTCCAACATGTTTACAAGTGCTGTTGGAAAGACAAAATACAAAAAAAAAATATTAAGTAATGATATCTATAAAATATTTAACTGTTCTAAGACCACCCATTTGACGGTACCTGCAATTTACTCAATTCTTTAGATTGTAATAAGTATTTATAAAAATGTTATTGTTTATAAGAGTTTTCTTGTTTAGAAACTATTAAGAGTTTTGAAGAAGTTTTCGTATCCTTGTTTCGATTAGGAAAATAACAATGTTATGAATTTGCCTTAACGATTGGGGTAGGTCAAACGTTACGTTTTGTTTATATATTGTAGCGATTGACGTTTCATAATAGCAAATAATATAAACTCAAATTCTGTCCCAATAAGTTGGTTTATATCCAATAATGCTTGCATGAAGAATGAGAATATAGAATTATTTAATTAGAAGTTCTAGAAAAATTCTATACTTCGTAAAACACTCTTGATCTGTATTATTATAACAACATTATAACTACTTTCTTTTTAACTTTAAATAGTGATGTAATGACAAAACAATAAATAACATTTGTTATGTTAGTAAATCGTTACAAATATTAGTTAAATACAATATATAAGATTATCTCTCTTACTATCAGTGTAAAGCTTTGATTAATGCTTCCTCACGTGTAAAACATTATATTGAACTTAAAAGAAAAAGTATTTAAATTAATAACTTCGACGTTCCGAAAAATTTATATTAGTTGTTTAAAAATGATTTCTTTCATTTAACTTCAAGTAGAGCTAATACAATTAAATTAATAACAGTAAATTTCTAATCTTTTGATTGCTTTTTTTTAATTGAAATCAATCCGATTAATACCGTTTCTACAGTAAAAAATATTTTTATATATAGTTCAGATGAAATTTTTATCATAAATATTGTGATGTTAAATTATAATATTGAGGATACAAATTTCCTTCGAAAAGTAAACGTTAGGTGTAAAATGAGCTAGTTATTGGTTAGGTTTATTTCGTGGTAATAATTTATTTAATTTGCGAGACGAACGACATAGTGAACCGTAATGTTCTGTCGTTGAACAGTTTACTCTTATAAAGTGAAATTAAAATATCAATTACATTCTCAAGGCAAAAAACGGATGTGATCGTTTAATGTGCCTACACGAGAAAAATACTAAAAAAAGAGAATCGCTTGAAGTCCGTCAATGAGATGGGCAAACAATACACGAATTGGTAGTCAATGATTTCTTTGAGTTTAAATTGAACTACCACACGGCAGGTAATTCGACGGCACTAATCGGTACAATTGTTAAATGCAATCTATTGGCTTGCTGGAGGTATTCTATTGTGTACGTGGTGCAGATAGGCATTGCTATTATATTTACTGTAATTGTTATTATTATCATGAAGTGACTGAAAAAAGTTTTGGATAGTGCACTTCTCTCGCTATTTAAATTGATTTACTTAAATTAAAATTTTTATATTTTTAGGTCGCGGAAAAAAAAGTAAACTTAAACACATGAAGAAAATGATGTCAATGCTTGGAGTGGTAATGTGTGCTAAAGTGTCAATGTTGGGACCCCTTGCGGTGTTCATGATAGGTGCCAAAGCTTTGAAGGCACTTATCCTGTCCGTGATGGCCCTAACGATATCAAAAATAATCTTACTTAAGAAACTCAAGAGTGGTGGTCACAGTGGAAGCACTCAAGTCGAATGGGTATCCGAGAAAGATGATCAAAATGCACATCTTTTGGCCTATGCTAATCAAGCAAAAATATCTGTAGTAACTTCGCAGCCAGCCATAGCATCTGTTTACCAACACCAAGTACAACCATTGTACCCTTCGCGTGAAATTCAACCAGGATACCATTAAAATTTCTCTCTTTTATGAATTTATTATTTGCTACATTTTGTATTTACAAAATTTACAAGTTTTATATTCTATTTTATTTTTATTTTTGGAGAAATCGCCGTATAAACCATTTTAAGAAATAGCAATAACATGACACCTTCTCAAGTGAAATATTTCGAAGAAAAAATAGTTCCCCGTTTGGATATCCGGGTGGGTAATACTGGAAAAGAAAAATGTGTTAAAAATAACGACAAACCAATCATCTCAGGATTAATACAAAATAAAAAAAAGTTATATTTCATCAGTGACCAGTAAAAAATATTACATTTCATTGAAATACAATAATATTGAACAAACATAATAACTGTTCAATTTTTACTTAAAACTATTTAATATTGGTGACAACTATTAACATATTATTAATTCCAACAAAAAATTCTGTTCTTATTTTATTATACATTTGCTATAAATATTCCTAGAAAAATCATTTGTAGTTTTAACAATTATTTATTTATTATTTTATTTATTTTTGTTAATAAAGTTGATAGCTACTTATTTTATCATTTATTATTGTATCACATAAAGCGCTTTAACGATTGCAATTTCCAATAAAAATTACAATATATATGTTAACATACAAACATAAGTGTTTGGTTGCCTATTTATAAACGCCTTTAAAAAGTAAACTAAAAACATAACAGATACAAATTAAGTGAATTTTGAATTACAAATAAATTTAACTATCAGATTTTGTTAACTTTATTTAAATTCTCATAATAGGATATTTTTAAAATTATTATTATTTTTTAATTTAACATTGGATAAATATCAAAAGACTAAAAGTAGAAAATTACTAATTTTTATAGATTTTTATTTTACCTTCTTAGAAACAATGTTTGCACTTTATTTTTGTGTGTACGAATATATACACACACACACACATATATATTTGATCAAGTTTATTAAAAAACAAATATTTCTTGGGGTAGTTTTGAAGGGTAACTTTCGAAAATTAAATAGGAATATATAATAATTTTCATACAATTAGAAACAAAATAGAAACAATTTTGACTTGGCAATACTATTTTTATAATATTATTTATAACAATTTATAGAAGGCATAGAGGGGAGTTATGTTTAGAGACGCTTCAATTTTATAAAAGCGCATAGATAAAAATACTATTACGTTGATCATTCTTTTCATCTATAACTAACAATGATATTAATTTTAAAAACCAGAACAGTGGTTATGTGGTATAGATGGAACAAATATAATATACTTGTTAATCAGTGTCAGATATCATATGTTATAGGATATCTGACACTTATTAACATCACTACAATAAAAAACGCTTCGAACCTATTTTTATTGAATAGTTCATTATAGTCTATTCCCTAGCAGAAAGTTTATTGAGTACCGATATTGACAATGATTGAAATATTGCACCAGTACTGACAACCGACTGTCGGCTAGCCCTTACTAGCGTACTACTGGCCGGCATCTGTACTGACTCAGCAGTGGCGGTCAGAACTTGGCTGCCATTTCTTGTAGAGTATTGGCATAGTATTGGACATTCAAAGTCGCCAGTACTAATCGGTCAGTACAGGAAAGTGTTATCATCCCAGACATAAGCGCCGGTATTGGTCCAATACTGGTAACCGTTACAGCGTCAGAACTGTCAATAATGGTGCAGTACTGTACTTGTTGTAAATTTCTGATTGGGTTATTGGCTATATAATTACACAAGGTCTTCTTCTTCTTCCTCACCTTAATCCCAACTAAAAAGAAAGACAGGACTCTTTGGTCATCTATAGAGGTGACTTTATGATTGGTATAATGTATTAACACCTCGGTGATAGCACTTAGGTGGGTAAACCGAACCAAGACAATTCGGTATGAGGTGCGCACAACGGACTAACAGGTCTGAGTGCATGGGCATTATGTCCACCTCGATAACAACTAAAAACTAATAGCTAACCCCAACTACTTGGGGTCAGCCTCCTTCTCCGTTTTTAACTATTTTCTGTTGTCACCACGTACATCCGAGATGGGACAATCCGCCAAAGTTTTGTTCAGGATTCCTCATATTTTTTTGACAATAATTTTTACGCCGTCTGTCGACCTGACGCAACCTAATTAGTTGCCTCTTACGACTGGCAGAGGGGCCGTGGAAGTATTCTTAGCCCCCTATCCACAGGGAAAAGGTACATATTAAATATTAGCCTTGTAAATACTACACCCTGATGATTATCTAATAACACTACCCTTGTGATATACAATATTAATAATTTATGAACATTTTGGTTTCAGTGATAGTAGACAAAGTCGAAACGTTTTTCTTTTATCAAAAATAAAGTGCGTTTAAAGAACTTATATTTAGTAAAGGTTTCGGTTTGTCATTACAAAAATTGAAAATAAAGTAATTATTTTTTAAAAACTAATTTTTATAAAACAAACATACTAAATGGAAGCCAATTGTTACTAATATACTTATTCAATTTTATTTAGTATCAGTATTTATAAAAGTAAGTTATAATAGTTTTAAAATATAGAAATAAATGTGTTAAATGTTCAAATTTTTACGGTAGCATAATTTTGAGGTATTACTTTTAATTTCTGAAGCTTTGAATTTTTTTTAACTCTGAAGGTTTAACTAGATCAAAATCGGTTTCTTCTGACAAATAAATCAACAAAGTCGGTCCCGTGAAAGCTAAGAATAATTCATTGGTAGACACATAAAAAAAAATATGATCATAATAAAATCAATAATTTCTCAGATTCGCATCGGAACTAAAAGTAATGGAACATTTATTATTTTAACTAATTTATCATATGAAAATTATTATAGATTCTCAATAGATTTTTAAAAGTTACCTCTTAAAAATATACTAAGGAATATAATCTTTAATTATACTTTTTTTTTTCAATAAAAATACTTAAAATCTAATCTGTTAATTTTTATGAAGTATTATTGATTATTAAAAAAAGAGATAGCAAAGTGGCACAGTGTGAACTTGGCGTAGATGGAACAAGTATAGATTTAATCTGTCAGTGATTAAAATTACTATCATAAGAAACGCATTGAAGCAAATCTGTAGATAGTGTTTAATTTTAAGAAATTAGTGGATTTTACCAAAAGCAAAATTATTTCATTATATTTGATTACTAGTTCTTTGATTTAAAAATGTAATATATGAATAAATATTTATTATTGAAATTAAATATAGTATTAGATTGATATTTAATAATTTAGTATTGTAAATTTCTTTGAGCATTTATAAAAAATTATAAAGTAGTTAATATTTTATGAAAAAATGCATAAAAAGAAGGGCTTGATATAAAACTTCTCAGAAAATAATTTGTTGTTAATTATGAATTAAAGGTTTTACAAGGAATTTTCATCAATTTAAATCAACTTTAAAAAATAGGCTAAACCTAACATTTGGAATCAAAATTTTGTACGTATTATTTTTAACATATTAAAAATAAAAATTAATTTTTAAATGTAAATACTCATTTTTATAAAGTGTGACCGACTCGACAACACATCACACGTATATTTGGATGAAAAGAACAATTTAAGCTAATTAGAAAAGTTGAAATTGTTTGTTTTAACGTAGCAGGCAAACTATTTAAAGTAAGTTTAAATTTATTACTATTTAAGTTAGATTCATGTAACTTCTATAAAAATCGGTGGACTCATAACTATGGTAAACCTTTGTAAGGTATTTTAATATAAAATCAAAAATATGAAATCAAGAATTTCAACACAAAAATAGCATATTTTTGAATACGGTAGCTATTTTCACCATGAAAACAATATAAAGTATATTACATAAGTTTTAATTTAAGATATATATAAAAGTGTCAGTATTCCTGAAACATTTTCAAAAGTTTATTTTCAAAGTTAATTTTTAGGACTTTTAAAATTAAATTTTTATTTTAGTAGGAAAGTTGCCATTTTAAAACTCCTCCTGTCAGCTGGTAAAGGGTCAGATTTTTAAAAAATATATAACAAATGATAGATAAATACCTAATGTATCTTTAAAAAAAAAATTTTTTTGGATTCATACATTTTTGAAAAGTTATTAAGTAAAAAAAAGTTGAAAAAATATTGAAAATTACCGATTTTTAAAATTGTAATTTTTTGAGGGATTTTCACAATTTATGGGGAACGAGGGAATTTTTTTCAATTTTTAAGAGTAAAGTCTTCGACTATATACGTTTTGTGACCTTTTGACACATTGTTCATCAAAATCGGTCCAGTGAGAGCTAAGAATAAGGGCTAACAGATACAAAAAAAAACAAATAATTAAAAAAAACATTACAGTAAAATGAATATCCCCAGCTTCTCTTCGAAGCTAAACGTCATCTTTTGACACGTATGGAGCCACTTCCCTGTGATCGCAAGTGTTCAGATTATTTTTGTTTCCATGATTTTACTATACCAATTAATTTTAGATAATAATAGATTTGTTTAATTCGCATAAATTTAACAGCTGTCTTCTAGATTTGTATTAAAAATTTATAATGACTCATTAACTTATTAACGCTATTTCGGATTTTTTTATGTTTTAATAAACAAGCAAATAAGTCGTTATATTTTTATACACATACATGTATAATAATTTTATATATAACTGAATAATTTCGATGTAATGTACACATTTTATAAGAAAAATGTAGTTCAGAATTCTTCATTACTTGACAATTTACAAAAATTAAAAATATATACGGCGGTATAACCGTTTTGGAGTAATTAAAAAAGTAATTCATTCCTAGAAACTAGTGTCACTATTAATTCACCAAATAGTCAATTTTCCTGGGTTACTATTAATAACAATTAATATAGGGCAGCTTACATAACGATTTGATTAAAGTTTTGTTAATAAGACTTTATTATAATTCTATGCTGTATAAATTTTTAAATCATTTTTTTTTTAATGTCTATTTGTATAGTTTTGTTATGATTACTTATTTAATTAGTTTTATGTTAAAATGTTTACCCGTAATTTACTAAGTAAATACGATTTTTAATCTCAAATTCTTTTAAGTATAAATTTTAATATTAATAATTTATGATCATTGAAATTAAAAATTAGATAGTTACGATTCTTTAAATTATTTGCTAAATTATTCAATTAAATATATATATATATTTTTTTTTGAAGGTACCTATAACAAATATTATGTTATTATAATTCAATGTCTTAAGGATATTTTATTGTTTTGACCCAAATAGTGCAGAATAATAAAATAATGAGTGTTGACTAGTATGCATTCATATCTATTAAACATCATTATTTGGTTTTCAGATGTAAATGGCACAAAGAAAACATGTATGATCATTAATCACCTTTAAATTGAATTGAATTGTTGAACATGACAAGAATTTTTCGGTTTGTGTTAGAAAACCTTTAATAGTCTCCAGATCCTTATGACTATACTCAGATTTCCTAATCAAAAAGCAGCCCACAAGGCTTAGGTCAAGCGAATAGAATGTGTCGAGCATTGTTGTTAGTAATTAGTTTCTACATTAGAACATTTAATATTGAAATAATTGAGTTTTTCGAGAAACATGTGATGTTAATGATTGTTAAAATTAGCGTTGGCAGAGTTTAAATCAACAAGAACAAATAATAATAGCGAGTTCGAAACGACTTCATCTAAAAGTAATTATTGCTTTATAGTCCGTTTTCGTTTTTTAGATTAAATATTTCTCGTGTCTCATAAATCCAGCTGTTAGTTTATCGACAATTTTTTTTATATTCAAACAAAAGACGGCATGAGATTGAAAAATTCAAAATTGTGAACAAAAAAAAAAATCGAATTATAGTTCCATTCTCTTTCTTCTATTGTTTACGAAATAATTTAGTATCTATTGATAATGCAACTGAGTGCTTGATTTTTAACGATTTTATTGAATTGATCTTCTATTAAAATTAAAAAGGGAAATCATAATATTGTAATTATTTGAAGCAAGAAAAAACAATAAAAATTATATCGATCATAAAAATTTATGTCAAAGTCATAAAATAAAAAATTCAAAATAGAACGAAAATGAACTTAAATGTAAATAAAAACAAACATTTATGAGTTTTGCCTAGATTTAGTAGAGAATATACGAGACATACGTTGTTGCATATTTACATGGGATTATGTTTTCTTGGCATCCGCTTGGTATACTTATAAGTAACTAATAATTTCAAACGATTCACGAATTAATCTGAATCAGCATCTTGAATTTTAAAAACCGGATGCATTAAATATTAATAGAGGTTATTAATGAAAAAAAAAAAACTTATGATAGATAGTACTATTTTACAATATTCACACACGATCCAATTTGTCGTGTGCTAATGAAAGTCATTTTTAAATTGTTTTGTATTTTTGGTGTACGAGATTGAATTTGTTAAACAAATGAAAATCGTCGAAACGTTAAGATGTATGTTAATGCCAAATAAACTATTACCGGTACACATAACACGAGTGCACTCACGATTATACCCAAATTGTAACATTAATACAGTCAATAGATCTTTAATTTATGATAGACCGCAATGATAGATACGACCATGTGAATGATCAAACGTGCACATCATCTCTATTTGTAATCATTACTCGTTTTTTGAAAACGTGAACTTTCACAGTTCAGACGACAACACTCGTTGCTCGATATTCAATTGGTAGGAGGGTGTCATGTCGTGAAGGAGATCATTATTGTTATCAAATAAAAAATATTTGTGCGTTAAGCGTAACACAAAACAAGCCACGGTTAGTTATGTTAAGCGATGCATTCGGCAGCGTATTTAGAATTACTATCTGTTTGACTTTCTCACCGCATCAGCTGAGTGTTGGCCCGTACGGTCGTTGTACTAGTCCTTTCTCCTACGGTCGGCTATCTCTACATGGTATTTTGCCAGTTTACACGGAAACCTCTTGTACCAGACCGGTTTCCATTTCATCACCAACACAATAATAATAAACCATGGCCCGAATAATTTTTTAGATTTACCTACTGTCGCTTGACTACACTTCGTATTTTTAATTAATTCATCAATATTGAAAAAAATAAATGTGCCGAAAATGTGTTTGTCAATTAGAGTCATTGAAGACGCTTGCATAACATTATTTTCATTGCCAAAAGTCTTAAGCGTTTGTTTTCTATTAATAGTTAAAACTTATGCACTAAATGAGTTCAAATTTTTACCGAACGTGGTCTTATAATTGTTGAATCGTTTTGGTCGTAGTCTATGGAATTTGTAAGATACAAAGGATGATGATGGAGGACGATATGTGCTGACGTTAAACAGCACATGACCACTTCTATATTGAATTAGAACGTGTTGAACTATTAAATTATAGAACTACTAATACAACTAGAATAGGTACGATTTTTAAAATGCATACGATTAAAAAAAAAACAAACATAAATTTACAAAAATTGAAGAACCTAAATTTTAATAACTTAATTCACTTAGAGCGTGGACTAAAAATTTACCAATATAATTATAACGGACTTGCATGACTATTATCTGATGAAAATCTGCAAAACAAATTTCTCTATCTTGTTACCATGAACAATTAATCGATTAACATCGTTGAACTCGTACTTTGTATTAGCAACACAAAACAAGCGTTATTTAACCATTTTAATCTATGTAGAGTAATCAAAAATAATTTGCCCGTTTCTTTGCCCTATCGTTGTTCAACTGAAATTCGTGACCGAAGATAAATTAATTAAAATCTATTTGCTAGTAGAATTATTGAGCATAATTGTTTAAATAGTGGATTTGAAAAGTTCTAAAACATATACACATTTTGTTAATGCATTTTATCAAACTAAGTTTTTAATTGATAGTTAATAAATTAAATATTTTAATATAACTTGGTTCTTTTTTAATTGTGTTAAAATTATAAAAAATCGCTATAGAGAAATGAAAGTCTACCAGACCAAAAAAAAAAAATTACAATATAATTAACATATCTTCGGAAACCTTGATTGTAAAAATTAAGCTGTTTACACATTAGTATACGCGATAATTGGGACAAATCTAAGAAAGTGAATATTCTGAAGTACAAGGCTATTGAAAATTTGTGTTAGCCAATGTGTGTCTGCAGTAATGAAAGATATCAAAAATAAACCGAGTGATTATTTTAAATTATATTAATTTAATGATATAAAATATAAAAAGGAAGTCACTTAAAAAAAAAATTGTAAAAATCCAAAAAAATATTTTCAAAAATTAAAAAATAATTAATTTTGAGTTTTAAATGTAATAAATTTCTTTTTAAACAAATGTAAACTCCATGTTTATAAACAATCAACTAATTTTAATGATATTAAAATTTTGGTGTATCAATTTTTAGAAAATAATGTTATTATGATTAGGCACAATTAAAATTATGGAATTTTAAACAAAAATGATGTTTAAATCAATTTTAAAATGGGTACACGTAACATTATTTTCTTAATCAGAGTTATTCAAACTCACTATTTTCTGGAATATCTAGTCTATGACCGAAAGGAGGAATAATGAATTTTTTATTTGATTGATATCTTGTTCAAAAACTGGACTCGGATTTAACCATGTATTGAACTAGTGGCAGTTCGATTTCGATACCATCGTCTCATCAAGTCAAACTATATCCCTTATGTTTATTTGCTTTTCATCATAAAATGTTTTTAACTATTTGCAAATAAAATAAAGCCAGTAAATTACTAAAAATTAAAAAATATATAAATCTTTAAAAAAAGTGCACAGGCCGTGCTAAATTATTTTACAAATTAATGAGGTAGATCTTGAAATGTCCAAAATAGTTTTCCTAAAGCATTCAAAATAATTCGATTATTTGAAATTATTTAAATTGAAATTAAATCGTTATTAGATGTTCGTATGACTGAACAACATAATAAAATAATTCTGATTTTCCAACAGATTTTCACACCGATTCAAATCGATAAGTAAGTGATTTAAACTGATTTCAAGTCGTTTAATGGGATCAAGACAAAAAACAAGTTATTATATGTGTTGAAGATACACGGATACGATTTAAATTATATTGTTTTCATAGATAATCAAATTGAATGCAATTATTTTTATAATGACCTTTTATTGTATTGTAAGCGATTATTTTAATATTAGTGTTTATAAAAGAATGGGAACATCAATCTCAATTTTTTTCGTACCTAAGCAATTTTTAATGTCGTGTAGAAAAAACATGCAGAATCATGTACAATGTATTTTGGTTTGGCGTTTATTAACAAAACTTTACTATTTTTAGTGACAGAGAAAAAAGTAATAAAAACAGAAATCAGATAAATACGTGTGTTTTAGTGTATCAGAAGTGTAATCGTAGGTAAAGTTTAACGTATTGTAATGTACCAAAATCCGTATAAGGATTCACATTGGATTCACTCCAAAATTTAGTTCAACTCTGATGAGCGCGTTCTAAAACAATTGACCAAAACTGGCCATGTATAAAACTGTAGTTCAAAATAGACGCCAATAATTGGCAAATATTTTTGCAATTATTGTCTTCTATATATTAAGTCAATATCGAGTAATTGGTTAGTTGAAAAGTGTCTTTATTATTTTAAATAATCGTATAATTTGAACGTGATAGTCTAGTGTCAAAAGGGAATATCTTGTACAAACATGAAGTTAAGTCATTGGTAAAACTGTAAATCGTGTTTCGAGGAGTCATTAAATCTACTACAGCTCACAAAAAAACATTTTTTATTGTACTCTTACAATATAACTGAAATACAATTTTAGCGTTGTACGAATTAAAAAAACATAGTAGATTACAAAAATCTTACATTAGGATTTCGCTGAAGTCAATGATTAAGCTCTGTACATAAATGGCAGACGTCGGCGGTTAGCTTAACGGAAATGTAAAAAATAGTTGAATTTCATTACAGCCAAATAAAGTGAAATGTTTTGTTTTTATTCGACTAACGTGTGTGTCATTTTATTAAATTGGACTCCCAATTAACACGTGCGTTTTGATAAGATGTGAAAGTCAAGTGCATTCAAACACATGCATGGAGATCATGTACAGTGACTGAGATCAGTTGGATTCGGGCTGGAGATTTTGAACAGCCTAAATTATTATTGTAACGTTTTTAATTCTTCAGACAAGCAGTAAAATATCATAAGCGCCGCGCGTTTTTTAAGCATCTAGTTTCGCCCAAGTGTCTTTGTGGAATGAGATAACTCTCGTGTTCCGGGCGGAAGTCCGAAAGAAGAGGGAAGAGGAGCGTCCGTCTGACGTTTAAGAGGAAGAAGAAAACGAAATGGTACCGACGGACGAAACGAGGTCACGGCCGGGTGGAACTAAGCGCTGAGAGAGCCGCGTGCGGCAAAAAACCGGTGAGTGTTTTTCGTGGCTCGGACGGTCAGTGCAATGCTAACATTGTCAGCGGTCGTGCTGGTGTTGTTATCATGACGGCCGTGGTTCGAGTGTGTGCGCAAGTGTCGCGGTTCATCGCGTTACTATCCGCCTGGACACTATTCGTGTCTGGTCAAACTTACCACAACGCTACTTTATCGGCCAGTGGCAATGCGCTTTGGGATGATCTGATGGGCAAATGCGACGGCCCAAGGACGACAATGGACTGTGTCCGGAGCAGGCTGTACAATTACGTCAACGACACGCTGGAAGGTGACATGAGCATCACAGATAGTGTAAAGTTTGCTAAAAACAACAACGAATATCAGAAAGTTTGTGCCTCAGAAGGTACGACTGGAACATACAGAGAGGCCAGAGAATCATCCGACAACGTGAGTGATGCATATTTTTAGGATGCTGCGTAAGGTGTTTGCCCTGAGCCGCCAACTCACTAGTGTATTTTGTGTTATCAATCTAGTTTGTAGTTATTGCAAAAAATTTAAATATAAACCGGTCGTATAAACATTCTTTTTGAGTATTTTCAAAAGCAAATAATAACAGTCTTTAAAATTATAATTGTAAATTGTATTACTTTATGTTAGTGAGCTCGTATTTAGAAATACCTCACAGGAAGAAAATAAAAATCAACAAACTAATTTAGTTGCGATGCTTATTTATAGAACAGCTGTTTCTGTATTTATGTTAAAAATTTTAGGATTGTTTAGCTTGTTAAACTTTAATAAGAAAGTTGTTTTTAAATACGAGTAGCATAAATAAAGTTTAAATAAAATATAATTCTTTAATGAAGAGTATTAATGAACTTAATCGAAAATATCAAGTGATTATAGATCCTAAGTGCTTTAATTTTTAAAATATAGCCTGAGATAATTATCAATAAGTTGTTTATTTAAACATGCAAAATTGATGAGGAACGTTCGTAGTAGTTGATATTATCACCAATAAGTTGTTTATTTAAATTATATGGATTGGTGATTTTTAATTTTAGCTTAAATTGCATTATGATTTTATTGTAACGTATTTATGAGACTTAAAATTTGAATTATGTGAATTACATTATGTCGATTTTAGTGCAATTAAAACCTATTTATAAGGTACAAGTGTATTTATTTGACATTATTAATAATGTATATATTTTGGATTGTACTTAAAACATTGATTAATAATTATTAGGAAATAAGAAATTCAAACTTAAAGTTATACAATAAAAATTATTGAACTGGCAATCAAACAAACGCGTAATATTTGATTTTATAAAACAATTTTATATTCAATTAAAAACATGTGTAGAATATTCAATGTTTTTAAGGTTACATAGTGACAAAAGTGATAGTAAAATCGACCTATTAATATTTTTTCTATTTATAAAATTTTACTTGACAATATAGTCTAAAATTAAACTTAAAAATCTAATAGCTTCTCAAAAACTTTTCCATTTTCCGACTCCAACATTTTGATGTTAGGTATAACATCAAATATAAATAAATATATCGTTCTCTCATCCATTCAACAGCGTCATATCTTTAAAATAATTTATTATTCAAAAAAGCGATTTTAAAAATTAAAAATAACTAATTCAATTGAATCTCGAGCAGTTAAATATTGAGTTTTAGTACATGTTGCTGGAATATACCAATCCTTTAAAGAATTCTAATAATAAGCATAACTCAAAAACGTCATATTTTGAAACACAACGCCGTTGTAAATAACAAGTCATTTGTAGAAAGATTTATTTTGATAATCTTGTTCCGTAGTTAAATTTTTAGTGAACTTGATTTAATGTTTAAATTAATCATATTCTAGGCTGGTTTCAGGAGATAGTGATTTTCTTATAAAGTCTCTGATATATTTCAGTTATTTTTGTTCTAACTACAAGATTGGCCATGGGATACATTCAGATACATATTCGAGATTTGTTTTTCCCAAAGCGAGCTAAAGAAATATTCCTTTTGTTGAGCTCAAAATCCTACCTAAAAATACTATTTTTGTCTTAAGATTTTCGCGAAGGTCTTTCTAATTGCATTCTGGTTCACTCATTACTTAATCCCATTTTGAAATCAATCTTTTACTTAAAAATTGTGTGTACAAATTAGTAAATTTAGCATTTTATAAATCAATTTCTTAAATGTTTTTTTTTTTATTCAAATGCTTCTTAGATAACCTATAATTTACATAAAAACTCAATACTGGAAAAATATACGAATAATTTTTGCTACGACCGTTAAGCTTCAATTTTATTATAAATGCTCTGACATCCACACATTAGTATAAAAATATTATTACTTAAAATTTCATCTAAACATAAGTTATTTATAAGTATACTATAAGTCACACTTCTCTTATATTTTAGTAACGATATTACTCAGGCAACTAGAAACGTTAAAGAGTAAAATTACTAATAACAGTTGTCAACCGTTAGGATGTATTATTTACTTATTAAATTAATGATATACCCGTGGTTACAGTTACAATAAAATTATACAATAAAGATAATTATATTTAATCGTTGAAAAATACTCGATAAAAGTCAAGTAATTTTTTTAATTATTGAATTGTTAACACTAAATGATTATAAAATATTGGGAAAAGGATTGAAAATGCATTTACATTTTTAAAGTTTGAACATAACTTAAGCTTTTATAAAGTTTTCGTAAAACTTAACGATTTTTTCTCAGATTGAAGACGAAAAAGAAGATCACGAAGATGATGGCTGGTCAAAAGTAACAGACACATTATACGAAAAAGGAGTACGGTACTTGATGACTCACGACTTGGAAGCGTCAGTGCCCAGTTTCTTATCTGGTAGTCCAGGTGGTAAAGTTAAAATTTCACCGAAGAAGATCCTTCCTGACGGAGGTGTCTTAGTTCGACTAGACATGATTCCAGGTGAACAGGAAGAAAAATCCGATGAAAGATCTCCGAGATTCATGAAAAAAATGATTAGTGAGTTTAAATTGTGAAAAATAACATTTATAAATGACGTAAATTACTCTTTAGAAAAGAGAAATTAGCAATGTGGAGACCTTGAACTTGTTTATGGCAAATGGTCAAATAGGTAGGTGGCGAGATGAATTTAAAGTGTGTTGAACAATAAAATATCATTTATTTCATACTCAACATTTTAATTTTGGATTAGAATTTTAAATTTCTAATTCTCACTAATCTAAGTTAGTTAAATCATCAAAACAAAACCATATGTAATTACAAAAGATGAATAAATTAGGACTGTGATTTTTAAATTACAAACAGTTATATTTATTTTATTTTATTATTGTTATTTTTTTATTACATTACTTTTCTTTGTTTTATCAGCGTTAATTTGCAATTAGCAGCTGTAAATAGACATTCAAAAGTTTAAGTATCATTTATGAATTTCAATAATTCTAACGCCACGATTTTCTGTAAAATATTCTAANCTACTCAAAATTTTAATTTTGGATTAGAATTTTAAATTTCTAATTCTCACTTATCTAAGTTAGTTAAATCATCAAAACAAAACCATATGTAATCACAAAAGATGAATAAATTAAGACTGTGATTTTTAAATTACAAACAGTTATATTTATTTTATTTTATTTTTTTATTACATTACTTTTCTTTGTTTTATCAGCGTTAATTTGCAATTAGCAACTGTAAATAGACATTCAAAAGTTTAAGTATCATTTATGAATTTCAATAATTCTAACGCCACGATTTTCTGTAAAATATTCTAAAATAATTTTTATAGAAACCCTTAAGTTCATTGAAAAACGATTTAACCTACACAAAATCCTACAAAGAATGATTATAATTTATGTTAGTGAGTAATATTTTATGATTTCATTTTATAAGTTGAGTTTGGGTCGTGCTTAACAAATCTCTAGAATGCTGGCTACGTGATAATAATAGTATTCTGTATATTTTTACTGAATATATAGATACTTCTTTTGTGGTTAACCATGTGATTGGGTATTTCAATTGTCTTCGTTATTTTTTCATTTCATATAATTTTATCGCGTGTCTCAATTTTTTAAAAAATAAGAATGATTCATGTTATAAACAACACACATAATCGATATTTCTTACAATTTCTTGTGAAAAACGAAGTCGTATAATTGTGTCAGTCTTGAATTTACTATTTTTATAAATTGTACAACATTATAACATTGTGAGTGAATAAAATTATATGTAAATAGCACGTGAGAACTATCTTTAAAAACCAATTAGTTGAAAATTAATTGCAGTCAATTTTTTCACAGTAAATTTCAATACTTAATCATTTAGTAAATAAAACTATGTACCTACTATTAATTTTTACTCTAATTCTTATGAATGAAATAATAATAAAATAATTTGAAATGAAAGTAAATTAATGTTTCTGGTGGAGTATTTTCGTCAAAATAAAACATTTAACAATTAAAAAGAAAAAGGCGCATACATGTTTGTTAATTGAAGTAATACCGGAAAAGAGTGCAGACCGTAACAAAACTGTTTAACATGCCGACAGAGGGACTCGATATATAAGCGATTTTCAATAGTCACCGTACTAATAAGATACAAGATTTTTTTCTATGTGAGTGCGAATTTATGTGCTGTCATCGTATTACACATTTAAATTATTATCTATAACTGGCGTTAGAGCAGAAGATGTCTTTTTACAAGTCACGTCAAGTGGCAAATTAATGTTATTAATTTCAAAATCAACGGCGCGTATCGCACACATACACTTGACCATAAGAATCGTCACAGAGTTTCGAATGTATTTCATTAACCTAAATAATATGTGGAAAGATATCAGGCCGTAGACAAGAGAAAAAATAAAAAAACACTGCAGCTCTATTTTCTGGTATGCTTGTTATCCCTATGAATTAACGTGTAGGTAAATAGAAAAAAAAAAGACTACCATGTTAAACCGAATAACACATCACGGTTGATTGATGACGAGTTGGTAACCACCTTTGCTATTTATTATTGTAGTAATAGTAACCATAACAATGTGATGCACGTATTTTGAGTAATATATAAACTTTAATATTATTATAACTGAAAAATTGTGATTTTAATTAGATTGTTAACTTTTCAATTTCACTGTGGTTTTCAGAACATTTATTTAAGAAAAAATTAATGCAGAGTCTTATGGCGTTGTTGATGATTATTAAGTTAATCAAGGTTAAATTGATGTTCATTCTACCACTTGTTGTAGGCGCATCTGCAGCGAAAAAAATATTGTTAAAAGTGTTACTTTTTATATTCCCACCTCTCGCGCATCTGTTCAAAATGTGTTCGTTCTATCAGCATCATGCCGCCAAATACCATTTCCATCACCACAAGGTAAGAAATTATTTTGTTATCAAATAGATATCAATTTTCTTTGTTAATTTGACTACCCAAAAATCATTAACGAGTGTGTCATCAACAGATATACTATTCATGTTTGTGATGAAACATAAATATTATAGTTCTATATACACAATGACACAGTAATATATACGAGCATTTATTAAGTGAATTTGAAATTTTAATATACAATTAACAAATAATTTTTAACTGGTTGGTCATCTTATGAGTATATAGAAAGGTAAATTAATTTAAACAAACTATTAATAAGATAGAGTTTCAATTGACATACATTATCAAATTCCTTGAAATAAAAACTATGAAGTCATTATTTATTTTATGGCTATGGAAAATTTCAGAATGTATAAAGTATATTTCGTACTAAAAGTTAATTAACATCAATAATCATAGATAGATAATATCACATGATTAAATTTATCAATTTGTACGAAATCTTATTTAGTTCATCCTAAACGAATCATTAAATTTTATGTCTATTTTTATATATCATGAATAAATAAATCAGATAAAACTGGTTAAGTAATTCGTTTTTACTCTAATTTATCTCAATATCAGTTTTTTCTTCTATAATTGATGTTTCTGTCACTTATAATAAAAAAATTTTTTTTAAATATTCTAGGTATATCAAAGTTTTCAAGGTTAAATTTTATCTTATTCTTCTTATACGATATTAGACACAATTATTCATTTCAGAACACATTAATGTAGTGTTTGTATTAAGGTTTGGGTTATATTTTATTATCGAGATGATTAATGAATATTTTTATAATTGATTAGACATCGCCCACCATTACTATTACTAACACACAAACGAAAGTAATTGACGACTATTAAATATAAATAATCATCATTGTTTATTGTCATGCAGATAAAACATCATCATCATCATATTAATGTACCAGTACATGTACCTGTCCCTGTAGACAAACCTGTGTACGGACATGACGATTACTACGCTGGTGCAGTTTTGGACCACCCTCCTGGATACGACACACCTGATGTACGTATTCTAAATTGTAAAATTCAGGCTTTGACTCTGAAGTATTGTTCAATTTTAATTGTTATATAATAATTGCATTAAAAATATTAGAATTACTTTTATCTTCTTTAATTCTTTTGTGTTAAAATTTATTTTTAATTTTTAGTTGTTTGTGACAAATTTTATGATGAAATTATAAACAGGTCTTGGTAAAAATATGGTGGACGGAGTACACAAACATTTTTTTTTTTGTAAATTGTGCGACTATTTTTAATTTTTTTTTTCTGGTTAAAATCTTCATATTTTGAACAATTTCTATCTAAAATTGTATAATATTATTGAGTGAAAAGTTCGACATCCCTGCTCGGCATTTTCCTTGATTAAAAACTCTAACTTTCATACTTCATAGATTGCAGGTAGTGAATACTACAATCGATATGATATGGCTAACGCGGTATCAGATCATGGAGATATACTCGCAAGCTGGGGCTTGGGCGAAGAAGGTGAATCTACTCCACACTATGGTCAACAGCCACCAATAAGGTATGGTAGTGGGCCACAACTGTTATCACCGACGTACCCGCATGCTGACAAGTATGTGAAGCGTGGCGATGACGATACAATTGTAAGTAAATCGAGTTAACTAACAATATTAAGTTTAAAGATGGCAATATACGATAAAAACATTTTGATTTATGCGAAAAAATGTCAAGATCAAGTGAAAAAATAAAACACTTTTTAAACAAAATTATTATTCTATCATTCTGATAACAGGGTGTAAGCAGGGTACCACAAAAAGTCATCTATGATCCAGTATTTGGACCAATAGCACAAAAACTTGATGATATATTCAATGAACTACAAGTCCCTGATGAAGTCTGCAAGGAAAAGCTGGTGTGCAGGATGTATGGAAACCCGACGCGGTATAGTCCACACAGCAATCTGGTATCGGCGCAACTCAGCAGGTAATGATAGTAAAAACACGTTCACCTACTTCCGACTAACATAATATTTTGTATTTCCTGATGTCAAAAAGTCCACGCGAATAACCCACTTATAACCTGTCCTACGACCTAGTTGCTGGTCCACCAGTATATTCCTTGCTGGGATCCGCAGATACGAAGAATTTATTTTGTCGCCTCCACAGTACATCATAAAAGAGCACGGCCTTGAACTTGTGCCACAGGCTTATCGATAATGCCCACTAAAATAATGATTTACATTAGAAACAATTGTGATGTTGATCTTTCAGACAATTGATAGATCATAAATCTCGTAAGCATTATGTATTCATGAGGATAGTAATATGTTTATCAACAAAATGAAATGTTTATTGTTTTGTTTAGCTGCATAAAATGATTTATTTATATTCAAACGCTTTTTTAATTGATTATTGAATTATTAATTAAAATGTTTGGTCTAATTTATCTATTTTTGTTTGCGTATAGAAACTTACAATATTAGTATGTGAGAATTTCTGCATATAAATTAATGTATATCTTGACCATCAAACGCACGCAAATCGCTGACCTTGTTCGTCAATTTCCTTAAATTAAATAATAATTTACATTGGTCATAGGTTCAAAAGACTTTCTATGGTGAAAGTGTAGTTCTATATAAATTAATTAATAGTAACTATTGTCGAATAAGTCGTTTGAATTGCAAATATATTCGTCTCAACATCATTTAGCTAATATGTTACAGTATTGTTGATTCATAAAATTTTATTAGAATAGCCTCGTGAAAAGTTAAAAGACAAGTGAATAGTGTTCAATTCTTATTGACTACGTCAAGTGTGACTTCAAAAAAATGTTGAAATTTATATTAGTGTGACTGGTATCAATTGATATAAGTCACGTATAATATTCTTCGGACAATTTACACAAATAATATTTTCGAGGTGTCTAACTAAATGCACGCCTTAGTATTTTGTTCCGTTACAACTACAGGTACACATCTTTCAAAATTTTGATATAACATCTGTGAGTTAGAACAGTGCATTGTAAAAAGAAAATAATTAAAATTAAAATAATGGACTTAACAGTTTTATTCTTTCAAAAGTATTAAACGAATAATGTATGATTAAAAATTACATTATAGGAAATAGGTTGCTTGAAATTTATATCAAGTACCACCTATTTTAAAGTATCATTTTCGACCGGCCTGAAAGATAGCCAAAGATAATGACAGCGAAACATAGCTCTATTAACTGTTGTTGGGTCTAAGTTATGAATAGAATTGTATTAAGTGAGATGATAAGTATATTAGTGTCAACAAAAAAAAGACTTGTAATATCTTATGGACTAAACATCATCAATCAAGGACTCTGTTGTAGTAAATATAAAGTGAGTGTTGTTATTCAATGCTAATGTTGTTGTTGTTTTAGAAATTACTTGGATAGATTTAGTTTACCTCCAGTAGGTACATATTGTTTTATTTTAATAAACAAACTGAAAAATCTTCTAAATGCGTAGTGATGATATTTTCTCGGGTAACTTTCTTTGATACACGGAATAAAATAATTCACCCTTGAACATTTTGTGATCCACCCATAGTGCTTTTTTACTTTCAACAATTTCTATAGATAATTGACTGATACAATTTTATTATTCGAGTCAACATAACAAATGTTTCTACTCTAATAGTAATTTTTATCATTACTGTTGGCATCTAAGTCGTTATTGTCATTACTTGTTATTATTGATGTACGTACGTGCTCCTATTGTCCGCATACTGACACCAATTCGGTGACACTCGACCGCTCTGTGTCAGTCTTTTAACTATCTAACACTAGACCTTCGGCATACTGGTTTTTATTAATCTTAAGTTCTATGCGTATTTTTCAATCATCTTTTTCGATTTCTATATGATATTTCTAACGAGTTATCTAACATTCCATTAACATAGAATGTATTCCAAATAATTTCATTATGTGGCCATGTTGAAAAATTAGATTACTTCTGGTAGGTATTTTCTTTATTATTATTGAACGTTTATTCAGTAAATTTTAAAAAATATGCATACAATTTTTATTCTATTATTATTACACTTCAATATATAGAGCAAATAAGTTTAATTTTCCAAAAATAAATAATTTTTTTTATTATTCTAGATTAATATTTTAAATTATCAAATTTTGCGTATATCTTATTGGTATATATTATCAGTATAACATACATTTTTTTAATTTTTCAAACTCCATTCATATAATATACGTAAACAAATATAAATAATTATTATACTTATTAAAAGAATATATCCAATATTACATTTTTTATTTTTGTGTATAACAATTAAAAATGTGTTTTTATTAATTCTTAAAGAAAACCGAATCTTTAAACAATCTCAAATTTGAATCGAAATCAACTTTCCACACTTTGCTGGAATTTTATATATTTCGAGGTACTAAGTGGATATCATTAACAAACTATTTTGAATATTTGATAAGTAGATATAAAAACAAATTAATTAATTATTTTCTCAAGTTTCAACGCCAGCATTCAATTTTTTTCTTTATGTACTTATTTTTTATTATGTTCTAATTAGTTATTTAAATAAATAATATCCTAGAATATTTGTAATGAAGGCTTGGGAATTATGCAATTATAAAGATTATTTTAGTCATTCCAATTATATCAACCATATATATATATATACATAGAGGTATTAATTTTAGTTTTTCTTAACACTAATTAGTGTATTTTATTAATTACAAATTTTTTTTGGGAACGATTTATTGGAAAAGCCCCTTCCCCAAAAAATAAAATAAAATATACATTTTTCTATTATTCCTCATATAAATAACTTAAAAAAATAAGTTATATATATATATATATAAGTCAATCTTTTTAACTTTATAGAGATTTTTAAACTTTAACTAACATATAAATTGTAATACAAATGCCTAGCCTAAAAAAATTTTCTAATGATCTTTAAAATTGTTAATGTCAGTTCAGACAACTTCATTGTAATCATGATCAATTCTATTGTATGGTATTTAATAATATCCTATTTCCTTTTTAGTAATGATTATATGTCAACATATAAACTAATGTTCTATATAATGACTTATACTTTTACAATATGATGTTGATTGTACTTAATGACAAAAAAAAAATTGTACTTTACTTTTGATGATGAACTACGATCTTAACCTGGAGATCTTATCTGTGTTATTTATGGTATTGATACGTGTCTCTTTTGTTGTACAGTGATACATCTGCTACGTCGGCTCGAAGAATAACTACAAGTGTGGATGCGGCTCGCATATGGAAGTATATACAAGCTGCCAAAGAAGGACAAAGTGGTCAGGATTGTGGAATAATATACCCAACCTGCACCATGGTTGGACTGTGAAAAACCGGAAAAAGGATCAACAATATAACTAAACATATTTAATTAATTATTAGTGGCCGAAAATCAAAATAAAAAGCCCAAAAAGGCGAAGAATTTATTGTTGCATATTTAGGAATTTACCTTCTTTTTACTCCAACCCACCGGGTTTGCTTTTGTTATCTACTAATTTTCATATTCAAAGCAACTCAAAAAATGTTGTGCTAGCTCATAACTATAATGATAAAAAAAAGTTACAAAAATTCGTTTGCTCCAAAGTTCATTTTACATAGTATTTTACTTGTATTTTATGTTATACACATCCATACTACATCTAGTCACGATTTAAAACGAGTGTAGTAGGTTTAGGGCAGCGTTCATAGATATACCACATGAAAAATTAAAAAATTATCTTACATCATCATTATTAATCGTTACTTTATTAATCATAATTCACATACATAAATTGACAAATATTTTCTTAAGTTGACTGGTAAATCTCTGTATGCTGCTCTTACACACAAAATCATGTAATATTATTTAAAGAATTTTACTACGATAATTTATTTAAAAGTTATTATTATTAAAATACCAAATTTTGAATTGTAAACATTTACCTCGTGATGCCAATTGTATATTTCAATTGCAATAGATATACAGAGGTTAATGTATATGATGAGTGGTAGTAGTTTCATGTCATGAAATTTTAAGTAAAACAAATTGTTTAAAATTTATTTTAGAATTATTTTAAAATTTCCATAGATTAATTAATTTAAGTATTTATAAGTTATTTTTAGTATTGTGATAGAATATAAGTACAGTGTACCTAGTTTTGTATTAATTTTGTAATAAAACTTATTCATAAGAAAATTTTGTAAAAATTTAGCACTTTATAATATAAAAATAAAATGTTTAAATATGGTATACCTGAAATTACTTTTTATCGTAGAAATACATTTTAGCACATAGAATTTTTTAAAGTAATCTGAAGTCTATTGTTATAAAAATGAATATAGCTACAACTTTATTGTAAAATTTAGATTTAAAATAAATGCCCTCAAGTTTAAGTATGAATTGAACACTTATGGTAGTAATATTGTTCATACAATCTTAAAGTGAATTTTTTGTAAAACACCAATAGAGAATCTTTATATTTTATATATACCTGTAACACGTTACCTATAGTAAAAATATTCACATATATTAAGACTATTAGTACTTGATTGAAAATTTACTTATAGTATTGCTTAATCTTAATTATGGTTCTTGGTCAAAAAAATTAATGTACAAAATACGTATATTAAATAAGTTACATAGATCATTGCTATAAAAATTAGAGAAAATGTGGAAATTCGACACATTTTTTGGTGTTAAAATTTAACTTCTCTTTAAAGTGCAGATTTCTTTATATAAAAATATTTTTAGGAGACGTGATTATATTTTAAATATCATCATAAGCAAAAATCAGGTAAATTTCTGAAAAATAAATTTTAAATGTCCATCTCATTCAATATAATTTAAATTTTAACGCCATCAATTTTGTAATGGATAGAAAATTTCTATTAATTTAGAAGAATTTTTACAGAACTTCAATTAATAAAAATATGTTACTATTATTAAATCCAAAAAATTAGTAAAATTGAGTGGTTTCAAAAAAGATCATTTCTGTGATATCTATAGTTACTACGGTAAAAAATACACAATTATAACACTACTCGAATAGTTTATTTTCATTTTTAATAATTTGACTGAAATTAATTAATTTTTTTTTTTTTTTTTTTTTAANTCATTTTTAATAATTTGACTGAAATTAATTAATTTTTTTTTTTTTTTTTTGTAACATTCTATAAGTAGAATTTCAATCAGGTATTAATAGTCTTGAGAAATGTGAATAATTCAAACATATCTAGTAAGTTAAAGTCATCATTGGTAAACCAAAATGAATTTTATTTATATTAATTACAGTCATTATTATTTGAATTATTTTGGTTTATGTTATTATGGAAAATAATATATGATACAATATCATTAACTGTTCATTGAATGGAACACTAAAATACAACGACAAATTTATTCAATTAAAAAATCCCATAAATCCAACATCTTTAAGCTTTTATGCTAATAATATAAATGTAAAAACTTTTGGTGTATTGTGTTAACTACTTTGAATTAAGATACCCAAAAGTGTTTAAGTAATGATATGATTTTTTTTCTTTTTTTACAATTTTTACTTTTGTACTAAAGGTTTTCTTAAATGACCGATTTAGCACCAAACTCATTAAAAAAATATTTCTTAAATTGGTAACATAATAGAAAGCACTTCATAGTATAGCTATTAGTAGTTAAAATATTTAAGTAACCAAGTATTATTTTGATTTTATTTATCGAAAACATTAAAACACCTTGATATTTTTAAGATAAGAGTTTTTAAAATTGTTGAAGAATAACATTTTTAATTTTTTGGTGACGTTGAATAACGTGTATTAAAGTATAAGTATAAAATAGAGATAAAGATATACTTGTAAAAATCATATTAACAATTATTGTATGATTCTACAATTTAATGATTTCAAACCTGTGTGCTGTCATTAATATTTACAAAAAGTATAATTCCTCTGAGACTATCGATTGTTAGTTAAAATATGGGATTTACTAATCTCATGTAGTCATAATTTTATATGGTCTGAGTACAGAGTATATGAATTCTTATCAACGATACTGTAACTACAGAAACAGTTTACCTCAATAAAATAAATACAGATATACTTAAACAAATTTGTATAATTTTTTCAATTTATATCATTTTTCTACTTAATTATTCCAGTATTTAAATTCTATTTAAATAACAATTAAAAGAAACTATATTGTCTGTATTACATTCTATTAGTGTCAGTTTTATCACGTTAGATTCATCAAGTACTCTGTAATTATCGTCAATTCTACGATGTACCTACTCATTTTTAATGGATGTATGTTAAGTCACTTAATAATTGATGTTTATTGAATGAATTCATTATAGCTGTAAAATGTCTTACAATAATTATCACCACGGATTTTTTAATATCTTCATTTGATTATCATACAATTGTCTTGCAGTAAGTGCACTACACAGTATAATACGGTTAAAGTAACCATTAAAATATCAATAAAATTGACAACATATATTGGATAAAAAAAATTCGAATAAAAAATACTAAAATACTAATTAATTTAAGTATTACAATAATTCTATCTTGTATAGATTTTACTCTTGGACTAAAGGGGTTTCTCAAACAACTGATTTAATTAATTAATTCGTCCAAATTAAATTTTTTAACCCAAAAGTCATGATTTTTTAAGAATAAAATCACACTTAAGCTTACAGTATTTATATTGTCTACAAATAGTGTTGTTGGATATTCACAGTGAATGTATAGTATTTATGAATTGATGTCAATTATTGTAAAATTAAAAGTTCTCAAATTTCCTGAAATAAAAATGCACATTCAAAATTTAGAATAATATAATTTAAATTTAAATAAAGTAATTTCACAATTTTTAAAATAATTTAATATTACGAATAATAATTACAATTAACAGTATGTAAATGATAAAACCAAACTTATAATACTTTAAACGAAATTTTAAAATGAACAGAAAAAAAGTTCTTAAAATTATTTTTTTTAATCCTCAAACTATTTAGTTAAATTTACGAAGGATTTATTTAAAATTTCAATAAATAAAAATATGTTTATTAAATTAAACAAACAATAAAATTGAGTGGCTTAAAAATAAATAATGTTCGTAATATTTGTTTATAACCGTCGTTACTACAGTAATTAATATACAATTAAAACATTATTTTATAAAACTTCAAATTATTAAGGATATATTAATGTTATTAAATCAAAAAAATGAATTAAGTTGAGTGGTTTCAATAAAAATAATTATTGTGATATCTGTAGTTGCTACAGTAAAAAATACACAATTATAACACTATTCGAATAACTTATTTTAATTTTTAATAATTTGACTGAAATTTAGAATTAAAAAAAAGTATCTTTAACATAATTAATATATTTTTTTTTTGTAAATTCATTTTACATTCTTCTGCAATAAACCGTTATTTTATAAAGAAGACTATTTTCACCAAGAACCATAATTAAGATGAAACAATTCTACAAGTAAAATTTCAATCAGTTATTAATAGTCTTGAGATATGTGAATATTTCAAACGTTGCTGGTAAATTAAGTCAATCACATTACATTTTATTCATTTTAATTATAAGGTAACTTACAGAATAAACATTTTAAAAATATTATACACAAATTCGGAAAAGTTCCTATATTAGGAATATTCGAATCGTCTATTCATGAGTGAACAAACTATTTAACTTAAATGAATTTTGCTTACAGTCATATTAGTTACTTATAGATATTAGTAATTCAAATGAAATCATGAATAGTACATATTAATTACAATTATACGAATGGTTTCATTAATCTTCTAATTCATTTATTTATTAAATTTATTTCAAACTTAATTTTTTGAAATTCTACTTAAAAGCTTTATAATATAATATATAGTTTTTTTTTTTTTAATATAAGTTTGCTTTTAAGTTTTCTCTGTAGCTTGTCCAGCCATCGGGATCGTCCCCAAGGCTGCGAAAGGGGAACGTCCTGTAGATATGCAGGATAGCCTCAAAATAAGCTGTCACCAATTTGTTGGCTCGGACGAATAAGCGGTCACGGACAAGGGTAATGTCGGTTAGCTTGGTCAACCATCAACATCTTGGAGGACATGGACTATGAACCCCCGCTGTTCATGATGAAGCACTTAATTAAGTGACTTTTGATACAGCGCGGTAATCGAACAAAAAACAATGGATATGTATAGAATATGAAGGATTCATATTCAATCAAAGTCATTGCAAGTCAAAGAATTACATTTAAAGTAACGATTATATTAATACTAAAAGATTAGTCAAATTAACTTAATTTTTTTTTATTACACAGAGTTCTCATAATTCCAATAAAAGTTTTTCGAAAGCAGTCCCTCCAAAAAATGTTCTCAAAAAATACTGGGATAAATGGTACAAATTATTCACAAAATATGATCGAGGCATTAAATTGAATCCCAAGAGTTTTTACTCAGTTTGTCCAGATATATTGAGTTACCATATCGCTCACTCAACATTGCAAGGGAAATGTTGCAATGGACCTTTTTTGTGGAGCTGATAGAAACATTATTCAACTAGCCAAATTCTACACCAAAGGTAAACAGGATTACAATAATTTTATTTTTGTATCTAATCATTAATGCCATAATTTAAGTACCCACATAGCATATGTTAATTTTAAAGGTTTATTAATGTTAGAAAAATATATATATATTTGACATAAATACCACAAAAATGTTTTTACTCAACATTACTTTTTCAAAAATAACTTTGATTAAGAACTGTGCTGGTAATTTCTGAATCAATTTCAGTAAACATTTTTCATTGGTTTAATCAGTCTATAGAGTTTATTAGTATTATTTTATAAATAAAAAATTGTATTCAATTTCGTTATTTTTCAGAAATTTTTATTGATATTTGATACGACAACAATTAATTATTTTTAATATTTATTTTGTACTTAAATATTAGTTTTCAACTAGATTTAAGTTTTTTGAATCTCTTTTATCTTATTTTTATTTTCCCATTATAATTTTATCTTTTTTAGTGTTTTTATTTTTTTTTATTGTATTTATTTTAATTAATTGTATAATCCGAATATATAATTTTTTCCTATTACATGTATCGTCATATGAATATGTCAGCAATGTTCTTCAGTAAAAAAATTTAATTTATCTCTATGAAACTTAAAATATTATTTTATACCAATATATGTGTTATAAATTAAAAAAATATACACTTTAATAATATTCGTAAAATAAAAAGAGGTTACTCTGTATTTAAAGTTGTGTGATAGAAGGGTGACGAGGGAAAAATCACCCAGAACAATGACTTTTAGTATTTTATTTCCTTTTTGCTTTCCAAATTATTATTTTATGATTAAGAAAATATATATTTTAATAAATAACTGATACTTTCAGTTATCTAAGTATGAAAATAGTAAAAACTTATAAAGAAAATAATTTATAAATAATACTATCAATGAAAATGGTTTTTTTGATCAACTAAAATTGATTTGAGTAGTATTATAAAGATTGAAAAAAAAAAAAAAGTATGAGTAAATATTACATTATATCTGTTGAATCCTGAAAAGAGGACGCAATTACTCATTACATTTTTTAGTGCTAAAAAAATGATTAAAAACGTACGATTACAAAATCGTACGATTTAAAATTGTATTAATATTATTGGTATCATATTATTAAAAATATATACCAAGTCTCCTCAAAGTTCTGAATCTTATCTACAATGGAAATATCTGACTAGCTACAAAGGATGTTTGAACTAATTCAGTGATTATTGTCTTAAGTTACGCAGAAAAATCTATTCTTCACATAAAAAGACAACAATCTGTGTCTTTAATACTGTATAAAACAACCAATTATTTCAAGTTCAATGACTAAAATAAAACACCTTCGTTAATATATGAAACTTTAAAAAACCTATGCCACATATAGACAACATCACTCAAAAAGAGACAATCTAATATAAAGGAAAAATGAAAAATGAGACGTGTCAACAACTTTCAGACAATGCACTAATCTGTAATAAACTGTAAATATAAAAAAATATTTTTTTAAATGCTACTTTCTCAAAAATACCATGCTTGAAGAAGTCATTATCTATTATTTACCTATCTGTTAATTCATGTTATATTTAAAAAAATTAAAAACAATTTTCTGGTATATTCTCACAATATAATGTACCATCACTGACTGTTCAAGACACTCAATTACTATAATAAATTTAGGAAATCACTCCTCAAAAAAAACACTTAAAGAAAAAGAACCGTCATAGTGGTCGATGTCTTTTGATAATGACATATGTTTTATATGTTATATCGCATAGTAATTAAAATATTAATTTATGATTAAATTATGTTTTAGTTATTTAATATATTATTAGTAATATGTATATTTGTCTCGTCGTAGAGTTCATCTCCGGAAACGATAGTTACAGGTGCGAGATTGGACCTATACTGCCGAATTAGCTTGTTTCCTATTTGTTTTTGTTATTATGTTTATTTCAACGTTGTTGTTTTGTTTTTATCATTATCACAGTTTTTGTTATTGTCATTTTGTTATTTTTGTTTTTCATTAAAAATAAAAAAAAAAAATTTGTGCTGGGTTTTTACGTATCAAAGAAATGATAATATTAAGTCAAACAATCTTTGAAAACTATATTTTCCCAATTTGATTCTATCTTTATATACTGTTATCTGATAAATCAATACAGTTACCTTTAATCATAAGTGAAATACAAAGAAAATTGTATAAAAAAAATTTTTTGAGAGAGCTTTTTTAACTAATTAGTTTTATTTTCTCATTGGAAGCTGGCCAATAAGCCCTCAAAACTGCACATGATTTTGGTGATAATCAAGAAGAAGAATGTTAAACAATAAAATAGAAATTTTGATTCCAACTGATCAGGAAGGACTTTGGATGCAAATTTTAATTTTTCTAAAAAACGCCTCATAGCTCTTTACATAATTATATTGAAATAATTATTTATTTATTTTTTTTTTATTGAATGAAACAATTAAAAAGAAAATAATTTACTGAACTAAATAAAGAATAAAATCTTTCAATTGAAACGTGAAAATTAATTTAAATTTAAATAATCCTGTAGACTTTTAAATCTGACAATTTTTTTGCATTGATTGTAAGTAAAACAAAATTTATTTAAATAAAACACAAATGATATTACTGTGTTATTATATAGTCCTCTTCCCGCAAAAAGAATTTATAGTTATTGAACTACCTTCAATATACTTAATTTAATTATTATTAATTCTCACCTAATTTAATTAAAAATTACTATTTACCAAAAAAACGATTTTCTTTTAATATAAGTAGATTGATTAATTATGCCTCACGCAATATATTCAAAAATATATAATAATATATGATTTTTTTCTTTTTAAAAACTCGTATAACTCTACATAATATAAATTAAAGACAAAAATTAGTTTTACCTTTCAACAGATATTCACTTTAGCTTTTTGTATGACAACAAATATATTTATTTCGTTCGCATCATAGAAAATTATTTTATTAAATAATAATTGTTAATAACAACTTTTGTATGTTTGGAGTTATTAAAACTTAAAAATGATGGCTGCAGGTTAGACACGGATGTATTTATTTTTATTATTGAGCATTGTTTGCCGTGCTACACATTTAGATATAAAAGTAATAATATCTATATTTATTATAGATTTTATAATATTAAAAAAAATAATAGTTTAAATGTTGTTATTGACCCGTCACTTTTTAAATTAGATAATTTACAATTATTATAACTAATTCAATTTGTACGTTTCAATATAAAAATTCAAGATGATATAGATTTAAGTAATAGGCAAGGGAAGGTAGGTCTAGATTTAAAAAATAAATTAAGCATATATTAAATATGCTTAAAATTGTTTAGTTGTATAGGCCTATACAATTTTGAGAAGAAAATTGATAACATTTTTTGTATTTTTAAAGGTATTGTGTTAGGCGTAGTTAATGATTACCGTAAAAGTAAAATGAACGTATTATATTGGAGGATAAAAATATATGTGAAATAGTATTAAAGTGATATGTAGGAGAATATTATTTGCAATTCACATGCGGATATGATATCTTTTATCATACTGTTGTACTTAATATAGATATTCTTTTAGACGTTAATATTTCATCTGTGATCCATGCTTATTGTAAAAAGTATCGATACGTGATTTAGATAATGTCACGAAAGTAGAAATGGGGCCCAACTATGTCCGGCCTGTGTTTAGTTATTAAAAATTCAGAAAACGATCGGTTCTTCTGCTATCGTTATAAGCTCGAGTACGTATGACTAGAGCGTTCATTCAGTTGCCACCACGTCCATCATGCATTGTCTATCAACCGTGTTTTGCTGCGCGCTGTCGCTGATCGTTGCTACCCAGGTAAAAAACTGAACATAAATTCACACATTTACTCTGTACAACTTTATTAACTACGTATATCACTTTATGATTTTGTTTCATTATATTGAAAGAAGTTTTCTGTAAAATTATATTTTTGAACAGGCTACAGAAACACTATTAGAATTTGGTGGTCAATTGTTGAAAGACTGTGGTACCAATTGGTCATGCGTCAGACCAAGGCTGTTGAAGTATGTAAGCGAATCAGCACTTCAGGATGAATTTAGGCTTACACCTGACATTAGCTTAAAACGAACTCATGTCAGTCCAGACTACGAAGAAACCGCTAACCAGGTAAACAATATTGAAGTGTACTATATTACTGAGTTTGCATATCTGTTTTATTTTACTTAAGATTCCCAATGGAGGAGAATATAAAGAAGCCGTCAAAAATAGTGCAACTCTTCGTATGTTAGATCAAGTTGATGATTACCTAAGCACTCACGAATTAAAAGTTAACTTACCCGAAGAACTTGGATCAACAATAGGAGATATCAAAGTTCCATTAGTTGAAGGACAAGTTGTTCAAGAAGGTCGAAGTAAGTTTTCATATAATTATTTAACATATCTATTTAAACATAATCAACTTATTTTATTTAACAATATCTATTAAGTATAAATAAATAATAAATAATTTTATAAGTAAAAATTATATTAATTTTAAGTAAAAATACTATTCAACTAGACTTTTGTTTAAATTAATAATAAATTTACACAAATACAATTTAAAAAAAAATTTTTCTTATATTATATATTTTGGTTTATTTATGATCATTAGGCCGGCATTTTGTACGGAAGGTCGTCATACCATTCCTTTTGGGTCTTAAATTCAAAGCAACAGTGGTAGTTCCTATTGCTATTGCTATTATTGCTCTCAAAACATGGAAGGCCCTTACCTTAGGTCTGCTATCATTGGTACTATCTGCTGCTATGGTCATCTACAGGTTTACTAAACCCAAAGTGGTTGGTGTTGAAATTCTACACTATCCATCTCCAGTCCATGCTCATCATCATGATGTATACGCCCACGCCAGAGCATACAGTGCTCAACAACCAGCAGAACAATCATAGATACTGGCTGTAAAGTTTTGATATTATCTATTCAGACGAAAGAAGTGCTGTTATTTATTTGTATTATTTAGTATTGCGATAATAAAAATGAAGTATTTATTTATTTATTAAAATTGATTATTAAAATGAAAAATTGTCTTCATTAATTATATTGATGTAAATAAAATATCTACAAAATCCTTATCAAAAATAATAATTTTAGATTAATATCCATGTCAAAAACACACTGCAATCCTCATTAAATTTAATAAAATTTACAATATTGGCATAAAACATTTCTGAAAAATCCGATAAGTTCAAGGCTACATTCGTATATAGAAAATATTTACATCTTAGGCTAATTAATTATGTAAATAAGTAACTACTATGTAATATTAGTTTTAAAAAGGAGATCTATATAGTAATCGAGAACATGTCGTGCTATAAAATTATAGATCAAAAATATTTTGTAGGTCCGTTTTAACAAATGACTTTATGATTATGAAATTTAATTTGAGTTTAATATAATTAAGTGATTTTGCTACTTGCCAGTTAGAAATGTCTTCATATAACGAAAATTTCAATTAAAAATGGGCATTTCATAAGACAATTGCACAAAATTGTTTTTATAGTAATTAAAAATAGTTAACTGACAGTTATATAAGTCGCCAAAAAATTAGAGTCCATATTTATATGCATTAATAAGGTTCAAAGTAATATAAAAATGCGCATAAAAAACCTTGAGAAATGCATTAAATATAATGTTATTAAAACGAATAAAATATAAGTATTTAAAAAAAATTAATCCCTCAACTATTATTAGTAAAAACGTTCAACCTGTAGTATTTAATTCTAGTTCACCATTATAGTGCTATATTTTTTCGAATTTAATAAATGATAAATTCAACATGTCTCAAAAAATTTATATTTAGGATTACCATTGAGACAAAAAAAATGAGAATATTCAACGCACTATATTTAATATATTTGATTGATAATATATTATAAAATGTAATTTTTTTAAAAAACTGTCTTACTTCATAAAATTAGGTGAAAAACTCATATTAAGGTATTTTAATTGGCTGTAAAACAAATCTATGATATTTACAGAGAGAGTCTCGAAGAAATTACAAATCCTATAATTATTTCACAATTATTTTTTTAACAATTTTTGTTTACTAAGCCATCGTTTAAAGCATATTTTTGATTATTTATCATTAAAAGGAAAATAATAAAAAAGTACATTTTTATTTTTATATTTTCATAATGGCCATTTTAATCCTATTTTTTACAAAAACTTTGATGATTCAATAACACCTTTAAGATAAGTTCTTATTGAATTTTAAGTATTTTAATACATAAAGTTGGTATGTAATATAAGTGATTAATATTGGTACAGTTGTATGTGTATTAATGAATAAAGCATTTATAGTTTTTAATAGCTGACATCGAGAAAGTAAAAACGCTTTGTTTTATAAATGAAATCATAGTTTTGTATTATACATATAGTTTATACTATAATGAAGATGTAGGTATGTATGACAATCGTGATAATATGACACAGTCATATTTTCACTGTTCAATATTCTAAACAGTAGAATTGAAATTGGCCTACTGTATTAGTTTTCAATAAGTAATTCAGTTTTTAAATTCTCCCACTATTTTCGGTGTTCATTTTAGTGAATTATAAAACCAAAAATAAATTTATATTATTATATTAATCTCATTATTTATTGACATTAGGATAAAAATTTGAATAATATTATTTCGATATGAATTATGATGATTTAAAATAAAAATATTAATCCGATATTTCATTTTACTTTTTAATTTATATGTATCTATTTTTAATTGTACATGTACAGAATACTAATAAAGATTGAATCAATAAGTGAAAAGTTCCATGTTACACCTAGTGACCTTACTTTTAACTCAATTAACACTTTTCGTTACTTTAGTTATTAAATGTTTGTTATTACATTATAATATATATGTATTTTTTTATTCATTTAAAAAAAAATGAATTAAAAAAAATATTAAAAAAAAAAACCCAGCACAGGGGGGTCGCGGCACAGTGGTGACGTGGCATAGTTGGATCAAGTATAATGATATCTGACAGTGATTAAAATCACTATAAAAAAAAAACGCTTCGATGCAAATCTTTAGATAGTGTTTAATTTTAAAAAATTGGTGGATTATTCCAAAAGCTTCATAAACTGCTAGTTCCTTATTAATATCCTGATTAAGATAAAGTATGTCGAATGAAAAAGGGATTATTAAAAAATAGTATTTCCCATAAAAAAATTATATTGATNGATGCAAATCTTTAGATAGTGTTTAATTTTAAAAAATTGATGGATTATTCCAAAAGCTTCATAAACTGCTAGTTCCTTATTAATATCCTGATTAAGATAAAGTATGTCGAATGAAAAAAGGAATTATTAAAAAATAGTATTTCCCATAAAAAAATTATATTGATCAATACACTTTACAATAAGTTATAGCATTATAAAGTTAAAAATGTAAAAAATAAAATTGAGAATTTTCACACAATAATAGCATTTGGTAGCCATTTTCACCGTGAAGACAAAATAAAGTCCGAAATTTTTTTTTTACATAATAAAGTAGATTACATTAGCTTTCATTTAATATATATATAAAAGTGTCAGACCTTCCGAAACACTTTCAAAAGTTAAGTTGAAAAAATTAATTTTTTGTAAAAAAGTTGTCATTTCAAATCTCCCCCTGTGGGCAGGTAAAAAGTAAGATTTATAAAATAAATATACCAAATGATAGGTAATGACATCATACATCTATAAAAAAAAGAATTATATTTATATGTTTATTTTTAAAAAGTTATGGCAATTTTAAGTAAAAAAATTTTAAAAATTTTGAAAATTAGCGATTTTTAAAATTGTAATTTTTTAAGGGATTTCCCCCATTTACGGGGAACGAGGGAAATTTTTTCAATATTGGAAGGTAATATCTTTGACAAAATACAATTTATGATCTTTTTACGTATCATTGAAAGAAATCGTTTCGGTGAGAGCTGAGAAAAAGTGGTAACAGACACAAAAAAAAAAAACACATCATAGTAAAACCAATACCTTCTCAGCTTTGCATCGAAGCTAAAAAAATATGAAACATTAGTTTATGCTAATTTTAATATACAAAATAATAGTTAAAAGAGTTCAACTTTTTCTATGAAAATTACAGTTATTATTCTGTGTATATATCTAGTAAATACTTGTAACTAAACGAATAAACATTTAGTGAACCTAAATTTAAAAAGTTTGTCTAAATATAGTGTGATCTATTTACAGAACGTCTCAGACCTAACTGACAACACTTATTACTATTGATACAATTAATCTGTTCAAAGTTTTTTTTATAATTATTAGCTTCTTAAAATACGATAAAAGCATATTTATCACTAAAATAAAAAAAAAATGTTTTATTTGTTAAAAATTTCAAAATAGCTATTTTTTTCCCTTTTTTATTACAAAAAATTCTATTTTATGATAAGTACTCATTGATTTACGAACATTTTAATACATAGTATGGATAGATAGTGAGAAAGGATGCAGTTCGTACTAGTGTTCGTATACTCCGCCTGCGTTTTATCTTATACATTAACTATCTTTTTACAATTTTTTTATTTAAATTATTTATAATTTAAATTTGTAATAGTTACTCATAGTCTAGCATATTAAATATTTGAAAATACAGAGCAATTGACTAACTACGTCTTAAGTAATATCTTCTAAAATACATAATAATATACTATTTTTTCTTTTGAAAAGCTTATGAACTCTACATATTATTACTTAAAGAAAAAAAATAGCTCTACCCTACTTTTAACACTTCAATAGATGTCTACTTTAGCTTTTTTAATAATAATATGTATACATATTTGGCTCATACAATAAAAAATAAGATTAAATATATATAAATATTAAACATAGATTAAAAGGTAAGATAGTCTCTATTTGCTTTAGTATTTTTATTAATGCTTTTTATACATGATTTTTTTATGCTGCATTATATATTGATTGTGGAGTGTTTTTTTATACTTTTTACTTATATTTAAAGAACAAAGAAATTGATATATTGAAAATAGTCGTTAATATTTATCTTAATGAATGAGTTTTGGACGTTTAAAACGGATGTCAAAGCGGATTGCATATCACCTACTTTGTGATTTATGAGTTGTTGCCCCAAAAATCATGATACTATTGTGGCAGTGACCTATCAATTTCACTAGCACGAACATAGACAGTATTGCACTCTGATTAATATTCGGACATTGCCAGCAGCTGCTGAAGACGTGATTAAATGACAATTTCAAACAACACTTTACCCCACCGTACCTTTTTGGATAGAGTAGTCACTAGGACAACTATAAAACCGAAGGACGCGGCCTTTCAATCATCACACACACCACCGTTGTCCATCGTATCACAACAAACACACCATGGCTCGATTTCTGTATTTGCTGTTATCTGCTGCTTTGATAGCATTCACATATGCTTTACCTATGGACTCTTCTGAGCATTCAAGTCCGGTATGTACCATAAAATTATCAAATATTATTATTTTTTTTGAGAGTTACAATTATTAATGAAATCTATTAGGCCGAATCTTCCAACGATATGTCTCTAATAGAACAATTGCAACACATTATTGAAAAACGTGATATTTCTATGGATGTAGCTGGCGCTACCGTCGTCATGTCACCAAAGAAAATGGAAGATAATGAAATGGGCCTTACATTTAAATTGCCCAACGCCGCTGAAGCTAGAGGTCCTTTAAAAAGGAAACTACTAAAAAGACACTTAAAAATATTAATCATCATACTTTTATTTTAGGTAAAAGACATAAGTTAAAGAAAATTCTTATGCCAATTATGGTATTTATTATGCTGAAAGCTTTAACACTCATTCCATTGGCCATCGGTGTTTTGGGTTTGAAGGCATGGAACGCTTTGCAATTATCGTTTTTCTCTTTCGTTCTTAGTATTGGATTAGCTATTTTCCAATTGGTAAGAAAAGCCGGCGAATCTCCACCAGCTTTGGCTACCCATGATGCTGGAATCTACAGTGCTCCATCAGCTCATTATGCTAGAAGCATGCAAGACAACAATAACGCCCACGAAATGGCTTTCATTAACCAACTTCGCCGATAGGTAATATTATTTATTATAAATTTTAGTAAAAATCAAAACAAAAATTCCTTTTTGATCTTCATTATACTTTATTTTACGTATCAAAAAAATGAATATGTATGTATAGATTACCAACCCGCTTGTTCCATCATTTTGTGACACTTGTCTGAAACGGATTGGATAACGTGATTGTGAATCCTGTGAAGAATATTAATATTTATTTATTTATTGTTTTTTCATTTTATGAATAATAATTTAATTAAAATTTTCTTGTAAATACATTTATTGTATGTAATTTTCATACGAATGACTGTTGATGAACAATTTAAAATGAAATATATTATACAGTATTTATTGACAAAAATTGTTTGTTCTTTTTTAATATACTTTAATATTTATGGTTATGATGATGATTTACCAACATCAGAATATAAAACATGCAATTAATTAATATTATATATAAATGAAAACTTAATTTTATATATGCATATATCTATCTTATACATCTTTAATAACTTATTTGCTCTCATCTGTTTGAGGTTAGTCAAATAGATATCCCTATATAATCAATATATAAAAAAAATTAGTTACAATTACAATATCAGTGGATCTTTTTCTTCTTTTTTCTCGCCTTAATCCCAACTGCTTGGGGTTGGCCATCCTTATCCTAAACTACACTTGACAAAATCACCCACATCAGCCATCTTCAAATCGCATTCAATTACATCCCTCAATCTCTTTTTTGGTTTTCCTCTTCTTCTTTCAACATTCATTTCTATAACAGTTCTTACAGCTTCGATTAGAAGCGGATCTTATGCACTAATAAAATTTAAAAAAAATTAATTACAGAATATAAAAAACATACAATTAAATAATTTAGAAAATATTAAATATTAAAAGAGAGACATACTTATATCATATTACATTAATATTCTGTGAAAGCTATGACTTTTTAATGATATCCCCCTAAACGTGTAAAAAATTTTATATTTTAACATAATTAAATACTCAATCAAATTTAGAAAGTAAAGAATATGACATAAATACTTTATTAAATTTATAGAGTATTATGCGTTTGTAACAATTCATAACTTATTCAGATTTTCTCCACCATAATATAATAAATAGTGAGTATCATATATAATCACATCAATAAAAATAGTGTTATACATGATACTGTTTCAAATTAATAAAGATAGTGTATACAATAATTATGTAGATCTAGAAGTTTGCTAAATATTTTAAATTTTATAAACTCATTTTTTTAAACTTAAAATCAATAACTATTGCTTTTTGTTTTCTAATTAAAATTAAAAAACAAAAAGCCTACGCCTATAAGAGAGTGAGCGTTTACTGCTCAATAGGAAATTCAACTATCATTGATATCTAGCCATTGAATTAATTTATAAAAATTGTCAAGACTAATATATTTTTTAACCCTTTTTAAAGATTATTAGATAAGTATTATCGGATTTACATTTAGTTATTAATATTGAGTATACGAATTAATTTTTAGTATGCTATTAGTTTAATTATTCAGCTTAACAATTAAGCTTCAAGTACTGATATAATCATTTAATACAACGAATTTATAAATTATTGACATTTATATATTTAATTCACATGTCAATTTTAATTGACCGCTGGCATTAAATATTTAACCCTTGTTTATAAATTTGTACGTACATAAACAAAAGAATGAGATAATGAGGTTATAATGCCCACTAAAGAACTAACTATTATTTACTATTGTTCATATTGTACTTCCAACATTTTTATTTAAGTTTTGTACAACTATGATTTGATAATTTGATTTTAAAATATGATATTTAAAATTAACACATATTTTATATTTATTGCGATTTAAATGATTATATTTTTTTGAAATATAAATAAAATTGGTTGTGACGTATCAGGAGACAAGAGAATAAATAAAATATAAAGTTCCAATCCCTGCTTTTAAAGTATATTGCATGAACATAAAAATATTTAATGTTTAATAAATTGAGAATATCATGCACTTAAGATTAACTAAAAAAAAGTCTCAAAATTATTTTTATATTTCAACTAATTAAGAGGTTTATGATAAATGAATCACTTTGTGTAAAACATTCTTAATTCTGCAAATTTATAATTTTTTATTAGATTCCGCTAAGAATTAATACTTTATTTATTACTTATGATTTGATTCTTAATATAAAAAAATAATAATTGTTATGTTTAACTATGTATAAGTACGTGCAAAATAATTTTAAGGTGACGTGTGTCCAATTCATTTCAAAATTTAAAAGTAATAGAACGATTTATGTGTTACAATCGTGCTTTGATTATGATAATATTGATTATAATATAATTTAGTAAAGAACTGATTAGTTTAAAGATTAGGGTACACAAATTTTGTTTAATACTTAAGCTACTTTTTAAATTCATTCACTGAATACATTAAACTGTAAACTGTATACTTATACAGACAAGAAAGTATTATATTTTTAGTATTATAAGAAGATTTTTTTCCAAAAAACTTGAGTTATACCAACAATTTAGATATAAAAGAAGAGAAAAATTGTGCCCTGACTATAAAAAAATAGATTTACCAGATTAATAATTATTTCGGAAGCAATAAAACCATCAGTCTTATGTAGATCCCATCCCATATAAGCGATTCTGACAATAAACTCACTGATAAACTAGCATTATCAGCAGCAAAACCCCCTGAGATAGACATAAAGCCACACATAACATATGAAGATGTAACTTACACTATAAAATCAAAATGTGAATCACTCTTGAAAAAATGATGAGAAAAACAAACAAAAAATAAATTAAGACAAGACTCTACAGCTAAATGGCCAGATCTTAAAACCATACAAAGCAGACACCAAAAGACTATAATAATTAATACAAATTGTCTACACTAGACTGACGCACTCTTATCTTATGTGCCCGAAACTATTTGTGATAAATGTCAATGTAAACTCTCAATTAACTATATCTTTTTCAAATGTCCTACTTACCAACATATCAGATATACTTCAAACATCAGAATAATTTCACTCAAAGACACCCTAGCACCACGGACAAGAAACACACATCATAAATTTTCTCAAGACCACTGAATATAAATCTTTAATTTATATCAAACTCACCATTCCAAACACATGATACAGTTAAATCTATGTATAATAGATACTTTGAAATTAACTATGTAATCACTCAACACTTTAATCTTTTATGTTACTATCTATCGTACTAACCTAACACAATGTAAATTTTAGCAGGCTAAAGAATTATATGAAATTTTAAGTTGAAATAAAAACAATTAACAAAATATAAATAATTTTTTTTTTAATTAATTAACAAAAGAAAAAAAATATTTTGAAATTAAAACCAATTCATCAATAGCTATATTTTTACCAGCAAGACAATCTATAGATTGCAGTAGTTTTTAATTGGACTTTTAAAAAATATAATTGTTAAATTTTATAAAAATAATATAATCACAGGCAAAAGAAGTGTTTATAAATATTTAAATTGATATCAAAAAAATAATTTATAATTCTACTAAAATACTTTATAATTGTTTGTCATCTTTATTTTTATATTTTATATCTTTTATATTATGAAAAATTTTACATTAATATGTTACTTTCTTTTCTTTAACTTATATTCTTTATCTTTAAAAAAAAAAAAAGATTTTTAGTTTCAAAAAGTCTTTACTAGAGATATTTACTGCTCTTCAATTAATAAGGTAAAATATTAACACAGTAAAAATGTTAAATAACATTTAACTCAATTATAAAATACGTTATAATATATTTAAACATTAAATGAATAAAAAAATTAATCTGACCCATGTTTTTGTAGCGAATATTTTTTAGGCTGCCACTATTCAGTCACTCTCTCATACTAAAGTAGGAAAATAAACAATACAGAGTAATTCACAAACCACTAATTTAAACGAAAAATAAAATAATAATAAACATTTTTTTATTGATTTTTTTAAGTTCGGTGTTATTTTTCAGTTTATCAATCATGAAAGACATTATGTTCATACTTATACAACCCAACACCATTTTTCTTTTGAATAATATTTTTACTATTTGTGTTGCATCAAAAATATTTGCACATGGCTCACTTGGTTGAGGTACTTAAAATTAAATTATTCATATACAAAAGCTAAATTTTTTTTTAACTAAATTAATGATCGAAAATGTAAAACAACAGTGTACACAACGATTCTTTTATCATAAACCATTTAAGTAATTGAAAAATTAAATTAATATTCATTATTTTTTTTAGGAAGTACTTTTAGTTACGTATTTTTTTTAGTTACACTTTATATGGTTATCACCTTATTTTTTTCAAATAGCAACATACATATTTAACTACTTATTTATTAGTTCATGATGAAAATTATTGGTCGATAACTTTTTTATTATTATTCCAGTAGTTAAAGTTATAAATTAACAGTTAAATTAAAGTTGTAGCTGGATGAATAAGTAAGTGCTACTATTTTTATAAATAACATTTCTCAGCATCAAGCCTGCTTTCGACTATGTATAACATTGTTAGAAAACATGTTAATTGTTAAGTATAAACCTTATAAGGGATGAACATAAAGACACTTTATCATTAATAAATTGTTATTTTACTTTAAATTGAACAAAATAAATTTTGTAAGCCACCCTGGAACTTTTCATTATAATTTAAAAATTATTTTTATTGTAATAGGTTTTTTTAGTGGTTAATTTATTGTTAATTAATAATCTAAGAAGATACAAATTATAAAGTTCCAATAACAATATTAGATTTTTGAAGTCTACATATAGTATTATTTGTTATAAAATATATATGAATTAAAGTCACCCATATTTGAGTAATTCAAATTATGATTATAGTTTGTGTGTAGTCAAAGCACATCACACCATCAAAATTTCACCTAGGATATCCTGGAATGTGACAATGAACCGTAAAAACTGCCGCTGATATCATATCATCTTAATATTCTGCTGACAACCTCTATGACCATAATAGAGAAATTAGTCCTATGTCACGTGCTACCCGCTACAGGACACGGTGCGTTCGTTGTTCACTCAAAATGTTGGGCAGTGGGCCAGCGTCGGTTGTATATAATATTGGGATGAGGAGGCGTGGCCTGACAGTCGTGCAGGATGTATCGAAGAACAGTGTTCGTATCTGTAATAGTGTTAGCCGTAGTGGTCTCTGCCACCATTCAGCAGGACGAAAGCCTGCTGGATCGGGTGCTAGATAAATGTTCGTTTGGCGAAGGCGCTATGCGATGCCTTAAGTCTAATGTGTTAGAATATTTAGAGGGCCGCAGTGGCCGAGCTAATGAAATTGATCCAGTGAACTTAGATGAAGAACTGGTTAAAGCTACTACAAAGTATATCGAGCAACAAGTGTACGAGGTTAATGTACCAGGGAGCAGTGCCAAAATCGTGGTGCGACCCGGTAGAGACATGGATGATGGTGCGATGGATATAGTGCAGCCTACAGCAACAACGACAACAACGGCTAGAGGTTTGAATTTTAATTTTTTACTAGAAATTTTTAAAGTGGTCAAAGCTCTTGTGAAGTTTTCTCAGGCCTTGACCAAACTGAAAAGTTCTGAACTCAATCTTGCATTTATCCCATTTGTAGCTGACATGGAAATGGGTATGATGCAAGACAAAATGCTAATGCCCCTACTGATGCTGTTGAAAATGAAAATGAAAATGTTAACACCAATCATGATGGCGTTAATCAGCATGAAGGCCACCAAAGCGTTAATTCTTAGTAAGTTAGCTGTCATTTTGGTTCTTGGATTCATTGTGAAAGATTTCCTGAAGAAGTCTGGTGGTCTCCCAATGCTGCATTTGCCACTTGGTTTATCTCCAGCTGAACCATCTTCCACAGCCACTCCAATGTATGGACCCCCTCAATCATCTGGTTATGAGTCTGCTAGCTCATGGGAGCCCACCGGATATTCTTCCGGTTCTTCGAGCAGTTATCCTAGTAGCTCTAGTTACTCCTCAGGAGGTTCAGGCTACTCGTCCGGTAATTCCGGTTACTCATCTGGTAACTCCGGTTACTCATCTGGTAGTTCTGGCTACTCGTCTGGCCATTCTACAGATTCAGCCCAGTCATTAGCGTACAGCAGCTATCTTCCGTCCTCATCTGGCTCATCATCTAGCTCTACAGCTTCTAAATACTCAAATTAGTCACAATGAAGTCTGGAGTACTTTGAATTTATTTATTTATTTATCAGGTATAGCTCAACTAATTTATTATACGATCATTGTTATAAACAAGAATACATTATATTTTGCTATTGAACATTTGCTTTGCTTTTTTTTAGTTATTAAAATATATATTTATATAATATACATATCATTTAAAAAAAATGAAAATTAATTGAACGGTATATGACAAATCTTTCTAAGTGTTCTAAGTCACTTAGAAAAATACAATTTATAATATTTTGTAGTAATAACTTAAAAACAATTTAACAAGGGTAATAATTCAAAAATTTTATAAAAATATAACACTTAAACAAATTAATGAATAATATACATTAATTCGTATAGGATAGATTAAATCTTCAATATACTAGTTAGTAAACTATCAAAATTCAAATCACTTGGCTTCTTTGTATAGAAGTTATAGAATATTATTAAATAATTTTTACACTTTTTTAAAAATTATTTTAATATAATACCTTTTATACTATATTCACAACCAACATACATTTAATAATTCGTACAAAAGCTTAATTTAATATTAGTATTTGAATTCATAAAAAAAATGCCTGTTGGACAAATACATTTCTAAGTAGTGTTAAATATTCAAAATATACTTAATTTCGATACTTTAAAATGTATAGGTTGTAACAAAAATTTTTACACTTTTCAGGTGAGTGATTTTTAGTTCAAATTGATTTTATTTTGTAACATTTCATTGAAAATCTTTAATATTTTGACTGTCTATACAAAATGTTGTACTGAATGTAATTTAACTTGATTATCAATTATTTGTTAGTTATATAATTACAGTTTATATAAGCTGAGCAAATAACAAATTACTTGGATATGACGTTGAGAATAAAAAGGTTCTATTTATAAAATCTTTTAATTCTGAGTGTTAAATATTATATTATTTGGAACATTTTAAATTTTAGAAAATGTATGGAACGATTTTAGTTATACCAACTTATAACTAAATATGTGTTAATAAAATATCAATTAGCATTAATAAATTTATTTAATAACATAACAAATAAATTAAACTGTTGAAATATACTTATTTGATTTATGACTGATGATTTAAGATACAATATTAAAAATTATTAATACTAATTGATATATTTTGATGTAATATTACCATAATATTAAATGTAAATCATAAAATTAGTTACATAAATAATAATAATTTTTAATAATACCAAATTTTATTAGATAATAATAAAATATCATATCATAGTAATATAATTTAGTCTTAACGTATAATTTACATAACAAAAAATTTAAACATTAGCTACATAGAACCTTTTCATACTTATCTGTCTATCAAAATGAAGTAATTCTTCTATTTAATTATTATCTATATTTAAGTATTTTCTATATAATTATGAAACTAGTAAAAAATTGACTAATTTATCGAAAAAATATTATTTACAAAAAATTTGTGTTAAAAAATTTTTTTACTTAAGTGAAAATTAAGTAATTAATGCATAATTATAAAATATTGAAGTAATTAATATTGTTATATTAAAGTAATTTAATTATTCAAGTAGTCTATTTTAATAAACTTCTTATAATTTTTAATTATGATAAAATTATATAATTAAATAAACTAAGTTTTATTAAAATCCTAAAATAAATTATACTACTATTACTTAAAAAAAAAATTATTAAAAATAAAATGTAAATAAACATACCTAAAAACATAAAAATAATAGACTGATATTGAAAAAATCGTTTATTGATAATATATAAATAAAAGCTACAAAATATAAACTGCAAATAATAATTTACAACGATCATTTAGAATAAAATATAATAATCCTATACAATTATGTAAAATAATTTAAAATATTATGTGGATACATAAATATCTTATGATTTAATTTAATTAATTAACTACGTAAAGCCTTTGGAATTGATAGTACTTCACCCTGAAATTTAATCAAAACATTAAAATTTATATATTTTCATTAACATGTGGTTTCGGATGGATTAAAGCAATATAAAAACATAAAATAAAACACAATTTTTAAATATATGCATGGGCTGAAGTAAAAAAATATTAATTTTAACTAGTAAAAGTTGAAGAAAATGTGAATACAAATAGAGCAATATAGATGCTAAGTTATACAATAGTTTATAAAGAGAAGTATGTGTATAGATTATAATAGCTAACAAACATTCAATAACAAAAGCAATAACAAACTTTTTCTTAAACCTAAGTATTTATTTTTAAACATAAACATAACATAAAAATTATAACTAGTACTAAAAATTGGAATAGTTGATTGAAAATGCATATGTCAAAAGATTTTACGAATCTATTTTATTTTTGTCTAGTTCAACACTTTCTTTATTTACTACTTCATACACATTTAATATTAGAATATCATCTGGACAGATTTTATCAACTAAATTACTTTCATTACTATTGTCTTCATTCTTTTCTCCTTCAATATTTGTTTCAATTTTATTCTCTATATCATCATAATCATTAACACTATATTCATTGCTATCATCTTTATTCTTAGTATTGTATGAATTATTTTCAATATTAATTTGATTTTCTTTAGCTTCGTCAAAATTTATGTTATTATCTAATTTAAATTCATCTAATTCTCTCTCAATTGTTTTTTCAGTGTCAATATTTACTTCTACACCTTCACTAATTGTTTCTTCAGATTCTTTTTCTTCTTCAGTTTTGGTTCTAATATCACCAAGACTTTCATATTTTAAAGTCACCTCTGTATTCACTAATATATTCTTTGATTCCCCATTTGTTTTATCGTTGAAGTCTTCCTGCTGAATATCATTTTTTACTACACTATCTATAGCATTTATAATTATTTCATGAACTCCTCCAACGTCTTTCTCAATATCATCTAAAACTATTTCACCGACGCATACAGAATCTACCGACTGACTATCAAGACGTGATTCTTGGACAACTCCTAAGTTATTTGTACTTTTTTCTACCTCGAGTTTTTCGTTATCGCACACCTCATTTGAGCTATCATTCGTTATATCTTCCCCATCTCTCTCACTTTTTTTATTATCACATTCATCGGTTATCTCGACGACTACAACTTGCGACATAGGGACATCTGACATTTTATCTTCATTGGCTATACCATTTACCTTAATTGAATCTTTTATGAAATTACTCGAATCATTATTGCTAGACTTAATAAGTTTCATAGCCACCGGTTTTTTCAAATTTGCTTCGTCTGTTATTACTTGTGTAGTTGGCTGAGAGGGTGGTGGTGCATTTGCTTCTTCAATTTCTGCCTTAAGTATTTTGTTGATTTCAGTGATTGGCTTCATTAAAGCAATCAACACGTCATCATCTCTTCTCTAAACAAAAATAATTAACACAAATAAATACCTGTTATTTAACTTAATATATTTTGCTCTAAATATATATCATATTGAATGCTATAGCTTTATGAACCAGAATAATGTTTTATTGTAATAATTATACAATGATTAATCAACTCAAACATAATACTTAGAAAATAAATTGTTTTTAAATAGTTATTATTGTTTGTAATAAATGTTCAATATTGCTTGAACAATGAGTTGTTACAAAGTACCAACATATTATATATCTACTTTACATAGTACATAGTTGACGCATATAAAAAAGGAAAACGTTTTTTTTCTCTAACATGTCATTTATATATGAACATAAACTTAACATTGCCAAAAAAAAAAAATTTCGACTTGCACCATTTTTCATCAACAACATTTAACTCTAAGAAAAATTTAAATAATAGCGACAATATATACTTTTTATGTATGAATAACATTTTGTAGGTCGAGGCATCAGGCGTATGAGCAAATTTATTAAGTTCACGTTTTCATATGTTTTTATGGAAACGATTTTTGAACATCAGCACTTTTAAGTACTTTTGTTATTATTGTCATGCTGAGGAATGCTGGCGATGGACGCGTGCCAGCTAACTGGCCGTCTATTTTCGTATTCAAGGTAGATCATATAAGTAAATTTACGATCGAACTCTATTTACTTTCTTATTAAACTCATTCACAATTACTCTTACTATTTTTCTCTTTTATTACATTTTTGTACGTACGTACATTCATATTTATTACAGTTTTGATGGTATAAAATTTATATTTATTATAATTGTTTTATGAACTCTTACTTGGTATAATATTTCACGGTCAAAGAATACAAATCCTCGTCGTTTGGCTGCTATTAGTAGACCAACTACCTTGTCTGATATTTTTGTATAAATCTATAATAAAGAAAAATATATTCTTATAAAAAAAATGTATATTGCATTTATGACAAAATTGGTGAATTGAAATTTTAACAAATACTATAAAAACATATTTTTACCTCCCAATACGCTAAGATGATAAAAACTTACTTGGAATATTTCGCCAAATGTGACGATAATGGTGCCATCGTCGAACTCATTTGAATTATCGTCAGGTGATTTTTTGGTCAAATTATATGAACCAACGTCGTGTATAACCGTACATAATTCCAAAATTTCTCGACAAATATGTGTTTTAGCTTTCCTCCCTCGCATATCTGTTTTTGAACCGGCTATCGGTCTATAATGATTTAATAAAATATTGTCGTTATTTTTCAATCAGTTCTGATCTAGTTAAAAATAATATTTTTAATATTACTTACTTTCCATATTCTTCCCGGGAAAATCGTGGAGAAGGTGATCGAGACTGGTCAAATTGTCCCGAAAATGGATTAAGGGCTTGAGACTGAGTGTGTTCAACCGCCTGTTGGTTGAACTTTGACACAATGTCAAGAAAAGACATTGCTAAATTGCAAAGCAAGAGATATTTTATGTATACTATTAAGGATGTGCGATGACTTACTGGGACAAGACGAACGGAAGTCGAGTATGTGAGCGTGTACGCGTTTAACAGACAAAATTGAAGTGCTTTATGGTGTTGCCAAGGAATTCCGCGCAAAACTGTCGATGCCAGAGAACCCACGTGGTATAATAATATTATGCCGATTCTATTTTTTCGCAAACATCACTCGCACAAAACGTAAACTATATCAATTATTGTACGCTACTCCTATTTGTATCAAATATAAATATGCCATTAGACTTAAGACACGCGCCTACGCACAAAGCCCGAGTCCAGATGACTGCTGCGCATATGCGTGTGTTCTAAATTATATTTTAACAACAGTCATCTTGCTATGCATTTCAAAAGTCCTCGAGCTCTTCCGGACGTCCGGCAACCACCGAATAAAAACAAATGAGCGCGACGCCCAATCAAGGATTTCACAGTATTTTTGACTCGACAGATTTAGATATCCATTTAACCAGCACAAAAATATACATACTAAAGGACAACACTACCATTTTATCAGAGTCAATACCACAATATGGTGGTTTGATATTTTTTGGTTTTAATTATTTATTTGGTATTTAAATGGTACTAATATTTTAATACTGCAGTCAATTTATCAAGTGTGTTCTTAAAATATGTGTAGAAAATTCTTAAAAGTAATGAAAATACAATAACAGTCCCCAAATATAAAAAATATTATATGATAAATCAAATAAATTGAATTTTGTTTTATATAAGTAAACTAATATATAGCTTATTTATCTAGGATTGCAACAAGAAAGGAACAAAAGTTACCAAACTTTCATTTGTATGAAAGATGTAAAATGAATATTTTTTTAGTATTTAGTAACAATACATTTACTAAAGGATTTAATAAGCCAAAATAAATTATTTTAATAAATATTAATGAAAGCTAAGGTACAAAATGATGTATTTTGAATCGCACTTGATATGTTTTCTGATATCTGTGACACTAGTTAAATTAATTATAAATCATCGAACAAATTTTAGTAAATTGAATGACTACTTAAAAATATCAGTTTATTATTTATTATTAGTTATTCAAAGGGTATAACCAAATGTTAGCTATAATTAAATTAGTATTTACTAGACTGCTATAAACAAATCAATACTTATAGTATATACTGCGTAGTATATGTTTTTCGTTATATTTACATAACATTTATATTTTTTATGAAATTGCAATTCTTTGTTTGGCAATGATCTTAATGGACGTAATATTTTATGATGTGCCCAGTGTTCATTTATTTGGCATGCAAGAAAGTCATTCGTTAGATTGAGAAAAAAACCAAATATTTATGAATTTCAAAATAAAAATATGAAATAAAGTATTAGTAAGATGATTAAACTTCAATACATAAATGACTGTATCTTAAACATGTTCAATCAACGCAAGAGCTGTGATATATTTAAACAAAAAACTCTTGTCAACCTACAAAGTTTTGCGTCAACGGGTGTAATTTACGCGATTGTTATTTTTAGTACGAAACTCTAATGTTTACTTACCTTTACTTTAAGCTTATAGCCAAATTATTTCTTCAAGTGTAAAAATACTTTCACATTAATACATTACCTAATGATGACTAAGTATTCTTTATTTAATTTTCAAACTCATTATTTATGTATATAGATTTCAACACAATTTTTTTTAGTGAATATGTGTTTAGTCAAATAACCAAATTAAAATCAAATTTGGCATTATAATTTGTATACGGATTCTGAGACATCTAGCGGTCATGAAGCTTTAGTTATTATTAACTTTAAAATATAAATAGCACCACGGATAACATATTAAGCTAGCTACTATTATTCATAACTTTAAAAATAAAAATTTTTTCATATCATTTTAACCACGTGATGTTCATGTTATATATATATAGGTTATAATTTTTTTTTGCATTTTATCAAATTAATAGTAAAATACATAATATTATGATTTCCTATGTTTCTGAATAATTTATCCTAAAAAAATAACTAATTATTAGAACAGATTGAGTGTAATTAAATAAAATAAAGTTTTGTTATTCTAAAAAAAAAATAATAATAAAATTTGTTTTTAACCGGTTACTTTCTCAATTAAATAATAATAATAAGTACAATTTATCCATATTGATATTAAAAAAATTAAGTCTATATCCTTATAAGATATAAAAAATGAAAAATGTACAATGTGATTTTTTAAATATAATACCCGTTAGTTTTTGTTAAATAATTAATTATGATAGAAATGAATAGATTAAAATTTAATTTATTTTAATAAACCGTTGTTAATGTAAAGTTTATTGAAAGAAAAATGTATTCCTAAGAGTAGATTTAGAGGAAACTTTCAAAAGTTAAATGGGGACCTATTATTATTTTTCTATGCAAACGGAGAATAATATGTTATTTAAAAAAAATTTTGACTAATCGATAACCAGTTTTGTATTATTAATTTTTGAGTTATTTTTGCAATTTTCAATTATAGGTGGAGTAGTACACAACATTAATGAATTCTCATCGTGGTAAAAATAGAGTGATTCTAAACATTTTTTTCATATTCTTATAAAAAATCATTATTTAACAAAAAAAGAGAGACACAAATGTTATGATATACGTAGTATATCATTATTTTTACATTATAAAATGTATGAATTTAATTATTAAATCACATAACATGACATATTACCAATAACAATAAGCTATATATATATATATACTTTTTAAATGTTTAAAGATTTATCAATCTATATATATATATATTAAACTAACAATCAAGAAAATTAAAAACATTCAAAACAATCGTAATACACAGANACTAACAATCAAGAAAATTAAAAACATTCAAAACAATCGTAATACACAGAATTATAATTCAAATACTTTAAGATGTAATATTTGTAACAAAGATAATCATGCTTTAGAGAATTGCCTTTATAGAGATAAGATAAAATGTCAATTATGTAACATTGTAGGTCACACTGTTAATTAAATAATATAATTTAATAAAACTTAGCTAAAATAACTTGAATCAAGGTTAAAAACTGCTGAAACAACCAGTTCATCTTTTAATTCATCAAATAATAAAATCAATTGTATCACAAAAAATAACATTACGCCTATTGCATTACATTTCTTTGTTGAGATCAATGATGTTAGTATACCCATAATTATTGACACAGGTCAAATGTCAATTGTATTATATACACTTCAATACCACAGAACATAATAATTGATGAGTGTAATTTAACAACAGGAGGTCCAGATAAAACACTGCTTACAATTTTAAGTACAACTAACATTAGTATTACATAAATTCTATAGATTATAGTAATACCTTTTTATTATAAAAAACTTATATTGTCTCATTCTTATTGGTAACAATTTTTTGGAAAAAAATAATAGTGTCATTGACTTTGATAACCTTAATGATCTTCCTAATTATTGGTTCAGTGATTCTGAATTAGCTTCATTGGCAAATTATTATAATCATGACACTTACGTTGTTGACTCCACTAATAATTTATTAATAAAACTGGAATCGTTTATGGGTTAGGTAATCGTCCACTTATAATACTTTACATTGTAGAAAACAATACGCATTGGATTCCTGGAGTACATTCGGATAAAAAATCCAAATATATTCCAATTAATGTAATAAGTTTCACTAAATTTGGTCCCATTTATAAATTAAAATAAACAATAGCAAATCACGTTAAAAAATCAATTAACACAATTGAACTACATAATGATTCAATAACTAATAAATATTTTATAAACAATAGTAATGTAATTTGAAATATAAACGCACTCACACAGACAAACAAAAAAATTATTACAGATAGAGAAGGAACGCCTGTTAATATTTAACCTCAGTTACTAAATTCCTAATACAAACAAGTCTCTAATATAATGACACAATACAATAATTCAGAATTGAATAATATATTTGATATTAAAGAAGCCTATAAAGAAAATATAATATAGAATTTTATTTTTCCAAATTTAAATAAATTTAATATTTTAACACAAAAAGTAGAGTTAAACAAAATAATTGATGAAAGAATAGAAACAAAAACATTATTTAACTTTGTGACGCCACCATTAATTAATATCAAAAGATTGTATTCAAATAGTTTAGTTATTTCAGACGCAAATACAAAGGAGAAAATTGAAAAAATCAATTTGAATTCCAAACAAAAATGAATTTATTATAGACAATAGAAAATGTTCAGTACGTTAACTCAATCAATTTAAATAGTAAAGTTTTACAGGTATATACAAAAGCAACGAATCGGTTTAAAATAAATTTAACTTATTTTTATAATAATAATTATAACACTATGAAAATAGCATAAGATATTAAAAAAAAATATTAACGCTATCATTTTTATTTAATAAACTTATTCCTCTTAGTTATAACTTAAATTCTTATATGAAAAATTTTCCAAAAAATTTACTTAATTTTAGAAGAAAAGTTTTAAATACAAAAAATGCATTTTATCAATCTTTAAATAAATATTATTGGTCTTTTAAAAATTTTATTTGATTTTGACATTCATGACTTCAAAAGAAAGTTACAATAAATCAACTAAAAAAGTGAAGCTAATATTTAATAATCAATTCCATAATAATTAATCATTATTATTTATGAGTACTATCAATCAATTACTTTTACAAAATTGTTAATATACCCTTATTATGATAAATGTTTTCATTACCATACTCAACCTTAGTTAGGACACAACTTTAATAAAATTGGGGTTGATGTCAAGGGCCTAGTCAGGATTGTATATAGGTGGGGAGGGGTAGACAAAGAAAATCCTAGATTATATTGTTTTGATCTTTGTTTTTAACATATGAGTTTCACAGGAGCAGAGAAGGTAGTGAGGTGGTCATTAAAACAATATATAACAAACAGAAATATCTTTATTACTTAACAATCAATCTACGAGGCTCTTCACAAAATCTTTTCAAAACTTCTCGTACAATTTCCTCTTTTTTGTCTTTAACATCCACTGGATGTTATGATTTACATAGTATATCATTATTGTTACAAAATACAATTAAGAATTCAATTAATAAATCACATAACATGACATGTATAACAATAAGAATAAGCTATATATATATATACTTTTTAAATGTTTAAAAATATATCAATGAAATTTTATATAAAAATATATAAAAGAAACAGGAAATAATAAACAATTTATAATAGTAATGGGTTAGACATAAGCTAACAAATAATGTGTAAGATATTATGGAAGAAACGATAGAACATAATAAAATAAAGATTAATATTGACGAAAATGTAGTAATAACAATCAATAAAGAAATAAAGGTAGCTTCGGCGATCACTTCTTGCCTTAGAAAATATCATCAAACTTAATATAAAAAGCCCAAAATAATGAGCATTCGGGCTCAGATGTCACTCTGATGGTGGTCAGAATGCTCTCACTCGCTCATATACGGTCAGTATTGCTAAAGGCTCTCAGTACGTTCAATTGCGATCAATCAGTTAACACTATTTTTCTATCGTAGTATATGCGAGAAGTGATCCGCCTGGTCTACATTACATATCGCACAATAAAACAATATCTATTTGAAAGTATCAAGGTAGGAAATAAATAATTTCACCAAAAATATATAAGGTTTAGAATTACATTTTATGAGTACATAGATTGAGTAGGCACAACGAAAAATCATCAAGTGATTATCAATAATACAAAATTTACCAAGTAAATTTAATAAATCGATAATGTTTGTACATAATTATATCTTTGATACGTGCCTATTTCAGAAGTTAAGTAGGAGGTTCATAAGCCTCCATACTACTCTGGGAAGACACACGAGTTGATTCAATCCCACCTGTCATCATCGATAACCATCAAAACTCATGGCATTATTGATATTACTGAGTTGAAAATCAATCACAATAAACCTCATATTAATAAAATAAAGATCATTTTATTTTTTTATCATTTTCTATCTTTCTTACAAACCCTCGTACTCATACCTCGAGTAATAACATTATTAGTACAACTAAAATAGTAACTCAGTCACCAAACTAACCTTTCATTTTTATTTATTTTATTCCTTCTTTTTGAGTTACTACACAAATCATAAAAAAATTAACGGTATATAACTAAAAGCAAAAAAAAAAAAAATTCCTCAAAACAGTTAATTTATAAATAATTTAACTGGTCTAAAATAAATGAATCGCAAAATGAAAAATTTAAATGAATTTTTTGTCGACTGTATTTTATACCTCAAAAATTAACTATTCACATCATAATCACGAGTAGTATTGAATTTTAAAGCCATCTAATAGTAACTATATAATACTGATAACATTTTTTATCTAAAAGTGATCGATAAAAAAAAGTACTTTAATGAAAGATAAAGATATAAATATAAATGTATATAATAATTTAATTCAACAACAACAATCACTCAATCAACTGCTTTTAATGTTTATGTTCTTCATTAGGATACTTTCTTTAAAATTGTCATTTTATTTTATTCTTCGCAATGGATTTAAAAAACAAAGTTGCTTTAGTAACCGGAGCAGCATCAGGTATTGGTTATAATTATTGCAGTTATTTACTATTTAATGGCGTAAAAGTAAGTACTATACAAAATATTTTTCATAAAATAAATAATTTTTTTTTAAATATAAAAATATTAATTAAAATTAAAAAGTATTAAAAATACTTCACTCTATAATTCACAAAAATATTTAGAGTAACAAACAGCGAAAAACTTCAGTAAATATATTTTGTTTTGTGATTATAATGAATTTAATTGTTATAATTAATTTTCAGTTTTTACTAATATTTTCATCCCTTTTAGAGTTAAATATTTTTTATACTTTTTAAATTTTTAAATAATAAATTTTTTAAATCAAAAGCTGATTATAATAATGTTTTTTGAAAACTGGTTTATTTATCCATTGTAATCGAGTAATATATTTAGGTTGCGTTCTGTGATATAGACAAAACAAAATGTCAATCTATTGTTGATGAGTTTTCTAAAAAATATGGACAAAATAATGTTTTAGCAGTCTATTGTGATGTTACTGATAATTTATCATTTGAAAGTACTTATGAAAATTAATTATAAGTTAACCTATATATTTTAAAGTATAAAGTAGGAGTGGATCCGGAGGATTTTCTGAAGAAGCTAAAAGTGATTTTATCAGTTTTTCATAAATTTTATATAATTTTTTCCATCGTTATTTTTCCTAATAACAAGTGTTACTATATTTAATAATTCTAGGGGATAAACATGCTCAATGATTTCATCCGGATCCGCTCTTAATAAGATGTAGAAAAATAATTATTAATTTAATACTACTCGTTTAAGAATTTTAAAGCAATATAATTTAAACATTGACGTAATTTCTACTTTTTTTTTAGAAAATGACACTCAAGACCTTTTTGTATAAATTTAATCAAATCGCGTATTTAAGGAGGGATAGAAATTATCACTCAGCCACCATTATATATTTATTTTTTTAGTCTACATTTTTATTAATGTTTTTATTATTGAAAAAGATTTTTTTTTAATTACATATCCCTGAGGTGAGGTCTCAAATATGCACCTGATTAATACTAAATAAATAATTACAAGTAGTAATATAAAAGTCCCGCATTTTATAATTCAAAGAGATATTACATATTTTATAAAAAATAATTAGGACTTTTATGATTACATAACAACTGAATCGATCATTTGAGAAACAATAATAAGTCAAAAGTTATTATTTTAAAAAAATTGTTTTAAAATCTAATGCAGACAGTATCAAATAATAAATACAATTTTAAATATCAAATCTGAACATTTTATTGATACAATTAAATTTTTTCAACTTTATGAAATCAACGTGTTCAACATATAATTTATTTGTTTTTAAAGATTTAATTTACAACATTTGTATAAAAAATTATGGTACTAGTATAAAATAATAAATTTAATTACAAAACTCTAGTTTTTAGGATTATATAATGTTTAAAATTATTTTTTTGAATAATCTTTTGAAAAACATTAGCCTGTGGTTTTATGAAATAAGCATCCCAAAAGTAAAATTAATCTCTCCAAAAAATATTGAAATTAAATCTTAATATGAGATAATAACCTCGTATCTGAATTAAGGGAAATGGTCCAATTTAAAAAAAAAGTATGTCAAATGAATAAAATATATAAACAAAACTAAACATATAAAATATAAAATCGAGAATTTTAAACAAAAATAGAATTCAATAGCCATTTTCACTATGAAGATAAAATAAAGTCCGAAAATTTTTTTTCCACGATAAAGTATATTACATTAGCTATAATTTAAGATATATATACATAAATGTCACAGTTTTCGGAACATTTTCAAATATTAAGTTTAAAAAGTTATCATTTTGACAACTGTCCCCCTGTGGGCAGGTAATGGGTCAGATTTATAAAAAAAATATACCAAATAATAGGTAAATACCTCATGTGTCTATAAAAAAAAAATATATCGATTTAGTCATTTTTAAAAAAGTTATGCAATTTTAAAGAATAAAAATTAAAAAATAAGCGATTTTAAATATGCAACAAGGGAATTTTTTTCAATTTTTGAGGGTAATGTCTTCGACTAGATACGGTTTGTGATCTTTTGACGTATCGTTAAAAGAAATCGGTTCGGTGAGAGCTAACAAAAAGTGGTAACTGGCACAAAAAAAAACACAACACAGTAAAATTAATACCTTCTCAGCTTCGCATCGAAGCTAAAATGCTACTTTTATGTTTGCATAATTATAAGATATTTTCTTAAACAATTAAAATTAAAGGTTTTTTTTTCAAATTTTTGAATATCATAAGTCCAAATAGATTAAAATTGAGATCTTTTAACACATAGATCTCCAAAACCGTCTGGTGACAGCTGAGAATTATCATGAACAAACACAACAAAACATCATGGTAAAACCAATACCTTCTCAGCTTTGCATTGAAGCTAAAAATATTATATATAATATTTAAACAGGTTGATTCATTTATAACAAATCTCTTCTTATTAATTAAGTAATAATTAAGGACCAAAAAATATTATAAGAATTTTTTTTTTTTAGGTACATGTTTTTATCAATTTCCCAATGAACCCTTTATGGTTGATTATTGAACATAATAAACATTTTTTATGTTTATCCTTTATACCGTATGAGAACGTTAACTATATTTTTTCAAATAACAACATACTATTAACAAGTATCTTTAATAAAAAATAATCTTATTAAGAAAATGACTTTTGGTAATCTAAAACATAATAAAAAGAAAAAAAAGATTTATAAGGATATAACTATAATATTCTTCTGTAATGAGGTCTTGAGACGAATGAATTGCTACATATGATTATTATATGTTAACATTATAATATGTTATCATAGGTCGAGAGTTCAAATATAATAAGATTATTAATATAAATTAAAGTATAAATTATCTTGCTGATGTGTTAAATTGTAAGTATAAGATTTTATGCATGTTAAGCAACCCCAAGCGGTATATGCGTTTACACAGCCTTGCTCCAGAGACTGAGTAACACCGGCAACAAAACGGTCGTAACGCTCTAAGGACTTCTTTGCTCGGATTGGCACCAGTAGCAGCACAAACGCCTCGCTCCCGTGACTTTTAAAATGTGTGTACACCGTACATTCTTAAAATATAATAGAGATAAACCTAATTATTTAAAAACGATTAATATTTTTATTAAAATATGTTTATGTTAATAAAATTGACTCACATTTCGTTGTCTTTTTTTAAACTCTTGAAAATAAATTATAGTCAGGTAGGAAATAATTTCAACGCCGTAATGAGATTTGTAAGTGTTAGAAGGCGTGTTGAGCTCAACAGCTAAGTGACTATCTAACTCCATTACTATGTTCCATACTGTGCTACAGTATTTTGCTTTACCCAATAATAATTGCACTACTGTGCATAAAATGTATTAAAAAGGTGAAAATGGAAGAAGAGAGGAGAATGAGAGTGTGCTACCTTAGCCTTTTTACTTTATATAGTTTAGTTAGTTAGTTTATACAGGTTGATCAAAATCTGGTAAGACACTCATTTTCTCAAAAAATATTGAGAATTTAAAATTTTATTATAGAGAAAAAATATCAAGTTCAAAAAACTCAACAATAATATGTAATCAAACCATTATTTTTTTCGTCCCTTCAAGGATAAAAACCCTTATTTTTAACTTTTATAATATGATAGTAAAAAAATTACAAACAATTTTGTTCTCAATTAGGCCAAATTTGTCATTTTACATTATTAAATACAGAAGTCATTATTTTTATTTGCTGTTGCATAAACCAAATTTTATTGATCAAGTTATGATAGGTAAATTAGCTATAAACATTTATTACGCACTAAATGAGTGATAACAATAATAGATTCAAACCGGTTTTCGGTGTATTATTAATATCTAAGTCTATGGTTTTGTAAGACTAAAGATCTAACAAAAATACCGGTTGCACTGCCATCGATATTATGAAACGTAATAAATGACAATATTTTTTCTGAAAGTCAAAATCTTTAAACAATTATAAAACGTAAGCGGTTGTTCGAATAAAAGAAATTATTTTTTTCTATCATATTATCAAATCAAAAATAGTGGTTCCCATTTAAAAAAATTATAAATAAACATTTTTATCCCTGTAGGGATAAAAAAAAAATTTATTTAACTTCATATTATTGTAGAGTTTTATAAACTTAATAATTTTTCTTTTTACAAAAATTTTAAATTCTTAATAGTTTCTGAGAAAATAAGTGTCTTACCAGATTTCGATCATTCTGTATATATATATATACAGGGTGATTTTTTTATCATAACCCACTCAATTACTTGCAGAATAATAATAATTTAAACTTTTTTTTTTTTCATTATCTTTAGTTACACATTATTCTTGAATTTTTAACTATGTAATACTTTTTAAGTTCATCCCTTATGCCTTGGAGGGGGGTCAACTTTGTTTTTTTAAATGGTAACACATATTTTTAATTTAATAAAATGTTTGAGTTTTTAATTTAATAGTAAATGGCATTTGAATTTTTAATATAACTTAATTAGCTTATTAGATATAAACATTTAAAGTTTCAAAATTTTGAGTTAATATACATGTATAATACACATGGGATTGTAAATACAGGTAGCTAATTGGATTTTTATGACATTGCTGTCTCAGTCACAGATTGTTTATTATCAATTATGATTATCAATAGATATACTTTCTGTATTGTCAGTTAGTGTATTTATAAACTCATAACAATGTGCCTTACTACAATTGATAATAACAATGCTGTGTACCTGCTAATATCGATGTTATAAAAAACCAATTAGCTACCTATATTTGTAATCTCTTGTGTATTATACCTGTATATTAATTCAAAAATTGGGAACTTTAAATGATTATATCTAATAAACGAATTAAGTTATATTAAAAATTCAAATGCCATTTACTATTAAATTAAAAACTCAAACATATTATTAAATTAAAAATATGTGTTACCATTTAAAAAAACGAAGTTGAACCCCTTTTAAGGCATAAGGGATGAACTTAAAAAGTATTAAATAGTTAAAAATTCAAGAATAATGTGTAACTAAAGATAATGAAAAAAAAAAATGTTTAAATTATTATTATTCTGCAAGTAATTGAGTGGGTTATGATAAAAAAATCACCCTGTATATACAGAGTGATTTTTTTTATCATAACTGATCATTCTGTATAGTTAGTCTCCATATCTTATTTTTTTGGTAATCTCGAACGCCGTACTATCTTTTTAGACTGTTTTATTACAATCATTTTATAATATATTACACGGTAATCATGACTTAGATAATTATTACATAGAAATATATATATTTAAATTACAAAGCATTTTTATGATATGGTACATAATACAATTTTTGTGACACTGTACTTTTCTTATAATATACATTCAATTATTTTATGAATCATTTAAAATTAATATGCGTGGATATTATAACAGACTAGTTATATACTTTCATAAAGTATAAAGGATTAACATAAATATTTTATGATTAATAAATTTTAAAAAAATGTACCTACCAAAAAAACTTATTCAACATCATTTTGATTTTTTGACTAATTAAGTAGTCTATATAAAATAAATTAACTTGTATAATACTTTTTCAATAATTGGTCTAATAAATTTTATTTTATTGTTTTTTGTGAAATTATCTCTACAGAGCCGTAATTAAAGGGATGAGGGCCATGAATTCCTACTTGGGTGAAAACGTTTTCATGATGAATATATCATTTTTTTCTTTCATTTAATGACATAGTGGAAATGTTTATATGACCTCTTCCAGGACTAAATTATACTTACTCTATTGTAACCTTGTATTTTATATTTATATTAACCGATTTTATGTCAATATATTTTTTAGATGCTTTTAAATCATGCATCGATTACTTCAAAAAGTTAGACATTGTAATAAATAATGCTGGAATATTTAACGAAACAATGAAAGATTGGAATAAAACAATGGAGATTAATTATGTAATTAAAAACGACTTTTTCTATGCATGATGTTACATAAAAAATTAATTTACTTTTTTTAGGGTGGAGTAGTTAGAGGAACTATGCTAGCATTGAAATATATGGGCACTCCATTTGGAGGTAAAGGTGGAACTGTTGTTCAAACAGCATCTATAGCAGGATTAATGTCAAATATTTGGATAGCTCCAATGTATAGATCAACAAAGAGAGCAGTTGTTGAATATACTAGAGCTGTGGGCGTATGATTTATTTTATTCTTTATGGATATTTTTTCCAGTACAACACAAATTAATTAATAATTTAATAATAAAATTATGATTTTTTCTAAAGGATCCAAGAACATTTCAACACTTTAATGTGAGAATAATGGCTATATGCCCTGGTTTTACAGACACACCACTTTTAGAAGGTGATAGAGTTCATCAACATTTAATCAAAGAGTTTTATGAAGTAGCACAAAAGTTTGCAAATAATTTCCCATTACAATCGTGAGTATACATTATTTATGGGGATATTCACATTGAACATTGAAATCATCTCATAAAAATTTTAATTTAATTTAAAACTAAAAACAATATTATATTTGAAAACCGATTAGATATTCGAGTTTATTAATATAAATATGTAGGTATTTCTTAACAGCTAGGCAACAACTGGTATATTAATAAACTTATAGCAATATATACTTATAAACCTACTTATAAAAATATAGTACAATACAAGAAAATGTATAATTTCCCTCAGTAAAAATGTAAGTATTAACGTTAAGTTAATATTATACATATGGATAATATACAGAATGAATTACTGATAAATAATTTACTGATATTTAGTGGTGTATAGCAGAAAGTCAGTAGTATCCACTTCTGTTTTCGGATATGAATGGTATTAGTACTAATTAAATCGAAAAGTCTATTATCGAAGGTATAAAAATTGCATAAAAATGTGATGCTAGTATTTTTAAAATGTTTCATATGACTAATGATCAAAATTTCAAGTTTTCCTGTTTTTGTTCAATAGCGCAATATTGTAGGTAGTATTTTTATTTTATTTTTTTTTTTTTGAATTAATGCAATAACCACATATTTTCAAAATAAATAAAATAATTTAATTATTCGATTTTGATTAAAATACTAAAATACTAATATAATAAAACAAATACAATTATTTTCAAATGTATATTAATTTAACGGTATGTATACAAAATAAAAAGATTACAAAAATTAATGCACTGCTCAACTGTCTGAGTAGGCTAAGATATAAATAGTATCAGAACAATTAAAAGAGAATTAATTTATACCAAACATCAATTGTTACTGATATTGATACTAAGTTTTTTATTTAATTATATTCCAGTAATTTCTAAAATTCAAATTTATAAGGAAAATAATATTTCTTCAAATAAATAAAGAGTTTTTCACTCGTAACCTTAAGACTACTAAAAGATTTGAATTAAAAATATTAAGGGGTGCATTATTAAAATACCCTTGCACTCCTTAAAAATAATAAATTTAAACTACGTAAAATAAATTTATAATAATACTTAAAACTTATTGACTATAAAAACCAAAAAATCAAATTGAAATAATATGAAAATGTAATATAAAATTATAGTTCGGCGATAAATTGATCTACACAATAAATTGACCGCCATTCATCTTGTACTTATAATTTTATAATTATTTTTTTTTTGACTTTATAGAGTTATTGTTTTTTAGGCCAGAAAGTGTTGGTAAAGCATTGATAGAAATATTGCAACAAGGAAGTACTGGCGATATTTGGGTTGTAGAAAATGATGAAAATCCAAGATTAGCTAACTTGCCTGTTTATTCATACTAGAATTTGATTTACATAAATTACACAACAATACTATGATCTTAAGTTTTCACAAAACTATATTTTGAGAAACATAAATTTAAATTTGAAATATTGTGATATCTAGTTATTAAAATGCATTAATTTTATTACTTTATTTATTTAATATTATTAGTTACTAAGCCCCGAGTATGTGACCAGACCGAAAACCCTGAGGTAAATCACGGACTTTGGTAGGAGATAATACCAATTTTCAAAAAGCTGACCCAGAACAAATGGTATTTTTTTTCTTTTTAGTACATTTTCAGAAAGACGTCCCAACAATCCGAGTAGTTAGATAGTTACTCAAGCCACCTTGGATGATAATTTTTAGTCCTTTTCTCTCTTACTTTTGCAAGTTTATTTATAGATTTCTTTCTCGCCTTCCTTTGTTCCTAGCCTATCATACAAATAATCATATATTATAATTATAAATCAAATAACTAATCGGGATAAAATTAAGGGAATAAAAGTTATTGTTGCTTTTGAAATAATCTACCAATTTCTTAAAATTAAACACTATGTACAGATTTGCATCGAAGCGTTTCTTATGATAGTGATTTTAATCACTGTCAGATATCTTCTATACTTGTACCAACTATGCCATGTCCATATTGTGCCGCGACCCCGCCGTGCTTCCGTTTTTTTTTTTTTTTTTAGAAATTAAATTATTTTTCTAGTCTAATATTATCTGATGATCTTACGTAAAATTTTCTATAAACATTTAATATATCTGTAAAAATGATCAATGCAATAAACCAAAAATAAAATAATAAGAAAAGAATCAGAGAAAGCATAAGTTAAGTAGCTAGAAATTGGATTGGTAGTAAATTATTATGTTTTTATTGCTATAAGTTTTTTTTGTAGATTTAATTGTCTTCAATTTTATTTAAATTAATTTTCTCATTAATTGTTTCTCTCATTAATTATTAATGGTTTATCACGCAATAGATTGTTGGAAGTTCGAAAGTATAGATTAAATTGTACTTACTTTACGTCCTATGTAATACAATAATATTTCAAGTAATCCAGTGTTGATTTCCGCATTAAACGCACTACGTATACGATTTACACTATACGTCATATAGTCATAGTTGTAAAAAATACTTTTAAAAAGTATTTTAAATAATACTCAAATATTTAAAAAAAAATGTATTTAAAATACTATTTGAATACTTTTCATACAAAAGTATTTAAGTAATACTCAATTACTTTACAAAAGTATTTTAAATACTAAGAATACAATTAAAAAATAATAATAATGTTTTTATTTTAACTAAGAGCAAAAGATTCCACCTAAATAATTACCAAGAGGGTAATTTGAGTCAAATATTGAGTACTCTTAAATTAAGAGAACTCATTTATTATTTTCGATATTTTTTGTTAGAGGTAAATAAAATTAATTATTGGAGACTAATCAGTGAAAAAAATAAATATTAGTACACGTGTAAAAACCTGTAAAGTATGTCTTATTGACAATAGAGTAAATCATTTGAACCTGCAATAGGCTATTGTAGGTTCAACTGATGTATTAAAAATAGATGTATACATAATAGCATTTAGATAAGCACAATAATTATGTTATACTATAATGTAACATATAAAATAACAGAGAATTATTCTCAATTTTCATTTTGACTGAGTTTAATTTGCTTGCTGTGTTACGGTTAGCAAATTAAAAAAAAAAAATATATTAATAGTACTGAATATTAAACAGTATTAAATACTAAATAATTGTATTTAAAATACTACTCAGATACTTTTTATTAAATGTATTTAAAAATACTATTCAATACCAATGAAAGTATTTGAATACTTTTATTCAAATACATTTACTCAAATGCTTTACGCCTTTGCTTATAGTCTATGTAATTACTTATAAAAAACGATTCAAGACTTTAAATAATATGATTTAATTACACAAAGTCTACAATTGGTCTTACTTGTGAATGATTCTAAACGCTCTATATTTTATTATAAATACAATTTTAATTTTTTACTTATTGATTTTTTTTAGAGAGTATATTTTATTGAGAGATCGACACCAATATTTCTTAAATTTTCCTCTGGCCTGGCCAAAACAAAATTCAGAAATATTTATATCTATGTAGAAAATTTATCAAGGCGGAATTGTGGTGGCCCAATGTATCCTGGTACTAGAAAGCGCCTTGAAAGGATGCGGCACAATATTCACCAAGATAAAAATTAAACACTAAAAATATATTTGTAAGTTTCTCTACGTTGTCTGCCGGCGCGATGTTTATTAAAACAAAGACATTAGTAACGAGACTAGCTACCCAATTAGAAAAGCTCACAATAAATTTTTATTATTAAATAAAAGTCTAAAGTTAGGTTGGATTTGTTATTAAAATAAAATAATTTTAAGAAGATATAATGTTTAAAATATTATTTGATATTTATTTCCACAACAAGAAAAATAAAATATTATTAATGATTGAACAAATTAAATTAAATTAAAAGATTCACTAAAACAAAATTCATTTTAAAATTTCTAAGTGTCATTTAGTTTTAAAGAAAAATATTTTAAGTCCAAATTAATTAAAAATCGACTAAGTCCCGGAGAGTGAAATCTTGAGTAAAACGTCGTAGATTTTGTGTATTTTAAAATCGTCAAATGAACTGGTTTAGACGCGGAAAAATGGCTTTTTATAGTCTGAAGGTGGTATCTCTATCGTGATCCTGGAAGCTGAGGCTTTGTATTGTAATTGGTTAATTAAAAGAGAGTCTCTGCGTGTAGGCGTTACTTAATAATTTCTACAAGAGGAGATTTTATCGTATAGTTAAAGGGTTATTTTGTATTTTAAATAAGAGAACCCTGTTTTGGTGATCTTGTATAATCATAATATGTGACATACATGTACAAATGATAACATTATATTATATGTAATAATATAATATTACATCAGATTTATTAAAATATTATTTAATGTATTTGCTCTGTATCCAACTATTTATGCGGCTTCTCTTGTGTGCTGATATGCCAACACAGAAAAAGTTATTGCCCAATAACAAATGGGCGAGCTACTCTGAATAATGACTCTATGAAAGAGACCTTTACTTAGTGATAACAGTAACTGATATCCCCGGCTATAGTTACTTGGCTAGGATCTCCTCTAAATTTTCGAAAAAATTTTGTACCCATTTTAAAGCCATGACTTAATCTTTTGATTATCTGGAATTTTGTTGTATTCTGTACTAATAAATCCTGTGATTAGTATAAATATAGTTATGCATACATATATTGATGTATTTTATGAACTTACTGTAAAATTATACAAATAATTGTAATATAACAAATTAAAATAATTAATGTAACATTTCATTACATATGCACTAATTTTATTGTTCTAAGATGACGAAAAAACTATTGGTTATTCGAAAGGTATATACACATTTAAATAAAGACAATATTCTTCGCCTATTGTTGAATCGTTACAATAATTTTAACGATTATTATGATAATTATTATTGAAATAATTATTAGTTTGGATACACATTTATGGCAGTTATATCAATTCATTGATCAATAATTTTAGGTTTCTAATATAACAGTCAAAGATTTTACATTACTCATAATATTCCATTTAACTTGGAGGCTTTGCATATGGCATACCAATAAAAGTTATAGAAATTGCCTTTTTGAAGTTTTAGCCTAGTAGACAATTATATATATTTCAAACGTAGTTTTATACACCTACAGGCGTATAATAAACAATAATTCTATATTTATGCCTAAATTATTTTAAAGATATTTTTTGGTCAAACGCTGTCTTTCTAACATGTGCTACACCAATCAATTTCGTTAGTTATTGGTTTGTAATGTCAATTGAATCTTCCTATATTTGCCGTTTATACTTGGAGTAGTTTAAGTTTAATTACCGATAATACGAAGTTTATGTTGTATTTAAACTACGCATATAGTACATTACATTTTCGTATGGACATCGTATAACGTAAGTCTGAATACCATCGTTGCGACAAATACGGTGCGTGTATGTTTCATTCATTTAAATATATTATAAATGTATATTGCGACAATTTTGGTGTAACAGTTGTAAAATATTTTTCATGTATGATTGGTATAACACCAAGATATTATTGGTATATTTAGTTTAAATGGAGTGTATCATACTTATTTATATACCTTATGCATTATTCGTTTATCATTAATAGAACTTTAGTATATACATTGTACTCGAATAAGAAAAATACTACATGTTTTAAAATCAAAATATTGTATTTCACATACAAATCATGTGTCAATCCGGGAAGGGAATATGGCCGACTTGCATCAGGGATCAGACACAATCAATGAGAAAATCATGAGAAAAATCTCATTAATATCCAAGGTGTCAATGAGATTTCGCTCGCTGTCGCATGACTACAATCGTCCGACCACCGCTAAATACAGATTTGGAGTTCCTTGTATATTATCAACAGGTAAAGTGTACTATTATTGGCATTTTAAGGATTAGTAGGATATAATTAGTATATTTATTTAGTTACACAAATTGAATTTTTCGTACTAGATTTTATAAATAAAAAATTTTATTACAATTCAGATTCGTGTAAGATCAATCATATAAAGAAATATTTAATTATAATTAACATTCTAATGTTCAGTTATAATGCAACTCTATAAGTATATTTTTTACTTAAAAAATTAACGTCATATTACCTAATAATATATGTAAAAATATTAACCGACAATGAACGAAACTTAAATAAGCACCTAACAACTAATTTTAAATGTTACACCTACGGTCATTAAAAGTATATTTTTTTACTTAAAAAATCAATGTCATATTACCCAATAATATATGTAAAAATATTAACCAACAATGGACGAAACTTAAACAAACACCTAACAACTGATTTCATGTTACATCTACGGTAATTTTTAATGCATATATATATATACACATATGAAATGCATACCAATTAAATTGGTCTATTATAAAAATATTTCATGTATATTTGTTACGTATATAAATATTACCAAATAAAGTTAATACATTTGTCGAATGTACGTTCAGTGTTTACTGAGAGCGTTTGCCCTGTAAGTAATTCATCTTTTAAGCAAATTCAACAATAAATCACAATATCCAAAAAACTAACATATGGGTAACTATTAATATCAATATCTTAACTTTTTTCTGTTTTAAAAGCAATTATTCATTATTTTTTAGAATTACTATGCCATTACTTTTAAAAATAATGATGTTTTTTAGCCACATTTTAATATATTTTCAAATTCATACTTTTTTTTCAATAACTTTTTAAAAAATGTATGTATTAATACAATATTTATGTGTAAGTGGTATATAAATATCCCTTTTAATAGACATATTTTTACATACTTTTTAAATACCGTATAAAGGGGAAGCTACAGTGTTAGGGCCACCGAATTTTCATTAATGTTATGTGAATTAAATGTACATTGAATAATTTACAAGTATAATATATGAATAATTACTTGTTAAAATAATTAAACTTAGTATTAAATAATTTAATATTGTAAATTTTCCGAAGTAATTATACAAAGTTATACAGTTGTTGCATACAGAGTGATTATTTTAATATCATTTATCTTAATATAATAATTATTTAACTTTTATAATATTTTTTAGTTATTATATTTCTATATTTATCAATTAAAATATTTTTTTGAATTCAGTTTTTATACATTATAAGGGTGTTATTTTTATTTTTTTTACTTTATTTATTTTAATAGAAACATACAAATTTAGCTTCTAAATCATAAAACTTGTAATTGAATACAAACAAGAAAATAAGAGTTTTTGTTGCTTTTGAAATAATTCCTTCTAAAAATTTACATCCAAGTGTTTCTTATGATGGTGATTTTAATCATGTCAGATATCATCTATACGTGTCCCAACTATACCACCTCCACATTGTGCCGTGAGTAATTTTATTATAATCACAATAGTTGAAATCAAGTGTAAAATAATAATATTAATTAATACTTACAAGCAAGTAAGTTTCAAAGTTTAGTTGTTTTTCTAGTGGAGGGGTAAATCTACCCATTACTCTATATTTCAAAAGCTATCAGATATCATCTATACTTGATCCAACCATGCCCACGTCCTCACTGTGATGAATTTTCTTTCATTTATTTTAAAAAGATTTTTAAAATATATGAAAAAAATTCACTTACCATTTAGCATTCAAACAAATATCACAAATCGTATCTAGAGACATTGCCTTTGAAAAAATTTACCTCATTCCCTGTAAATGGAGGAAATCCTCAAAAAAATTACAGTTTTTAAAATCTGTAAATTTCGACATTTTAGCTTTGATGCAAAAAAACGTATCATAGTAAAATTTAAATATTCAATTTTACTATGATGCGTTTTTTTTCATTTTTTTGTATCTATGTCCGTTTTTTAATCACTGTCGGTTTAAATCTATACTGAACCCAACTATGCCACGTTCCTACTGAGCCGCAATCTCATTGTGCTGAATATTTTTTTCTTAGAAATTCCCATAACTTTTTCAAAAACAAATAAATCACAATAATTTTTTTTTTCAAAACACATGACAAAAGAGTATTATTTACAAACTTAAAGTTCTAAGCTGTCAAATTAATTTTAGTGAATTTGTTGTACAAAAAAATGTAGCATATGTTAAATTGTTTTTTAATTTACATTAAGGTAATATCTTAATAATCCTAAGATCCAAAAAGGTTAATTAATTGAAGTATTTTTATTTTATTACAATATTTTACAAATTTATTTTGTTATATTATATATTTATTATTAGATTAAAAGTATTTTTATTAACACTCACAGTATATAATTAAAAATAATTAGTTATTAAAAATAAAACAGTAATTCAAATTATTGTATTTCACAAGTATCTTTCAATCCTGATAATAAAGGAAGTCCTTGCCAAAATGTATATATTTCAGTAAAAGGATTTGGTATTAATTTTGGTTGAGCAGAATCCACATGAAGTAATAATGAACTTTCATTTGACATAAACTCTGGCCATTTTAATCCCTCAGATGTTCCATTGGTAGTAGGATAACTAAATAAATTAAATTTTAACTAATAAAAAGATAGATCTTTTTATAAGACAAATATGATTTTTTTTTGCTAGTCAGTATTTATATCTACATGGTTATCTAGTAAACATAAACTACTCAATTAGACACCAATTAGAAAGTTTTTTTTTTAATTTTGCTAAATGCATTCAATTTATAAATTAACAAACAATGCAGGGACAACTATATAGTTTGACAACTGTTTAAACAGCTTTTTTAATTGAAAAGCATAGTTGATGTAGTGTCAAACTAATTATATAATTGGGAAATTTAGAGTTAAACTAAAAATAAAAATACTTAATACTCAATAATTCCAAATAGATTAAAACAATTAAACCAACTATAATTTATCATTTGATATTTATTTCGTCCATCTCATATGCCTTATAAAAATATAAATTTTTTTTTAAAAATCCATAAGAATATTTTCTTATATTTTATTAAATAAAATTATCTAACTAAGAAAATACTGGTCAATAACAATTTTAAAACCAATACTTCTGAAGTTATTATCTTTAAATATTGAACAGAGTAAGTTAAACTATTTTCTTGATAGACATTTTTCAGTTATACTTTACCTCTCACATGTAATTAAAATATACATATGTTCTGAACAAATGGTTCAAAAGTTGTCATTTTCTTAGATCATTTTTTGATATGAATAATGTTATTGTAAAATGAAGTCAATCTCTTTATGAGGCATAAAGGATCAACTTAAAAAAGAATTTATAATTTATATAATAAGGGATGTATCTAACTAAAATGTACAAAATTATTTTTATGTAAGAAATTGAGTAGTTTATGATAATAAAATGAACCAGTAATTTGATTAAAAGTAAAAATAACATTAGTCTTATGTATATTTAAAAAGAAACATAAACACTAACTCTTTAATGTCTACATTAAAGAGTCATGGGTTCAAACTAAAAATTGAAGTCTCCGAAAATAATTTTGATTGTTTTGCTTGCAATTAATTATTTAAATTTATTTATTTCAACTTTGAAGAAAATATATTAAAATAAGTATTTCAAAGTTTTTTATCTAATAATAATATATCACATTAAAGCTAAGTATGTGAAATTATATACATGAAAAATAATTATACATAAAAAAAAATCATAATAAAATTAATACCACCTTGTTTTGCCAAAACTAATATGTGGAAGATTAAAAAAAAAAAATTAAGTCACAGCATGATTCATACATAATTTTTTAAACATGCAATATCACCAGTACATAGTGACACTAATATAACCTTAAAATTCTTATTAAATAAAATCAATTATACTATAAAACATTTTAATAAAATAAGTTTTTACTCAGTTGAAATGAACTGTGTCCAAATATTAACCATTGTTTTAGAAACTTCTGTATCTTTTTCATTTAATGTAAGTTTAGGTATTTTTATAAATAAATTATACGTTTCTTCGCCATGAGAAGGTCCTATTGGTTTAAGACACGAGTCTGTTGAATTTCTATTCAATGAAAATTCATTTTGATAATCAAATAGATAAAAGTAAACTGGAGAAGTTAATTTGATTGCCATTTCCATTATACATTGTAAATAATAACCATCTTTAATCATCTATAGAAAAAAAAATATTCTGTAGTAATTAGTTTTTCAAAGACAAAAATAATTCAAAGGTGTTATCTATAGCTTTTATTGATCATTAGAAATAAAATTTTTTTAAATTGATATTATTTGTGATCTTTGATTATGAAAATTCAAAAATAATATATCATTTTATTGTAGAATAACAATATTATTTGAAATAAGTACTGATTGTTTGTAAACCTCAGTTATTTAGATTGTAATGTAACAAACTAGATTAAATTGAATCAACTAGATTGGTCCTAAAACTATCTAAAATTTACAAAATTATCCATTTCTTTAAACCATTATATAGACTAAATTATGATTAAAAATAGAAAATAAACAATATTATTGGTCAAACCAATTGAAAATAATGAGGTTGTAATCCCAACATAGATTAATAAACTATCAGAATGATTATTTTATACATTTAATTGTGTTCGTTTAAGGGATTTATACATTCATTAGAATAGTTAATTTCAAAAAAAAATAATTTTGTGGTTTTTTAACCCTAATTAATGACAAAACTATTTACAAAAAAAATATTTAGTATTATTTTGATTAAGTGCAAAAATAAACGAACTTATTTTTGTAAAATTTACTTTAAAAATAGAATATTTTATATGAACTAATAATTGCAATTTTATAGTTTTACAAATTGTAGACTTTGCCACAATTTTGAATATTCAAATTTGGTCTTTATGTTAAATACGAGTAAAATGTATTATATTGATATTTAAAGTAAGGTTACAAAAAGTAAATTGATTTTATTTAAATATTATAATATTAAACATATTATGTTCTCACATAAAATGATAAAATCGATATTTTATATATTATTTTTGAAAAAAGTTGTGAAGATCAACATAAAATTATTTATTAGATTAAGATAAAATAAATATTATTATTTTATTTTTAAGTTAAATTAATTAAAATGTAAAATTTACATTTTGTGTATTTAAATATGATTGATCATCTATAAATCCAGACGGATAGTATCTATTGAATATTTGTTTGCTGACATTTGGTAAATCGTCTTCTGAAGTATAGTTTTTATATGTCAATAATATAGGAACTATATGATTAAAGTCTGTGTAAAGTTCTGGATGTAGTAATTTAGTAGTGTTAAAAATTGCTGAAATGACATTAAATTCATTATCAAGTACATATTATTTAAAAAACAAATTTCATAATGAAAAATTTATTTACATGAAGAATATAAGCAGCCTTCTGCAGAATTCAAACCAATTATGACTGGAACATACGATTCTTGTTTAAAATCAATAAGGGGATTATGACAAATAAAAGCATCAGAATCACATTTTTCTATAACTGGTGGAAATACTACTCTAGGATGATTTTTCCATTTCTGCAAGAAATATTATCATTGAGAAATTTTATATCATATTTACAGTGTAAAAGATATAAGGGACATATCTAAAAACTTTAGATAAATTAGTTTACAAATTTTCTTTTTTTAATAATTTTATACAAATTTGGACTAAATTTTAAATTAAATAATATTCATTTTATTCTATTACATAAAAATGTTTAAAATAATTTGTTGTTTTAGTTTTAAACTTTTTTAGTTTTCAAAATCGTCACTTTATAGAATAGATTTAAATAATATTTTGATAATCAATGACTTATCTTTATTAAGTCATTACATTTTTATAGCTTTTTTGTTTTAATTTAAAAATTTTTTTTGCAATTAACACTAATTTATCTAGTTTTTAGACGTTAATTTTTTTATCCAATGATGCATATTTTTACATTACAACAATAACATTTAAATAGATAATAAAACCCAAAAATTATGCTGATTTCTGAATTAAAATATTTTTAACTAAAATATATTAAAATAATTTATTTTCATTTTACACTTACAAAAAAATTAGAATAAAATTTTGTGATGACACTTGCATTCATTGGTTTTAAACATTTTAGTATATCAAAGGAAGAATTTATTTTACATCCTGCTAAAATTGCCAAATTTTTGGCCCGTTTTCGAGCCAATCCAGGAAATGAAATGGCTCTTCTACATAATGGAGTACCTCCTTGAAGTATTCCTTTATGAAAAAGTCCTTTACTCAATGGAGAGAGTAAATGATATCCAACACTAGCTCCTCCAGAACTCGCACCTGCTATTGTTACCTGTCTGGGGTCACCACCAAACTGTTGTATGTTCTCCTGTACCCAATGCAAAGCCATTACTTGATCTTTCAATCCAAAATTACCACGAATTACGTCATCTTCTGTACTAAGAAATCCTGAAGTATATATTGTCATATTTATTTGTTTTAATTTCATTGAATCTCCGATTTATTTTGATGTAGTTTAAAAAAAGTAAAAAAACAATTACCAAGTATTCCCAGTCTATGATTTGATGTGACTAAAATAATTTCTTTGTCCATAAAATATTCAGGACCGTAAGATGTAAATCCACTATATCCTTTGTGAAATGCTCCAGGATAAATCCAAAACATAACAGGTAATTTTTTTTTTAAATTAGGTGTGTAAACATTAAGGTAAAGACAGTCTTCTTCTCCATCTATTTCATTTGAGTTTGTTAATTGTATACATTTTTTTGGTAATTTTGTTGCATCTAATGTCCCATTCCAAAAATCCAGAGGTTGTGGAGCCTAATTTTAAGCGGAATTCAAACAAAAAATTAATTTAACTTGTCTGTTTCAACTATTAATTGAAGATCACATAATATTCTGAGTAAAAGTTCAAAATTATAATTAGATGCATACTTTTTAAAAATTAAAAAATCTAGAAAACCACATGTAATGTTTAATATGTGGAAGGAATTTTTATTGAAAGATTGTGTAAATTAAAAAATTAAGAAGTACTATTGTTATTGACATGTCTTATAGACAAAAGAAAAGCGTATAAGTCAATTTTACTTTGATATTATACCTAAAAATAATGGTGACTTAAAATAGACAATTAAATTTTTATTTCTTTTTACTATCCTGAAAAATTACTAAAACTGTCATATTGTAAAATAATTAAAGATTTTTAAGTGATGTTATAAGTATAAAATAAAATTCAATTTCATGTTATATTAATACCTTAACTATCTTTATCATTAAAATTATTTTATAGATATAGTAGAACTTTAACTTACCGTTACTCATTTATCAGTCATTAAAGTTTAAGACATTTCCAAATTATAATCAGCGTTGTCATAAATTATAAGTCTAATGTATAATTCATAATTTTATGTTAATTATGATTTGGATATCTCTTCAAAATTTGATGGAAAAATGAGTGACGGTTAATCAATGTTCCACTGTACATTTTTTTCAAATATTGTTTGCATAATCATGAAAATCAAAATGATTTATAATGAAATTACTATTAAAGAAGATTTGTTGTCTTTACTAGGGTGCTCATGGTTATTCAATATTCATACTAATCTTATTTAGTAAATATACAGAATTATCATATATGTATTACAATGAAATAGAAAAAAAAAATTAATATTACTTTAAAACGTAATTCACCAACTGGAGGTTTTGCAAACGGTATACCACTAAATGAATAATACGGCAAGTTTGCCTTTGATTTTTTAATTTCACCTTGCAATAATCCATTTTTTACTTGAACAATAGGTACACAATATCCTGTGATACAAAATGAAACTATAAATATAAGTAAATACATACTTTCCATTAACTAAATATAAAAACATATATCAATTACAATTATTTTATAATACTTAGGTTCCGTATAACGAACAAAGGAATATCCTTGGTTTTCAAGGTAGATTTATCATGTGTTAACACTTACAACACGCTAATATTTTAAAAATTAACTGAAAATATTATACCACTAGGGGCTCTGACTACTCCATGAAGTCTCATATTTTTAAAAGAAACATAAGGAATTATGTACTTATTCTTACTTTTAAATTAATTATAATAACAATTAAAACCTAACTTCGACAATAATCATATTATGCGTAATATTTATTATTGCTAATAAACTACTGTCGTATATTATCGTAACTCAAAACTTAATAAATTAAAGAGAAAGTGAGTGAATAAAAATAAGAGTTACATTCGGATGTGATTTTTAAGGGAATAATATTATAGCATTGATTTGAGGTTTATTTACACAGTACGTGTTTTCTTTATGACATATAAGTATATTGATACTAATATTTTAAATATTGAAACAATTATTAGCTTAATGATGATCAAGTCCTTTTTATTTAATCCCGTTACTATTTTTGGCATTGCAATGTCTGTATCATGATGTTTTATTATTTGCAGTTTTAAATTTTCTAAAGTTTTTTTGTATGTCATCATACTGTGATTTTTCAAAATAATGGTTCTTTGTTATTTAAAAGTAAATAACTCTTTTATTTATTACAAGGGGAATAGCATCTCCTATTTGTAGATTTGACTGTAATAATGATAAAATCAAGTTTCCATATTTTTTGCTTATGTCCAATGCTAAACTTGCTCATTTTAAGGTCGACTGAAATACAATAAGCAATCGAATATTTTTTGTGGGTTTCGAATAAGTCCATTGTATTTTCAATAAATTTGGTGTGTTATTGATTTATAGTTTGTTGACATAAATGATGTGTTGTTATTACATTGGTGTTATTTAATATTATTTGATTATCAAAATCTATGATGCTGTTATTTTGTTCTAAAAAATCATTGTCAAGTAGTCAAAGGCAAGATAAGTTTTCAACTACATATACCATTACATGACAATCTATAGAATTGGTAGAGATAGTAACATAAGTTATTCCTAAAACTTTTAATGGTGTTGCAAGTTAGCTTTTATTCTGCAACAACGTGGTTTGCTACTTGCATAATGACTAGCTATAGTAGCAAGGGTCTCAACTATCTAGGCGAGGTGTCACACCTATCAGATATGATTACCGAACCATATGTGGATTTTAATTTTAAATTGATTAATAGTTTAATTTAAGTTAATATGTAGTTATATGTATAAATGATTATAACACCTCATGGTTTATTAATCACAACTATGATAATTCACGTTGTAAGTGGTTCATATGTAAAACTTACAAACATATAGCTCAATATAATTATAAAAAAATAAACGATACCCGGTCTCCGAAGAGACCCATCAGATGGTCTGGATGCTTCGCCGAAAAGACCTGTTCGTTTATCGTTGGTGGCTCTACTCAGTCATTGAAAAAATAGTGACAAGAAAAAAACAAAAATGTGCAATTTAGCACGGTTAAAAACAGAATAAAGATGAAGAGCCAACGAAAATATAACGGCAATTTTAAATTGATAACGACCAATCTTTTTGGAAGGATCAATATCGATAAACAATTCGATTTTAATTATATTTATTCTCTTTTGTCGCCTTATCTAGCGGTCAGCGTCAAAAATAATGAGTTGTTGACACCTCTGTGTCTTTTTATAATATTTTATACCCCCGAAAATCATCATTGTCTTATTCTTTCATTATTATTGCTTATAAATAAATAAGCATAAAATAATGAAATTATTACAGATGAATAGTATAGATATAATGAGAATTGATCACTTGTAGCTAATTAATTAAATAAAATTAAAACTATATTAAAAATATTATTAATTTAAGAAACTAAAAAATATTAAAAATATTAGACAGAAAAGTCGTGGATACGTATTTCAGAAACAATGTCTCCGAAATTTGGCTTTTGAGTTTAATATTTTTATTATACTGTAGCCTACTGTTATTCCATATTATGATAGGAATATATTACGACAATATCATGACTATTAAAGTGAATTAAAATCAGTCTTAAAAATATAGTAACTTAAATTACTCGTTACTCTACTATAACGAAATGATGCGATTTAATTACTTTTATTTTAAAATAACTCATAAGTAATTTAATTACATTTATAAACTATTAAAAAATAATTATACCTCCAATAGAAATAAATATAGTTTAAAAAATCTGAAAAACACGCTTTTAAAGTAAATTAAACTAAAAAGTTAAAAATAATTTTTAAAATAAGCTTAAAACAATAATGAACGAAAATACTAGTATTACTGTGAAAAAATCGTCGGGCACTCAATATAAAAATACGAAAAATATGAACAAAGCCCCCACGCTTTTTATCACAATAATACAATTTTTTTGTTCATTATTGTTTTAAGCTCATTTTAAAAATTATTTTTAACTTTTTAGTTTGATATTGCTTTAAATACGTGTTTTTCAGTTTTTTTAAACTATATTTATTTTTCACTTTTTATTTTTTATGACATCGTTGTCACAGTCACGGAGTGTTTATTGTCAATTATGACTATCAATAGTAAAATTCTGTATTGTCAGTGTGTTTATAAACTCACAACAATGTGTTTACCATTGATAATAAAGGCTACCTGTATTTGTATTCCCTTACATATTATACATGTATATTAAATCAAAAAAAATTTGTCGAGTTCGGTCTTGCGGCACGTCCGGAGCCGGTGGCGTACATCATCGACGTTGTCACTTTAACAACGGGAAGAAGACTCAACGTATCATTTGGGGGGCGGGTCATCATCGGCTGTGCGGCACTTGCTGGACTTTGCACCGTGGCGTATGGCACGCGGTATTAGTCAGTCAAAGAAAAATACTTATAGTAGGACGACGGCTGATAAAGGTGGCACGAGTGACGGGGCCGTGTCTCAGTAAAAATTTGTTTATATATATATGTAATAGATTACATGCACGCGTGTACGGGTACGAAAACCAAAAATACAAAATTACACAGGATTAGTATTGCTTACGTGTGGTGAGCATGGTGGGGTGAATGTGTTACGCGTCTAGTCTCAAGGTCAAAGATGACGGGTACACGAGAATAATAACACGTGCCGCTTGGAAAGTTACAAACACACATCACACATCATACAACACACTTACATGTGAAACTAATATAAGCGTGTTAAAAAAAAAACCCAGCACAGGGGGGTCGCGGCACAGTGGTGACGTGGCATAGTTGGGTCAAGTATAATGATATCTGACAGTGATTAAAGTCAATATCGTAAAAAACGTTTCGATGCAATTCTTTAGATAGTGTTTAATTTTAAAAAATTGGTGGATTATTCCAAAATCTACATTATCTTCTATTTCCTTATTTATATCCTGATTAAGATAAAGTAAATCGAATGAAAAAGGGATATAAATATTATTTCTTATAAATTTAATAATAATAATCTAATAAGTTAAAAATATAAAATCGAAAATTTTCACACAAATATAAGGGTGATTTTTATATCATAACCCACTCAATTACTCGCAGAATAATAATAATTTAAACATTTTTTTTTATTATTATCTTTAGTTACACATTATTCTTGAATTATTAACTTTGTAATACTTTTTAAGTTCATCCCTTATGCCTGGTAAGGGTGTCAACTCTGTTATTTTAAATGGTAACACATATTTTTAATTTATTTTAATAAAATGTTTGAGTTTTTAATTTAATAGTAAATGGCATTTGAACTTTTAATATAACTTAATTCGTTTATTAGATATAATCATTTAAAGTTTCAAATTTTTGAGTTAATATACAGGTATAATACACAAGGGATTACAAATATAGGTAGCTAATTGATTTTTTATGACATCGATATTAGCAGGTACACAGCATTGTTATTATCAATGATAGTAAGGTACATTGTTGTGAGTTTATAAATACACTAACTGACACTACAAAAAGTATATCTATTGATAGTTATAATTGATAATAAACAATCCGTGACTGTGACAGCAATGTCATAAAAAACCAATTAGCTACCTATATTTGTAATCCCTTGTATATTATACCTGTATATTAACTCAAAAATTTGAAACTTTAAATGATTATATCTAATAAACAAATGCCATTTACTATTAAATTAAATAAAAATAAATTAAAAACTCAAACATTTTATTAAGTTCAAAATATGTGTTCCCATTTGAAAAAAACAAAGTTGACACCCTTACCAGGCATAAGGGATGAACTTAAAAAGTATTATGTAGTTAAAAATTCAAGAATAATGTGTAACTTAAGATAATAAAAAAAAATAATGTTTAAATTATTATTATTCTGCAAGTAATTGAGTGGGTTATGATAAAAAAAATGTATATATATATACAGAATGATCGAAATCTGGTAAAACACTTATTTTCTCAGAAACTATTGATTATTTAAATTTTTTGTATAAAGAAAAAATATTAAATTTATCAAAGTCTACAATGCAATATGAAGTTAAATAAATTTTTTTTTATCCCTTCAGGGATAAAAATGTTTATTTATAATTTTTTTAAATTGGAACCACTATTTTTGATTTGATAATATGATAGAAAAAAATAATTTCTTTTATTCGAACAACCGCTTACGTTTTATAATTGTTTAAAGATTTTGACTTTCAGAAAAAATATTGTTATTTATTACGTTTCATAATATCGATGGCAGTGTAACCGTCATTTTTGTTAAATCCTTTAGTCTTACCAAACCATAGACTTAGCTATTAATAATAAACCGAAAACCCGGTTTGAATCTATTATTGTTATCACTCATTTAGTGCGTAGTAAATTTTTATAGCTAATTTACCTATCATAACTTGATCAATAAAATTTGGTTTATGCAACAGCAAATAAAAATAATGACTTCTGTATTTAATACTGTAAAATGACAATAGAAATTTGGCCTAAATTAGAACAAAATTGTTTGTAATTTTTTTCTATCATATTATAAAGTTAAAAATAAGGGTTCCCATTTAAGAAAATTATAAATAAGGTTTTTATCCTTGAAGGGACATAAAAAAAAATGTTTTGACTACATATTATTGTAGAGTTTTTTGAACTTGATATTTATTCTCTATAATAAAATTTAAAATTCTCAATATTTTCTGAGAAAATGAGTGTCTTACCAGTTATCAATCACTCTGTATACAAGTAAAGCGACTTAAGTACGTAAAAGTATCATGCATGAGGTATAGCTGTGTTTTATGGGCGGGGGGAACATTATACCTAAGGTATAAACGGCGGCAGCGGCGGTAGGAATATATAAATATATATATATGTAAGGCGCATTACACGCGGGCGGTATCGGTCAGTAAAAATAAAAATTTGTTATATATACATAATTGATGACAGGCACGCGTGTACGGGTACGAAAACCAAAAATATAAAATTACACAGGATTAGTATTGCTTACGTGTGGTGAGCATGGTGGGGTGAATGTGTTACGACGACTAATCTCAAGGTCATAGATGACGGGTACAGGAGAATAATAACACGTGCCGCTTGGAAAGTTACAAATACACATCACACATCACACATCACACATCACACATCACACAACACAACACAGATACATGTGAAACTAATATAGGCGTGTTAAAAATAGGTATAGGTAACTATTTTCACAGTGAAGACAAAATAATGTCCGAATTTTTTTTTCCATAATAAAGCATATTATATTAGCTTTAATTTAAGATATATATATATATAAAAGTATCAGACTTTTCGGAACACTTTCAAAAGTTCAGTTGAAAAGGTTAATTTTTTGTGAAAAAGTTGTCATTTTAAATCCCCTCTTGTGGGCAGGTAAAAGGTCAGATTTATAAAAAAAATATACCAAATGGTAGGTAAGTACATCATGCATCTACAAAAAAAAATTATATTGATCCATTCATTTTTCAAAAAATTATAGCATTATAAAGTTAAAAATATAAAAAAGAATTTTTTTACAAAAATTGTATTTTTTTTATTAACTTTAATGTCTGTTTTCACCGTGAAGATAATATAAAGTCCGAATTTTTTTTTTTACATAATAAAGCATAAAACTTTAGCTTTAATTTAAGATTTATATAAAAGTGTCAGACTTTCTGGAACACTTTCAAAAGTTAAGTTGAAAAAGTTCAACTTTCTATATGCATTTTTAAGAATTGAACCTGTATTAAGAGAAATGGTCCGATTTAAAAAAAAAGTATGTCAAATAAAAGATGTATATAAATAATACTTCTTATGAAAAATTTGTATTGATCCATATATTTTTCAAAAAGTTATACCATTATAAAGTTAAAAATGTAAAATATGAAATCGAGAATTTTCATACAAAAATATCATTTGGTAGCCATTTTTACAGTGAAGACAATCTAAAGTCCAACATTTTTTTTTCCTTAATAAAGTATATTATATTAGCTTTAATTTAAGATATATATAAAAATGTTAGACTTTTCGGAACACTTTCAAAAGTTAAGTTAAAAAGTTAATTTTTTGTGAAAAAGTTGTCATTTTAAATCCCCAATGTAGGCAGGTTAAATGTCAGATTTACAAAAAAAATATACTAAAAGATAGGTAAAGACATTATGCATCTATAAAAAAAATATTTATATTAATTTGATTAATTTTGAAAAAGTTATGGTAGTTTTAAATAAAAAAAAATGAAAAAATGTTGAAAATTAGCGATATTAAAATTTGTAATTTTTTTGAAGATTTAAAAAAAAAAAAATCATAGTAAAACCAATACCTTCTCAGCTTCGCATCAAAGCTAAAAGTGTATAAAAAAATAATAACTCATGTGTATAATACTAAATATAGTCCTTAAATTATTCTAGTTCATTATTTTAATCATGTTTGACATTTTTATACTTATACAAAGAAAAGAGTACGGATATCTCCAGTTATTACTTTAAATTCATAATAATTTCTAAAATAGTGGTCTAAAAACCTATTAAATAGGTTTATTTATAAATTTTATAAATTGAAATATATTAATATTTTTTTTAAGGAAATTTCTAAACATGTTAAAATGATAAATCCACCTTGAGATGACTACTTCAATATTTTATAAAAAAATTGGGTCGTTCAAATGTCTTAGCTTAAATGTGAAGCTGAGAAGGTATTAGTTTTACTATGTGTTTTTTTTTTTTGTGTCTGTTACCACTTTTTCTCAGCTCTCATTGAACGGATTTCTTTCAACAATACGTTAAAAAATCACAAATCGTATCTAGAGACATTGCCTTTGAAAAAATTTACTTCGTTTCCTGTAAATGGAGGAAATCCTCAAAAAAATTACAAATTTAAAAATCGCTAATTTTCGAAATTTTTTCAATTTTTTTTACTTAAAATTACCATAACTTTTTTAAAAATAACCAAATCAATATAATTTTTTTTAAATAGATGCATGATATCATTACCTTTTATTTGGTATATATTTTTTATATATCTGACACTTAACCTGCCCACAGGGGGGATTTAAAATGACAACATTTTCACAAAAAATTAACTTTTTCGACTTAACTTTTGAAAGTGTTCCGAAATATCTGACACTTTTATATATATCTAAAATTAAAGCTAATGTAATATAATTTATTATAAAAAAATTTCGGACTTTATTTTGTCTTCACGGTGAAAATGGCTACCGAATGCTATTATTGTGTGAAAATTCTCGATTTTATTTTTTACATTTTTAACTTTATAATGCTATAACTTATTGAAAAGTGTATGGATCAACATTATTTTTTTATGAGAAATAATATTTTTTAATAATCTCTTTTTCATTTGACATACTTTATCTTAATTAGGATATTAATAAGGAACTAGCTTTTGGAATAATCCACCAATTTTTTAAAATTAAACACTATTTAAAGATTTGCATCGAAGCGTTTTTTTTTATAGTGATTTTAATCACTGTCAGATATCATTATACTTGATCCAACTATGCTACGTCACCACTGTGCCGTGACCCCCCTGTACTGGGTTTATTTATTTTTGTTATTATGTATTTTTTTTTTTTTTTAATATAATTGTTTTGTAATCCTGCCCTTCGCTTGCCTACAGAGTTTAAAATGCACTTTATTATTATTAATTTATTTATTATTTAAAAATATCCCTATTAAATAATTGTTATTTATATTTATGATTTCATGTTTTAACCTAATCTCTAACAACTATTATTGGGAAGATATTTCTAAATTCGTTTATATTTTTCAATTTTTTTTCATGAGGAAAAATAAAAATATTGTGCCTGATTACTATTGATCACATAGTTATGAGCTTAAAAGTATTAATTTGTAAGAATTAGCTGTGCAAATAATTAAGATTTACACCATATCTATTAATCAATGATTTCTTTGATTAGTTAAAACATAATGATCGGCCAAATGTCGACCTATAAAAAATACTGCTGTGATATCATATAAATTAATAATTTGAACACCGAAATTAATTTTTTTTACTACTTATTCACGTAATATATAAAACTAACAACCTCTTGAAAAAATGATGATAAAACCTTACCATTGGTCAAATAAAAATATTTTTTTTGATTTGGATTATATAAATTATTTCTGATTTTTAAACGTCTGCCTACGTATGGTTAATTTTATCACTATTATTATTTTTCTTTATAAAAAAAAAAATAATAAAAACCTCTTGTAATACATATAAATATTTACAAATGGGTTAAATATTAACTTGGTACTACATCATAACATGAAGAGTAATTAATTAAATTTTAAAATCACAGTATTTAGTTAATTTAATTTTTTTAGGCATTTTGTTTGTTTCTTATAATGGAAATTAAAAATCAAGTGGCTTTAGTGACTGGCGCTGCATCTGGAATAGGTTATGCTTATACCAAGAGTTTACTTGAAAACAATGTTAAGGTATTATTATATATTAAAAAATATTTTTGAATATTAATTATTTAATATATTAATTATATTATTTATTTAATTTATTAGTTACACACAAACATTTTTTTTCAATTTGATTTAAAAATTAACATTCAGTTTTCCAAAATATTATTTGTATGTGATTTATAGGGTGAAATGGGATAATTATATATGCATCTTTTTAGATAAAAATACAAGTTTTTATTTTGAACTCATATATAATATGATAATTACTATCTAATATATATACTAATATATACATATGTTTACACATATTAGAACCAGAACTTTTCAACCTAAAATAAAGTCTACTAAATATTCTAAGAGAAAAATGTATTTACAATTACACCAATTGTTTACATTTGATGAAGTGTATACAATACATCATACTTAAATAAACATTTTATTTTTTAGTAAAAGTTTTTTTATCATTTTCATTCGTAATTTAACAATGGTTTCCAATTACTTAACTTAAATTATACTTTTCAGTTTTAAATAATCGATGTCAAAAGTTTTATTCATTAACAATCGTAATCTAAAAATATAATTATATTTTTATCAATCTTAATTAATCGATAATTTTTAATTTTATTTGGAGTAATCAATAAAACAAAAATCTTTCAGAATATCTACTAGTATAACTTTTTTTTAATGCAACAAATATTTTCATATACTACAATTATTATGTTTAAAAATAATTACCATTATTTAGGTAGCAATTTGTGATATAAATATTGAGAAATGTTACGCTACCGCAAAAATTTTAGCTCAAAAATATGACAGCAAAAATATTATTGCACTTCATTGCGATGTTACAAAAGATGAATCATTTGAAAGTAATTAAAAATATTTATACAATATAAATCCAATATATCATTGGCAAAGGTGTATTTAAAAATGTATAATGGATGGTACCAAACATTTCTTGTTTAAGAATTTCTATTAATCTCATTGTTAGTAATAACTTGCATGTTTCCTTACTTACTGAACACTCAGTATTTTTTGATCTATCAGTTATTGAATAATTTTTAGCTTTGATAAGAAGCTGAGAAGATATAGGATTTACCATGATATGTTCTCTTTGTGTCTCTCAGTAAAAATGCAAAGCTTTCACTGACCGATTTTGTTGATCTATGCGTCAGTAAAAGCAACTGTATTTTTATTTAACATAACAGCGCCGAAAATTTCAAAAAACTTCTTCAAATTTAGAAATTAAGAAAAATATCAAAATTACGCTACCGTAAAAAATGGTATTTTCAAAAAAAAGTTTCTGTAAATTAAAAAAAAGCTATAAATTTTTTTAACAAACTAATAGTAGAACAATTTTAGTAGAGTATAAATGAAATAATAAACAGCCAAAACAAAATAAATAACATACGAGATGTTTGCTATTTATTTAAATTAAATGAATAATAAGTACAGAAAGGGTTTAGAAAAGACCACCTATGAATGTAAACAATTTTTATTTCAAGAAAATTTTTAAAAATGATCCGAAAAGACTATCCTATTTTAACAAATACCAAATTAAAACTCTTGAAACATACTACAATATAAAAAAAAACATTCTACAGAGTGATCCATTTAACATTGACCAGCAAATATCTCAAAAACTATTTATTATTTTAATAATTTTTTTTTTTAATTATTTTAGTTACATAAAACGTTAAATGTACGATAAATGTAGAGTTTTATGTAACTAAAATAATTAAAAAAAAAAATTATTAAAATAATAAATAGTTTTTGAGATATTTGCTGGTCAATGTTAAATGGATCACCCTGTACAATTATACAAATTGACATCAAAGCCTTTTTTGTGATAGCGATGCTAATGGTATCAAATATCATTTACACTTGTCTTAATTATGTCGCGACCCCACTCAATTTGTTTTTTTTAATTTATTCTTTTACCTTATAAGATTGTCAACTATATTTTATAAACCAGTTAAATATATATGTTACCATTTAAAAAATAAAAATGACATCTTTATAAAGTATAAGGGATGATTTAAAAAGGAATTAATAACTGATAGATGAAGAGATATATGAAACTAAAAAATACCAAAAATAATTTTCTGGACATAATTGAATAATAGTCACTTTTTAAGAACTAATAACACATTTTTTATCAAACAAATATTAAAAAAAAATTTTAATTGTATTTATGTTTATAATTTAGTTTTAAAATATACATATATATAAATTAATAAAAAAAAATTGTTTTTTTGTCTTTTTTGATAAAAATAGAAAAAATGGATTTCACTCTCTTTTTAAAAATAACTATTCAATTATTATGGAGAAATCAAGTGGTTAGCATTAAAAGAATAACATTTTATGTACTTGAAACACGTATTGAGAAGTTTATTTTTTCAATACAACAAAATGTTGAGAAGCAACGAAATAATCATAACGAGCATAAATAAAACATAATTAACAAATAAAATTTAAAATTAAAAAAATTAGTATTTTTTTGTTTTGAATCCTTTTTTAATAACTAAAAACAAGCATATAATAATTAACGTAGGAAATATTAGTGAAATTTTTCTAATTTAACGTAATTTTTTATTAATAAGTAATAAAGTTTCTGAGGCAATCCTATGGGCGTAGAATTTCTTCACAAGACTACTATATGAACCAACAGTTCAAAAACACATGTTATTATCGGTAACTAAAACATGTGAACATTTTTTTAAATTTATATTAATTATTAACGCATTATACATTACTAAATTGCATGACACAAATATTAGCATGGCTCAGTCAATTTACATGCCCCTGTGTCTCCCTTCTAATTATGCCACAGCAACTATCAAATCAATAAATATTCTAGGATCTTAAATTTTGACGTTCAGCTTCAAATGATATATTACACTGACTTTCCTTTACTTATTCATTAATACTTTAATACTTGTGTTTATTATTTCAATTAGATGCATTTAAAAAATGCATAGACCAATTCAAGCGTTTAGATATTGTTATAAATAATGCCGGAGTATTCGATGAATCAATGGAAAACTGGATATTAACAATGAATATCAATTATGTAATGCAGACACTTACAAACTAAAAAAAAAGACTGTATTAATATATAAATTTGCAATACAGGGAGGTGTAGTTAGAGGAACTATGCTAGCAATTAAATATATGAGTACTTATTATGGTGGTAATGGCGGTACTGTTGTACAGACATCATCTATTGCTGGCCTGATGGAAAAGTACCACATGGCACCTATGTACAGATCAACAAAAAGAGCTATTATAGATTATTCTCGAGCTGTTGGCGTAAGATTAAAAAAACATTTATGATTTAAAATTAAATAAATATTAATTTACACATTATTTCTCCAAAAGGACCCAAGATCTTTTAAATATTTAAATATAAGAGTTATGACAATATGTCCTGGTATTACGGATACACCATTAATGAATGAAGATCGTAGTAATTTATATTTAATTAAGGAACATTATACTCATTACAAGGAAAACACTATAAAACTTCCAAGACAAACGTAAGCAATGTGAAATTTTATCTTGTAGAAAAATTGAACTTCTAAGTTTAATTTCCATTAAAATTAATTTTAACATAACCTATTCATTTGTTCTTAACCTTAATTTTGATAAATTATAATATTTTATAATTTTGGCTATCAACATTAGCTTTACCCATTAATATTTCTCAAAAAATTCGATCTCATTTCCTTTACATTATCATATAAAATTGTGACAAAAGGTATTTTTAGCTTTATTTTTTATTTAATAGTACAAAAAAATGTATCACACTCTAGATTTAATATTTTAATTATTTCAGTCCAGATAAATTAGGAAAAGGTTTGATTGAAATATTGAAACATGGAAAAACTGGAGATTGTTGGATAGTAGAAAATAATGAAGAACCACGACTAGCAAATATACCTGATATACCTTATTAAATGTTAGCATATATTTAAAACTATTTTATTTGTAAGTATTTTTTAGGTAAAATAGAATTATAATTAAAAAATATATATCTAATATCAATACCTAATGAAACAATTTTGGAGTTAAAAATAATTTTATTTTGAAGACTTAATAATGATTAATACCATAATACAGCGCAACGGTAGTGATGTAAATCTAAATTTAAAAAAATGAGAATAATATTGTACACAAACAGAATTTGGCTATTGAATACGTGTACATTTAAACACTTTTTTTAGCCGAGCCTACAGGTTTAATAAATCAACAGATAATTAAGTTTGTAGTACATAAATTCTATCAATAAATCGGGCATAAAATGCAGATTATACTCGTATTTTTTTTATTTTTAAAACATTGGTTCGATAATAACAAATATATAAGTAAAAACGTTCAATAAGAGTATAATGGAGGGGGCTCTCTCGTGACAGTAGATATCACAAGTAGGGGGGTTTAATATACATGTGGGATACATAAGAAGGGGGGCTATGAAAAGATGAATAGTTTATTAGAAATTACTTAATAAATTGTAATTAATAAGTTATTATAAGTTAAAAACATTTAAGTGGTGAAGGAATGGGTTAGTTTACGGGGATATGTGATCTGTGATTTGCTGACCCCCTATGAAAATATGCGATTTTTCCGCATAAATGAGCGTGAAATCGTAAATAAAGTCACAGTGTCATCAAGAACCATCAGCTCTAAGAAGAAGACTCTACTCTATAAACAATATGGCTGCCGAACCTGTAAGAAAACAGCGCTACATTTATATCGCACCAACACCGCCAGCCGAGATCATTCACTCTAGTAGTTACACTATTATTGCGTTCAGCGAAAGAAAATTTTTGCAAGTGGGCATGAATCCAAAGGAGAACTTCAATGTTACGGTATGCATTATTACTCCTCCACGATATATTACCAGTGCTCGAATTGGGGGGGTGCGCATGGGGACGTAGCTCCTCTACTTTATTTTAAATTTTTTTGCGCACCCTAACTACTTTTTTTTATTGGGACGGGAGGACGATGGACAATACCACCTCTTTTTTTTTTTTTTTAAATATTAGTATGATAATGAAATATGATTAAAAAAAATATGAAATATGAAAAAAAAAAAAAAAGGTCTTCAAAATGCTAGGGACGCAGTTTTCAAATTGTTAAGTTGAGCTCCCCTACTTATTTTTGGCCAATTCGAGCACTGTATATTACTATGTCAGCAGACTATTTAAATATTATTTACGGCATGATGGATGAAATAACATTATTTCTACAATCACCTCCGGTAAAAGGAGAGAACATTGTGTGATACCAAAATGTCGATTTTAATATAACTAAAGTATTGTATCATGTTACCTTGCATTTAATATTAGAATCCAGGATGGTTGATGGGTGTCGATAATAATAATTACAAGGTTAATAATAAATGTTTACATAAACATGTAAAAAATTTAATTTAAATTATACGGACAGTTCCGTCAAAAGGTGTAAACAGGGTATTTGTAAATGCTACGTCACGAGTAGTAGGATGATATTCAGTAGGACCTAAAAATAGCGAAATCGAAAACTAAAATTTCCTATCTCCAAAATTGGGGGTTTTCTGGTTTCCCCACTTTAAATTTTATTTTAATAAAAAATAAACATCACAACGGATTTCACACGAAATTCTCATACAAATTGAGTGGTCACTCGATATTTTGTAACTTTCGTGCCCTCCCCTGAACTTGGGTTCAAAGTTGGAAAAAAATTTCACTTTAGTGTGACCCATCAATTTGTATTGAAATTTTACTGGGAGTTCTGTGATGCAGTTTATTTTTAGTTTAAACGATTACATAACGAGAAAAACTGGAAAAACCCACAGATAATGTGATATTTTTTTAAATTCACGAGTTTATTTTGTCTTTTATTATTTATTCAAACCGATTATAATTTTTATCATTAAAACTGTTATAAAATTATCATTTTTTTTCTTTTTAGATCGCTCCCAATTTGCTGATACATGTCGAAACCAAAAATAGTCGTACTGTGTTTTAGTATTTTAATAGCGGGACGATAAACTAGTGGTATTTTTTTTCTCGATGTACCGTCTTTTAAATAAAAAAAAAAAAGAAATACTGTTTATAAGATTAGTTTACTTAAATTTTTATAACAAAAAGCTTGAAATATATGGTCGTTTTGTGAATGAAAAAGTGTTTATTCTGAAAACCTGATATTTTCTATGATGGACTCGGTTGAGGCTTGGCTAGCTTATCATGATGGAGACAAAGGGTATGCACCGAAAAAACACGGGGATTTAATAAAATTTGGTGATAAAATTGTTCAGTTTAATTATTAAAACAGCTCAGCTGATCATAGAAAATAATAAATATCAATTGACCCCCGGTCTAATACAGTTAATATTTTCAAAACGGCCTAACGCATACGATAAAAATGACTTGGATGTCTATAGAGACATTCTAGTTCATACTTCTGTGCACTTAACAACGAATAAATTAAAAATTAAGAAAACAAATGGCTACAAGTATAAAGAAGTTATAAGTAAAATGTTTGTTGAGGGCAGAGGTCTTGAGTTGTCATTGAATACATCGAATAACTATAAATATTGGAATAACGCAGACGAGCTCTGCGACCGTCTTAGATTACTATTGGCTTCGCAGGCAGCAGGCAATAATGCACATGGTAATGAAATTATATCAATTTATGAAGAATTATACGAGGCGGGCATAATTNCTTATGAAGAATTATAGGAGGCTGGCATAATTAAAAAAACGGTAGCACAAAGGGGTCGAGGCACTGTGTAGATAAGGCATAGATGGGACAAGTATAGATGATATTTGACAGTGATTAAAATCACTATCATAAGAAACGCTTCGATGCAAATCTGTAGATAGTGTTTCATTTAGAGAAATTGGTGGATTATTCCAAAAGCAACATCAACTCTTATTTCTTTGATTATATCCTAATTAGTAATTATTTGATTTTAAAATATAATATATGAATAAATACTAATTATAATTATTAAATTTAGTATGAAAATAAAAAAGTAAAAAAAATTTAATAAGTTTAATTTCTCATGTCTTATGACCTTTATTCTATGTCAATTAAATTATATAATATTCATGTAAGTCAATATATTCTCCTAATAAGATATTTGAAAATAAAATAAAATACAAAACCTAGAATTTTAATAGAAAAATAGCATATTTTTGAATACGGTAGCCATTTGCGCATAGAAGATAGGTCGTCGGGACAAATTTTTTTTTTTCATTTTATAATACATAAAATAAGCTTTAATTTGATATATGTTAATTTGATATATATAAATTTTTCTTTTTATATTAATTACTATACATTTAATATAGTTATGTTTATGATTTACCTGTCAATTGATCATGGTCTGCTACTTTATGATTATTCTCTGTAAAACTACCTTTACACAAGTCATAGCAGGTTTTCTTTTTACACTCAGAGAAAAACCTCGATCTATATAATAAATTCATTGTTCAATTTGATAAATATATCATTACTATTGAATCAATGATATATTTATCAATATGATATTTTTTTTTCTTGTCTTGAACAATAATTATTTATAAGAATAGTTATTTTGTTCGTATTAATAAAACATTATCATAAACCCTTGATAAAATTTCTCTTTCAATTTTGATTGAGGTTTTTCTTTGGGTGTATGTTCTTCAGTTTCTTCATGTGTCATACAAATATCAACATTCGTCTTGAGTAACTCTTCAATTTTCAACGACACTTCAGTTTCATCATCCATGAAACGATTGACTACTTCCCCAGGCTCACTGCTTTTATTTCCTCTATATATTTTAGGCGTAGTTTGAATATTAAACTGTTGCAATAATTCTGTGGGTACACTATCGGCCGCTTTTACTATGTATCTATAGCTCATTGCAACATGTTCATGAAAAAAATGTGTGTTGCCTTTCGTTTCATTGTTAAACTTGACCAACAGGCTTTCAAAATCAGCATAAATTGCAAATGGATGTTCCTGTGTTTTGCCCCATAACTCGAACTTTAATTTAGTGCCCTTTTCAGGCATTACAGATAAAAACGGTTTGTTTTCGCCACAAATTTTTTTATGTTCTTCTAGCGCCTATGTAATTTATACTTTTTAGGTATATTATTAAAGCCCGTGAAACACCGTCTGGAAAATATAATTTTTACCGTACTCTTTGTCATTTGTGATTGAACCAGTTATCCAAAATCAGTGATATAAGTGTAATGACTATCATCTGCGGCGTTTGACACAATTAATAAATCGATATGGTCTTTACGTTTGTCAGCGCACACTTTCAGCGTATAAACTAAATATTCGGATTTATTATGTATATCTTTCAATTTTAGTCCGTAAACATTAACTGAAGTATGCGGATTATTTTTTTCGAAAATTTTTATGTCTGATATCGATGTTGGGAATGATAAACCGGAGAAATTATAAGAGTTATCTATAGACTTATAGTAATGACCTACAATATTTTTATTATCTCCTGTCACATTCTTTGCCAGTATAGCCCATTTGAAACATTGTTGATCTATATTTTGTGGGTTTATTATAGCTTTTTCATTTTAATGTCATGCGGCAAATCAATGTAAAAACTCCCGCCTAAAGGCTGATATTTGTAAACACCCAATAAAATACCATCTATATTAGAAAACGAGAAATTACTACCTTTACCAGCATAGTTTTCCTGTTCTTCTAATAATTTTGTGTATGAAATATCAGCATGCATGATCGATATCGTCCTCGTTAATTAACTAGGCTGCTGATGTTTTAAATAACCGATTTTCATACTTGTTTTCACTATTCGGAACCGTATAAGTCGCCTACAGTTTTAAGTTGAATTTTATCGGTCCCATTTCTTTAAGACAATCCCGTAATATTTCAACTAAATCTTTAATATTTCAACTAATTACACTGGGGCTCGTCTGCATTCTCTCCGCAACATTTACATTTTCTAAAACAAATATTTATACTTTTATTTTAGCATATAAATTTTTTATAAGATATAATAAAAATTGATCACTTGTGGCTAATTAATTAAGTAAAATTAAAACTATATTAAAAATATTATTAATTTAAAAAACCAGCACAGGGGGGTCGCGGCACAGTGGTGACGTGGCATAGTTGGATCAAATATAATGATATCTGACAGTGATTAAAATCACTATCAAAAATAAACGCTTCGATGCAAATCTTTAGATAGTGTTTAATTTTAAAAAAATTGGTGTTTTATTCCAAAAGCTACTTGATCTGCTGGTTCCTTATTAATATCTCGATTAAGATAAAGTATGTCGAATGAAAAAAGGTTTATTAAAAAATATTATTTCTCATAAAAAAATTGTGTGGATCCATAAACTTTTCAATAAGTTATAGCATTATAAAGTTAAATATAATATAAATAATAAAATCGAGAATTTTCACACGAAAATAGCATTCAGTAGCCATTTTCGCCGTGAAGACAAGTCCAAAGGTCAAATTTTTTTATCATATCTACATTACATAGTACATTACATAGTACATTACATTAGCTTTAATTTAAGATATATATAAAAGTGTCAGACCTTCCGGAACATTTTCAAAAGTTAAGTTGAAAAAGTTAATTTTTTGTGAAAATGTTGTCATTTTAAATTCCCCCTGTGGGCAGAAAGAAGGTCAAATTTACAAAAAATATACCAAATGATAAGTAAAGACATCAAGCATCTATATAAAAAAGAATTATATTCATATGTTCATTTTTGAAAAAGTTATGACAGTTTTTAGTAAAAAAAATTGAAAAAATTTCGAAAATTAGCGATTTTTAAATTTGTAATTTTTTTGNGAAAATTAGCGATTTTTAAATTTGTACTGGGTCACCAGACTCCGGGAAAATTATTGGCGAAGGTCGAAAAATTTTTGTTGCTCGCCCGTTTTAAAATTTCTACCGTTTTCGAGAAAAACGCTCGCTGACGTCAGCGTTTTACGACTTAAGGTTTGAAATTTTCATCAGACCCGCCCAATGACATTTCTGAGATATGATAAAAAAATCTATTCAATCCGTTCATTTTTTATCGTTTTACGATCTTTTTTTTATAAGTCCACGCGCATGGTTGTATTATGCGCAGTGATTCATTTCTGCTGATACGTATTATGAACCTTAATTATATGGTGTATTATATATTATTATTAGGACACTATTTTGCATTTGCCCTATTTTTATCAAGGAATGTTATATGTTATATATAAATTTCATGACGTTATAATTATTTAAGTTTGTACTTTCATTATAAGAACAGTACTAAGTACAGAGTTAATAATTTTCTTTTATTTGATATATAATATCTTATGATATTTTATATGATGTATGAGACTATGAGTTTATCTTTTGAATTGGGGTTCATCTATGATAACTATGATGTTCATCGTTAAATCGCAGTTACCAATATATTTATCAAAATTAAATTTTTATTTTTATTTTTAATATTAATTTTAATTTAAATTTACAGTGTGTCACTTATAATAACCTGCTAAATTTTTTTAAAATTATTCTATAATATAAACACAATTATTATCATTAGATTATTAATAATTTTTGTGTATAACAGGGGTGTATTTAAGAGAGATTGGCCCCTCCTTGAACAAGCGCTATCAATATTTTTTTAGGCAACTTCTAATATATAAGGACCTAATGTCCTTTTTTTTCATCATTACTTTAATTTTAGCAAAAAAATTTCTATAACATGTTTAACAAAATAAAAAATATTAAATTTCCTCCTAAAATAATTTTTGAATAGGCCTAAAGGGAATACCTCATTAAGAGGCTTCAACCTTATACCCAATAAATTTTACTATATTCTCTTTTTGAATTTTCCTAATTTTAATAATAACATTTTTAATATATTTTTGTTACACTGATTCTGATGTAATATTTTTTCTGCAAAACACTTATCGTGCCCGGCGTAGCCAGGTACCCCTACCGGAATCAGTGGCCTACTTATGATGACGGCCCGAAGAGGCTTACGAGCCAAAGGCGCGTAAGGCTCGTAGAGCTCCGGGTCTGGGACGGAGCCCCAGCTAGGCGGAGCCTAGTTATGTATAATAATTTTAAAATAAAAATTATGAACATAAAATATCGTATAAACCGATTTACTGTATTTTGACAATATGTAGGTTTTGTTCTTTAATTGAGATTTCCCCTAATAATTTTCAGGAGACTATTGCCCCTCCGAGCTACTCCTTAAATACGGCCCTGTATTCGACACTATTAGTTATTTGGTTTCACGTATGTCGATATCACGTTAAATACCGTAATACTCCCTCAGCTAGTGTTACGCTTACGCTGCGTATTTGTCCTCCATTCACTGAAAAGCGGTTGCCGACTTTCGCTTAGCGAAGTATGATATCTCGATAAGCGAAAGTCGGATGGCAAATGTCTTACAAGTATCATTAAGTGTTTACGTGATATTTGTACGCCGCCCTACGTTATTTTACTGTATGTTATCCATAAAGAATCTATATTAATAATAACGATTGATACAATTTTTATAATACATTTAATATACTACGAAATTATATTAGTCCTAATTTTTTTTTTAAGTTTAAAATATTAAATAAAGAAATATCAAGGTTACAATATATCATAAGCCTATAAATCGTTTTATATGCAGATGCATTAAAATACGTAATAAAAATACTACTGATATCTCAACAATAACACTTCCTCGAACTCCAATTAAAAAATTTCTAAGTAAAAACAAACTTTAATCATTTATACGATTTTTAAGAACTAATAAAATGTGATACTATGGATGAATGCTAAGTAAATTGAATTAAAAATATATTAATTCTATCTCAATAATTTATTTACTTAACGAAACCTTATTTTTTCAAAATGAACATGTGTTAAAGTATTTTAAGTATTAAAGTGGGTCATTCTAATACTTGGAATTTAATATTGGGACTTCATTATAAACTTTTAAATGTGTATTTAAATTATTAGCGCGCACACGCGTGTCAAAAGTAGATTTCTTACAAAGTAAATTAATTGTTCAAATAGAATAAATGTCTTTTAAATTTAATTTACTTATCATTTATCCATAATATCACATCTTATTCAAATATCGTATAAATTTTTGTTGACTAGGCAATATTTTATGAGTTCGACGGAGTTTGTAGAGATTCATTCAAAGCGTAATATTTTAAAGAAATCTAACAACTTTTATTTAAGGTTCCGCTATTATCAACTTTTATAGTTGTTTCGGTCTCAGAGTGGACTGTATAAAATACGATTACTTTTAACTATTCAACTAATAAAATAGAAATAAAACTTAAACTTTTAACTTAGTTTATATTACTTTATTTTGTATATACATGTTGGCGTGCACGTCGTGCCGTCCTTTACGATGACGAGTTCATGGTTCGACAATAAAAGAAACCGGTACGCACCGGACAAACGAGTTTATCATATACCATAATAACATACAAAAGAAAACAAAAAAAAATGGATCGAAC